TACATTTTATCCCATTAAACTTTGATATACATGTATAAGTAATACATCGTGTGAAATTGTGAATTTTAATGTGAAACTTCATACGGTCTTTATCAACAGTTAAAAATCATGTAGCATATACATTGTATAGTATATACCTACATTGTTGTTAATCATATACAGAATATCTTTAATGTTTCAAATTAATGTATGGTATTTTTGTTTTTCAGGATTATGAATATTGCACAAAGGCAAAGAATAGACAAGGTCACGTGGAATTTTGCTGGTGACAACAATCTTTTTGGTGAATCTAATGAAACATATCCGGCAGATTTATGGAATTGTTAATAGGATAGAACTTTAAACTGAAACAACGGTATCTATTTCCTTTGATAGATTTTCTGTTCATCTTGCCATGTTTCGGTTAATCATTAACTTATAGTTATGTTAGTTAGTTTTCCTGTTGATTCCGTTGTTGTATCTATTGTTTTTTTATTTGAGAACGTGACATTACATACTTGGATTGAGCAAGAAGCAGAAGAGTCTAACTACTACGGAACACCTGGTCTTATTTATCATATAGTATAGAGACTATTATGTGTCAATTTCATGACAGATTTACGAAGAGAATAAAGGATTTTGTTTGTATTACGGAGAACTTTTTTGTATGAAATAGAATCCAATTGAGCATACGATCGATCAGTAAACAAAGTTTATCATTGATGTGAATGAAAATGTGTTCCTGATTCTTCCTAGAAAGCGATACATTCCGGATATATTGTTACTGAGTGATTCAAACATTGTTATAAGTTATTTTATTTCGAGTCTCTATATTATAGTGTTGTTACGAAAATCTGGACATATATTTCATTTCACGAGAACAAAACTGAAATACAGTGACGAGTGGAGATCATTACAAAAAGGACCGTTTCTTAAGAAACTGTGTGTTCTGGGAGAAGAAAACATCGCACCAGTAACCATAAAATGTCGAAATGATCTCAGTTTGAATACAATCATTAAAAAGTTGAAGATGCGGGAAAATTTATATTTGCAAAATTGTTACTGAAAAGGTATCCGGGAAAAGCGTTCAAAAAAAGGTGTCATGTTAGTCTATTTTTAATTCAAGTTGTACAAACATGGACATTGCAGTCCACTAATTAACAGGTATATCAAAAGCATTACGGCACTACAAAGTTCACGGCGTGAAAGGAAACAGAATATTTCCAACCTAGTCCTACTTATAATCACACTTGTTGGCCTGATTGGAATCAACCCCCAGGACGCCCAGGTGTTACCAATGTGGCACCCCACCACCCAATCAACCAGCAAGCAAAATCATGTGAAGGGGCGTAGCTAGCCCAGCAAATGTGTAAGCCCAGGAGAGGGGTCTGAATTTCATGATTTCAAAGATGTTTTGAATCGTTTTCTGAGACAGTTATTTAACAACAAACTTCAACCCCTGATATTTACTTTCAACCTTAGTTTTGTAATTTTATCCGACATACTCTATGCACGGATTTTTTTATGTGCAAGCCCGGGCTTTTTCTTTCTATGGAAGCTACGCCCCTAATGTGTAGCTAGTTTGCCCGTCAGCACTCGCCATCTACCAACGGAAATAAGAATGCTTGGAACAACACCCGCGACGTGTAAAAGACACAAGTTGATAAAGCAGGCGGATCACAATCAGTAAAAGGCAAGTTCACTGATTAAAAAAAACGGAATCATTTTAACATAGCTTAGTAGTAGGTTTAGGTCTCGGTAGCGAAACCAAACAGAAGGTTGTACATATTAGGACTGAAACAAGGAAATCAGGCTAAAGGGATAAAACAAAATAACTGGACAAAGGGATTGCCATGAACCCCCTAGATTGATAAATTGTCTTGCACGCTTAATCTACCTAGATTACAGATCACCAACGCAACACCTGTAATCGTGTGGCCGTTTCGTTACACTACTTTCCACCTTAGTGTATATATAGAGAATAAATGGTTAGTGTCTTAGAATATAAACTGTATTTTGGCGAGGGTGAAGAAAGACAAAAAATGGTGAGCTTCTGACGACCCGATGTTGTGTTTCAGTCCCGAAAGACGATATCATAACGCGAATTTCCCATTTCTTGACAGTAGCATTCCTGTTTTTCAAGCTCATAACGTTTTCACAGCAAATGATTCGATATCATTGGATCACGATTTCAATTAAGATTGTTAACGCCAAAAAAACTTGTGGTAAATTTTCCAAAACAGGGTTTTGAATTTTGATGCGAGTTAATGAAGATTGTAAGGAAGTCTTTAATATGATGGTCAGTTTAACCTCTTTGGGACCTGGTCATACCCTTCTCTCTGTATTTTTCACCATAGAGGTCTGTTACGACATGCCAGTACTTTTGGATATTGTTTTCCTTCTCATTATCAAAATATCGAACTCAGTTAGGATTTTCTCTTTGGTTTAGATAGAGTGCCATGGAAAGGCACAAGCAGAGGTCCTACTATAAATACAAGAAATTCAAAAAGGAATTTGGCACCTATCCAGTAAGGAACAGGTAGCCACAGATCCCTGCAGTACTTCCAGAAATAGCGCCAGCAAACAAAATGTGGGACTCTAAAAATATAAGATGGTGGCCTGCAAGCCCATTTTATATTGTTTGCATCAGACAGCCCTTGAAAAATCATATCGCTGAAAAATTATGGATTGTTCTTGAATTTCGTATGTAGATTAGCATTGGTACCTATTTCTGCCTTGTTCATTTTAGAATTAAATGAAAAACAAGATGGCTAACTGGACAAATACTGAATTGATTTTCCCCCAAATTTCATATGTTAAAGTTCCCTTTCGTCCCTAGATATTCCCTTTTGATTTCAGGAATGGTCAGGAAAAAAAATCAAAATATGACAAACGAACTTTGTTATTGTGATTATCTAAAATTTGTTTGTTGCTTATGGCCCTTGTGATCTTTTGATTTTGAGAATGATCAGAAAAACAACAACGCCAAAAGATGAGCATCTTAGAGATGACAGGAATTATTATTTCTATTTCTGGTTTCATATGAATAAGAGAAAAAAACAAAATAAGAAGGAAGAGAAAATCAGCAATGGTGGGTGCCAAGATCTCTCTGATGTCTACCTTTTTTCTTTAAGTCAGTCCAAAAATGACAGTACGCTACCAGGTATTACAAGAACCTATGTAAGATTGAATTTTAAGAATTATTTATCTAGTACTTCTCGAGATAGTGATAACATACAATAACCGTTAAAATCAACCACTCAGCTGACCAGTTCCACAGACTGAGGGAAAACCAACATATAAAAATTGAGTATAATCCCTTTGGTACTCCTCAAGAAATGGTGACAACAAATTGTAACCATCAAAATCAAAATGGCCCCAAATCAGCAAATTTGTTACTAGATCAGTTCCAAAGAGTAAGCCACATCTTCAGGTCCCAATGGGTAGCTGCATATGGAATCGTAAAATGATCCATCCAGTTCTTCTTCAGACTTAAGTATAACAAAACTATCCATGTCAAAATCAGCGATGGCTGTCTGTTGCTTATTTGATATTTCCGATCAATACTTGAGGACCAATTGTAACCTACATATGAAATTTGAGAAAGATCCATCCAGTACTTCTAAAGGAATAGCAAATTATAATAAGTGTCCAAACCAAAGCTGACCATCTGTTGTCTGTTTTTCTAATCAGTTCCAAAAGGACCATACACATTTGAGGACCAAGGGGATCCTATGTATGAAATATTTGAGAAATATGGCATTTCATAAAATAGTGACTACAAACTGTCAAAATTCAAGATGGCTGCCTAAATGCCATTTTATTTTTCCCAGTCAGTTCCAAACGGACAGTGCAAAGTTAAGGATCATGATGTACATGTATCTGGATTTATAGAATGAACCGCCCAGTTCTCCAGATGTAGGCAGACACAACAAACTATTACAGTCCATATCGATAATGGCCACCTGTCAGCCATTTGTTTTTCTAATCAATCCCAATTCTTGCACAACTAGGGACTTAAAGGATCCGACATAAAACAGTTAAGAATGATCCTACCATACTTTTCAAGAAATTGTGATAACAAGAATCATTTGAGGACAGACTGGTGGTGGATGAAGAGCCGTCTGAGCAGTCTATTATTTGAAGACGGTGTGCTAAATAAATTCATTAAATGAAACACATGTTCCGTTTCTTCTTTTATTTTTCTTTGAACACAGTTATATATCAATATCATTTAACAAATATAATGTAATTGATTTGTATTAAAAAAGAATAAATGATTTATTTTGAACTTACTGTTGACAATTCAAAATGTTTTAAGTACAGTATTCCTGGCATTGTGACTTCTAATATGTACATCTAAGTTACATGGGCCACAACTACAAGTCACTATGCAATTACATGTACAACCATTTGGCAATGTTTAGTAGTAATACAGTCAATTTTCAAAAACAATTTCAAGGCCATTTATTTTTTTTTCTGAAAAACAGCAAGACACAAACTTAACCATAAAGGTTGTTACTTTTTAAGGTATTTTTTTCACCCGTTTTTCAAAAATGAAATAAAACTGTGAAAAACAGACTCCTTGAAAACATTAGTAAAAATGGAATGATTGTACATTTCATGACTGTCACAAAAAATATATACTTTTTGCGGGAAGCTTTTGGTAAAACTGAAAATCTAACACACCTGAAATTACAACCATAACTATATCTCAGTGTGATCATTGCTGATGCTGCCATTGGTTGTATCCAATGTAAAGTACAGAGAATGTTTAACACTTTAATGTGTGGTTACTACATCATTCGGTTGTACTCACTCACTCACAAACACACACCATCATTTCAAAATAATTCAAGATTACATAAACATAGATAAATAACTCACTTATGCTAGGAAAATTTTTAACTGAAAGAAAATTTATCATCTTCTTGACTTTCAATTGGACAATTAAAAAACATTCAACAAAAATAAATATCATATTTTATTAATTAAATAAAACAATTTCTAAATATCATGTACTTGTATTAGATACTTGGCAAAAATAAGTTGACATCAACCGATATAACTATGATTCATTCTTCATTATTCGTACCAAAACATTTGAAAATTCACTCAGATCTTCAGATGAAAGTGCTAATTGAAATTCCAATCTGTTTTTAAAGTAAAAATTATTGTGAACGTGCTTATTAATCCTTGTGAATATCTGCCTGAAAGTGATAATACACTAAAATTTGATTCCGCCAAATTAATTACACTTACATTATTACAAGAATCACAAAATCTCCGAGGTTCCACCTGAAGTCTGTCTAACAGTAGACACTTCATACAACCATAATGATTTTAAATGTTTGACTCTTCATACAGCCATAATGATTTTAGCTGTTTCAGATTTCATACAACCAAATTGATTTCACCTGTTTAATTCTTCATACAACCACAATGATTAACACATGATTGACACTTCATACAACCAAAATTATTTTAGCTGTTTGACCCAAACGGAATGCAATATGTGTTACATAAAGATGCTGGCCTCATAAATATTGATAATAATGGAATTTAAATGATAAACAAGAGATCTTACCGAAATCTTGATGCCCAACATTTTTTCACCTTTATTTGTTCTTTAGCCATTTTTTTCTCTTCTTTCCTGTGTTTTTGTTCTGAATTATGTAAGAGTTGAAAATTCCTATTAGAAATAGCAATAACAATCTTGCACTGTCAAATCCAAGATACAGTCTATCGACCATTTAGTTTTTCTTCTGAATTGCACAACTAAGGAGTAAGTGTAATCCACACAGGAAATTTGAGGAACATTCCTCCTGTATTTCTCACATATGGATAACAAACTTTCATTATGAAAATCCATGATGACCATCAGGAAGCCATATTGTTTTTCCGACAAGTCCCAAAATCAAACTATATTAGAAAAATGAAACAACGGATACAAGACAATTTGAACAACCCACCATCTGATTGTGGTGGATTAAAAAATGTAAAATCTGATTAATAGATAATAAATGACTTTTGTGATAATTCAATATCACATTTGTAGAGGAATGCTGTTTTGTTTTAATTATGCCTTTAACCAATTGCATAGAAAGCTGATGCATACATGAATAACATCAGTAATGTTTTTTTTTGTATTTATACAACAATAAACCAAACACACAATACTGTTTCTGTTTGGCAAATAGTAGAAGTGTGAGCTTCTTCAGAATCACTGGGTAGCATCAATATCTAGACTGTGAGCTCCTATTACAGGGTAGCATCAATATCTAGACTGTGAGCTCCTATTACAGGGTACCATAAGTTTCTAGACTGTGAGCTCCTATTACAGGGTACCATAAGTTTCTAGGCTGTGAGCTCCTATTACAGGGTAGCATCAATATCTAGACTGTGAGCTCCTATTACAGGGTAGCATCAATATCTAGACTGTGAGATCCTATTACAGGGTAGCATAAGTTTCTAGGCTGTAAGCTCCTATTACAGGGTACCGCCAATTTCTTGTCTTTGAGCTCCTGCAGAATAAGATGGTACCACCAATTTTTAGATTTTGAACTCCTGTTGTTAACTCTTTTTGATGCACGAGGTACCCACAAAATTTGTTTCCGTCAAGCTCTGTCTTGAACTATAGCCATTTCCTCAACATACATGCAACACATTACCATGTGGGTTAACAATTACCTATAGATCTGTTGGCACAGATTTTCTATGTGTGTTCTCAAGTCTCTTTTTTCAATTTCCACATCTCCTTTTATTCTACTTTCTCTTGCATATATCTTAAACACATCCTCTGCTTCAGATCTCTTCTGCAGGTGTTTTAAAACATCCTCTTTTTCACATTTTTTCTGTCATAAGACACCCTCTGCTTCACCTCATTTCCTTTGGCGTTTAAACATCCTACAATTCACATCTTTTCCTTAGGAGTTTAAAACATCCTCTGCTTCACATTTTTTCCTATGGCGTTTAAACATCCTTTGCCTCACATCTTTTCTTTAGCAGTTTAAAACATCCTCTGCTTCACATCTTTTCCTTAGGAGTTTAAAACATCCTTTGCTTCACATCTTTTCCTTAGGAGTTTAAAACATCCGCTGCTTCACATCTTTTCCAATGGTGTTTAAACATCATTTGCCTCACATCTTTTCCTTAGGAGTTTAAAACATCCTTTGCTTCACATCTTTTCCAATGATGTTTAAACATCCTTTGCCTCACATCTTTTCCTTTTTTGTTTGGTATAGTTTGGGACATCTTACTGTCACTGTTAAAAAGAACACATTCTTATTCATTGTAATTTACAGGACAGCCCCACACTAGAACTCTCTGAAGTAACTAATGGTCAGCATGCTGCCGGAGTGGAAAACTTAACTTGATAAACACATGTCTCCTGTTCCAGGATTGACACGACTCGATCATTTATGCCACAAAGGAAGGATATCTGAAATAAAAAGGAAACAGAATGAAAAATCCTAAAGAATGTCATTTCTATCAATAAATAAGAACATTTCAAGTAAAGCATCTGTCCTACCTCAGGCCTTCTGGTTTTGTTTACGGCTATTAATTAAATCATCTGTCCTACCTCAGGACTTCTGGTTTTGTTTACGGCTATTAATTAAATCATATGTCCTACCTCAGGACTTCTGGTTTTGTTTACGGCTATTAATTAAAACATCTGTCCTACCTCAGGACTTCTGGTTTTGTTTACGGCTATTAATTAAAACATCTGTCCTACCTCAGGACTTCTGGTTTTGTTTACGGCTATTAATTAAAACATCTGTCCTACCTCATACTACTGACATATTAGCAGAATCATGAGTATCATTTCTCAGGCCTAAGATAAATACGAACATATAAATATCTCCTTTCCACAGTCACAAATTAAAACTCACCACCGATTTACGGGGCAATTCTCCGGGACAGAGATGTGTTGCACCATTCAACATGTTGAGGATATATAATCCCTCGGACATGTATTCCCATACTGCTGTCTCTCCAAGTAACTTTGATGCCCGAGGAAACTGCTGCTGTTTGACACTTTTAAAAGGACAAACTGTATATTCATACCCTGAGGATTTAAAAGGGAAGCAATTCCGGCTCAACTTGAAAAAAACACCATCAGGTCCAAATTTCTGAAAGTGAAAAAAGATTTGCAATATAAATTAAAATATGGTAGACTTTAAGAAAATTTAGATTAATAGAATGAGAAAATCAGTTTTTAAAAAAAAATATTCAAATTTTCATATAATATGATAAGCATTCATCATAAGGTTCTCGTTGTGAAACATTCTCTTTTCTTGTGCCATATCAAGTTGGACATGTTTGATGCTCATTAGTATGCCTGAGGGTTCTGATGTTGTTTAACATGTTCTCATTTAGGAACGTGACATTACACACATGTACTTGGATTGACTAAGCTTTACAAGGTGGGTGCATTCTCAATGAAGTAGGTAAACGCTTACCCTTCAACAACATCTGATCTTGTTCTTTTTCAGAAGTTTCTGTGTAAATCTGTCTTATGCTCATAAGTTTCATAAATTTTAGTATGAACTTTCTTTCACATATTATTCTTGATAAAGGATAAGCGAGAATTTCTAAATCTAAAAATAAACATGAAATTTTGGTAGTTTCATGTTTAAAAGAATGTAGACCAAGAATCATTGAGATGAAAAGTTTGATCTTTTTCCTTCCTTCCTCTGTTTTGCTCTAAACTATTTGAAGCGAGAAAAATCCCTTTGAAGAAAAAGTAATCATAATAAATTTCATATATCCAAGATAATTGCTTGTTGCCCATCAGCTTTGTTTTATTGATACCAAAAGCCAATGTGGATGGCTAGGATGTAAGGGGGGACCGACACATTATATTTGAGAAGGGTCCATCCTGTTCTTTTCAAGAAATGCCAATTATGAACTTTCATTGTTAATATCTTATATGACCATTTGTAAACCATTTTATTTTCTTATCTGCTCTACAATTGATACAGCAGAACAAGTCACCAAAACAACCTACCCAAGAAATTTGAGAAAGCTCTATCCCACAGTTTTCAAGAAATAATGATAATATGAACTGCTTAAGGCCTGATGATGGACAGGGAAATTTGAACAGTCTGATAATGATGGGCTAAAATCTAGATATTGATATTCATGCTACATGTATTACAGGTATTGTTCTATTACAAATCTACAGTGTGATCAAACATGTCAGAGAATTCTCATACTCATAACATGCTTGTTTCCTACCAATAACTTTACATTGAGTAAACAAAACCAACTAATCCTTTCACACCTACCTCCTTTTCTTCCCCGAGAAGGTGTGCAGCGGCCTTGATGTACTCCAGTCTATGACGTTTCCCAATCTCTCGAATTTTTGCATCTTCCTCTTTTCTCTGTATAACCTTGTTACACAAGTTCTGACAAGGTGCTGTCAGTACAGTAGCAGTTTTTCCAGCTGAAGTCAATAAATAGTACAAAATTAAAGATTCCTATGCTGAAAATAAATTTTAATTTTTCATCCAAAATAATCCATTTTAATGTAGGGTTTTCTTCAGGTTAGAATTATGACTTGATATGTAGTTTATAGTTAAGGAATGATAGTACCTGAATCTTTTAACATGGTCTCATCACTACCTGCGGCTTAAACAATTCAGGTGTGATCATGCAAGATCTTGGCATATACATGTGTCAAATGATTGCTGTAAAGTTTGATCATGACAGTACCAGTACAGTAAACCATTAATCACATGAGTGCCTGCACAATGAGCAGTTATCATACATGTGATCATGTCAGTTTCTGCACATTGAACAGTTAACATGTGGTATGTCAATATCTTGCACAATGAAGTATCTGCACATTGAACAGTTAGCATGTGATATGTCAATATCTGCACAATGAAGTATCTGCACATTGAACAGTTAGCATGTGACCATGTCAATATCTGCACAATGAAGTATCTGCACATTGAACAGTTAGCATGTGACCATGTCAGCATTAGGACAACGTACAGTTAATATTTGATCATACCAGTACCATTAACTTTTGATCATCAAGTACCTGCACATAGAACAGTTAACATTTTATCATGCCCATACCTGCACGTTGAACACCCAGAGGTGGTGGTATCTCCTTCCACTCATCACTGCCGTCACAACAGTCACAGAGGCCATCATTAACACGACTGCTGGCAATACTCTGTGGTCGTTCATCTGGGATCTGGTGAGTGCAGAAAAATCTGTAATAAAACCAACTATCATGTGATTATTCATCCTCAAAACTCAGTCCTGCATATAAAGTGTATAGATTTATGTTAGAAAACACTTCCAAGCAAAAATATTATTACAGGGATGGTGAACATCCTTAGGAGAGGACAGCACCAATAGCCCTTACAGCCATCTGAAAGAAGTGAAAACATGTTTCTCTAGATGAAAGTTGTGGTGGCTACATACATATTGCATGGTGGTTGTACAAATTTCCTTTAGGATATGCCTCAATGTCTTACAGGTTGATACTTTAACCACTATTGCAGGCCCTAACAGAAGGAACAGCATTAAAAGAAAACAAGAGGCCTGATGGGCCTTCATCATTCACCTGGTATTCAATGTTCATCTAAAATAAAATACTAACCAATATCCTTATCAAACAAGTTCTAATACTCAACTCTATACCATGACATTTGGTTTGTTGGTTCATGAGAAGAAGATGTTTAAGTGAAAAAGTTGACACCAGATAGACGGATGATGGACACTGCACCATGGTATAAGCTCACTTGGCCCTTCAGGTCAAGTGAGCTTAAATAGATAAATAAAATGACATAACAGTTACTTTGGACTCCAATCTACAGTTTAGTGTTTACTATATTTACCTTCCATCCAAACATGCTGACGTGCCAGGCTCATCTGATCCGTCATCACAGTCACAGAAATCATCATTGACTTGAGTAAACGGAATGTTTTTCTGTAAGAAACATCGAGACAATGTGATAACATAAATTAGGTTATTGTCTCAGGTTAAACCAGACAGGTCAATAATACCCATAACTATTAATCTTCTTTTAAGGAAATTCACATTAAAGTAACTAGCCATTATCATATAACTATTCTTATCTTACTCATTTCTGATAATAGGTTCAATCTATTTCATTATTTTTCAATAAAACTATGAACTGATGTCACTGTTCTGTAAGAAGTGCATGTCAGGAATTGAAATAGGAAATGTAATGTAATGGCCCCCAGCTATCAATATGAGCTAGATGTGTAAATGATGGCACATTATGTACATCAAAACATCTCGGAATTTTTTTCAGCCAATTTAAATAAAATAACACATAGAATTCCCTGATAATGTATTATTGTCCAGATTATCAAATTACAAATTAATATATTCTGTCTGGGATTCCACAGTTTGTTATTTCTGCCCTGACTTACTTTTTTATCACGACAAAGGAACATATTGCCTTCAATCTTTTTATAGAACTTGGCATCTGTCCGATGTACACCTGTTGGCAAATTAGAAACATCTATCGCCAAATTCTCTCCTCTTTCACCGCCCCCTTGTGGCTGATGATTGATATCCACAGGTTTAAATTTTAGATCATGATTTTCAAAGTTTCCTTCCCTGACAGATTTCCCTTGATCAACGTCTATTTCTACATGCATATCAAATTCCTCTATTGCCTGATTTCGGCGATGTCGGTTTCCTCGAACAAGGTTGATGCCAACTTCCCCATCCTCTTCCATAGCCCTGAGAGCAGACAATCTACTACTAATGTTCAGAGCAGACAAAGAAAAAATCTGAAAGGTGAGGAATATGAAGCCAGCAGATAGAATGAGTAGAAGAATATGTTTCTTCCTCTTTGTCAGTACATTCCTCGGCATATTGTGCAAACTTCGAATATGTCATTTCTTGGTGTATTACGATTTCGTCACTCTGAAATAATGAGATATAGTGGTCTTACTTTTAAATAACTACTTACTTATTTGTCAATAAATCTATTACATGTTTATTGCTGGATGAATAAAGCTAGTCATATCATTTAACATTACGCATTGGTGAAAAACAGGCCCATTCCATGCCAAATACTTGAATATTCATTTGGTATAGGGTAGCACTAAAATAGCACACTGATATTCTAATATTTGTATTCACAATTGTTAGATATCAACATTTGGAAGATCACTAAATTTTCTTTATGTTTGCAGTCCATGAATTATTCAATCTATTTGGAATGGCATTTTGTCAGCTAAAAGATCAAGGTATTATTAGTGTTCAAAGCTGTACACCTGTACAATTCATCCTAATGCTAATTAGCCTACCAACTGAGGGCCTGAAGTCAGGCCTATCTAGGTAAGTTTTCCACATCGTGTGCATGAAACGACAAACATCTAAGCCGTACCTATAAAACTGCTGTATTGTCAGTCACTTTAATTAGCATTTAATTACATTATTTCTGTTGGACATTTGTGGACAGTAATAATTAAATACAAGTGATCTAAACATCCGATGTTATCTTCCTGCAGACATTTTAATTGCTCTGTTGACAATGAGAACTTATTGTATAGTGGTAAACTTGTTGACCTGGTACAAGTGAATTTTTTTGTCACTTTCTTTGAAAAGAAGTGTTGTATAAGAATCTTTTCAATATCAGTTTTCATTCATGAGCAGTTTTAATTCACATTGTTCTGGGCCTAGTACATTTAGCACAGGCCATCATTGTAAACAATGTGGATTTAGAACTAAATTCATGCTACAAAGTACTATCAGGATTATACATTTATACATTTAATAGCATTTTTTTTTTTTTTTTTAGTTTTGAAATAGATATATATAAATATATACTCTACGATATATATAAAGAAACATAAAGATGCTATAATAAGCAGAGATGGTGTAGCAACCCCCAGGCAGCAATGGGATAGAGTTGGCAGGATGGAATGAATAAAACTGAGAACATGACCATTCCACTTAGTCTACTAATATTGAATGTCTCTCCTAATGGCATGAGATCAAGACCAGTAAGCCAGTTTTGGAAATTTGATAACAAACAAATGTACAAATGAAGTGAGAATAGCAAGCTCCCTGAAATAAGATCAGTTTGGCCAGATGGATGGAGTTATATATTTTGATAATCGACAGACATGGCCAGTACCTGCGACAAATAAATTGATAATCTCAATTTTCCGAGAGAGTTCTCAGCATGTATTAATACCTGGTACACGTATGGTCACCAACCAGGTGTTACTGTGGTAGAGATTAATATACTTAGTAGTTAAGGTAGCAGTACACAGTTTCTTGGTGTGGCAACGGGTGGTATTTTGGTTCAATAGATTACCCCATCATACAGGTTATAATTAAAATTTTAAATATAAATCCTTGCTAAAATTGGTCATGTCAAGTTGAAGTGGACAATGTGGGGTTTCATATTTTTTAGAAGAATATTTTGCATTGCGTTACAGAATACTATATGGGCAGTCTTAAATCTGTGTCTACACATCAAAAACTAGCTTTACAAGAAATGAAATTTTCATAGTTTATGCATGGTCATGTGAAGACATTCCGATTTGAAATTTGCTAAAAATGTAAGTAGTTTGTTACCATGACAGCGTTGCTGATTTTAAGACTGGTGTTCAGAAATAAATTTCTTCTATAAAGTTGAAATGTTAGGTTGGAGTTAGCAGTAGTTTTGCATTTTTAGCTGTTTTTGGGTTGGTAGCCATGGCAATCACATGTCAGAAATCAGAGCATTTTTTTTTTATTAATACAATTTCTGTTTCTCTGCTATAATAAATGTAATTATTATGCAGTTTATAAATATATATGCATGTAAGGATGTATTGTTCATAACCAAACTGCTATACCTGTCAAACATGACCAACAATTTCCGGAAAATTGCAAATTAACTGTTTCTTGCTACCTTAGTATTTATGATGAGAGTGCTATTTAGGTGACTGCATATGGTTTCGGAACATCTATGATACAGGTGGTTGAAATTTTCAATTTAGTGTCTGAAATTTGGAGGCAGAGGAAGTCGGGTATTAACATCCTCTGATAATTATGACTTGCAATTGGTACCCCAGCAACGAAGCGATACCGCAACTAGTTACAGTGTGAACTAATATCCAATTTAACAACATACTTTTATTAAGATAAGATGCAAGCAGTACCAGTATCACTTACCTAATTTTACCTTAAATATGGCGACAAGAGCATAATTTATGAAGGTTAAATGCACTTTTGTCTTCGTCCTAATATAGGCCTGTGAAACACGTCACCTTAGCTGGAAGCCACCATTTTGTTAGTCACGTGACAACTTTATTCAATAAAACAACAAACTGACTATTCGCGCCACTGTAGAAATTTTCTAGCCACGCGAAGAGTATTTTCTATTCTCTCTTTGATATTATGTCCATAGATTTTAGGAGAAACGGTCACATATCAATTTCGTATCGTGTTACTTCATATTCGAATTCCGACTTGCACCATTACGTCACTTCCGCCTGGGTGGTGTCCATCTTGGAAATGAGATCAAAACATCCTGATAGATGGAGACAAAAGATTTCAGGGTATGATTAGAACGATGAGGACAGAAAATCCGTCAAATCAGGCAAGGGAAAGGATTTCGCTGAAGCTGTTTTAATGTAAGAAGCGTTTAGTCGATTTACATACGGGAGCTGATATATGTCTGTGTTGTCCGTGTTGAGTGAGTATGGTTACACTGATTGTGAAATATGACAGATCGCGGGTGTTTGGATCCTCTTCTTCTATTGATTTTGTCTGCGTCGTCGTGCAAACAAAACCCTAGTATACATTATCAAAATATCTGGCATCGTTTTGGCAACACTTCTGAAAATGGTCGTGGTTATTATAATTGCTGTCGCAGATGTATGAGTGTCGTTATATATATATAAAAAAGAGATGCATTCTTGCAATTGCAAATGCTTATTGAGTATAAAATCGCTATAAGAAAATATGCCTAATTGAATTATTTTATTTTCCCGGAGTATGTTAGAAAAATATTTTCTCCTATTGTATACAAATTAAAAAGTGACAATGATCAATTGTTGTAATTATCGTCATAAATAGATCAACATTTCTAATGCTGATATAATTCATACATCATAAATGATATGAAAAATCATAAACTTAATTGATATGAAAAAGCATAGCATTTGCTAACATTTTGCATACATGTATAACTTAATGAAACCAGCAGAAAGAATTCATAAAGTAAATGAAAAGTATGTCATGTAAATTTATCAAAAGTTGTATAGTGTTCATAATTTATTGGACAGAAACTGGGGTTCATTGTCTTGTAGTTTGTATCATTCCTCTTTTCCATGCTAATCTTTGAATTATCCATTTGTGCATATGCCATCTGTTTACAAGCATGCATTTATTTGATCATCAGACACAGTGTTCCCCCTTGCCTTTTGAAGCTAGGGGTTCAGTGTAACCAAGTTTAAAATTATTTGACGTTCTATCAACTTTTTGATATTTGTCTGGAGTCCATGCAGCTCAGAACTTCAGCCATATTAAAAGTTAGGGAAATAAGTGAGTCCTGTCTGGGTCATCATTCAAACAATAATTGTGGAAAGAAATCATCACTTTCAAATGCATATTGGATGTGGTTCAATGCCTGTTCTTTATATACAATATTTTCAAACAGGAACTGTGTCATATGAGTACACTTGCTAAACATACCATTTCCCAACTGTGCTCTGTTTCATTTTACTAATGTATTATAATTACTCCTTACATCACATACCAATATTCTTGCCATTTTGCACTTGGGCAATCGTTCAAACAATAACATAAACAAAATTGTTTAGATCTCCATCTTCCTTTTCACTGTGATGCCATTTCAGCTAGCATTCCCATTTATATACTGCTTTTTTTAAGCAGAGAAGTTGAGAAAAATAATAGATTGGGGTGCATTACTTTGAATGTGGTTGAATTGGCCTCAGATTCATCAACTTGCCCACAGAAAACTCGCCCCTAAAACTAGATTTTCTGCTCCTGGGCTAGAATTTATAATTTTCACTATTTTTTTTTATATTCAATATTTCATATGTCAGTATTTTTAATCAACAAGTCCTTATATGGAGTGGGACAGGACAAAGATGTACCAGTAAACTCCTGTCCTTGGAGTATGACATTTTTTTTCTTTGTGACGACATATACACTCAATGGCTACCATGCAAAACATTTCCAGATTTATATAGAACATTTTTCACATTTTAATCACCATCTTTCATACAACAGCATAAGATTGTTTTCAGCCCCGTATAAAGGCATTCTGCATCCATCGGCCAAATGGATTATCAAGACACCTAAATTTACATTACTATTTTCAATTTATTAGTTTGTTTTTGTTTTATGTTCTCTTTATGTGATGTAGTTTATGTAGTATTTGTGTTTTGATAAAGGGTCAGATTTCCTCAAAAAAACTGTCAATTCGCTTATTGTTATTGTCGTTATTACTTCATACAACCCAATAAATGGAGATAACGCTGCTTCTTTCATATTGATTCTGGATGTTCTTGTTACTCCTTGCTCTAATACCTACATGTTATATGGGACAATTGGAAAATAGGAACACGCTAAGTAGGGTTACAATCACAACAAACATGAAATAAGTAAATGTTGATTTATTATGTATCATCAACCAATTTTCGTCCAGAAATATAGGCTTCATCAGGAAACTCAAGTAAGAAAATTTTCTCCTAAAGTACTCAAAATGAGGACAAACGTATATTGTTACGTTAATAAAGGGGGTCATGTGTGTAGCCTTCTATGACCTTCTACAGACTCTATAAGGGTTAGCAACTAAACCTTGCAGGTTAACTTCTTTAATGGCAAAATTACTGAGTAAATTGAATGTCTGTCCAGATGAATAAAAGTTAAAGAAATAAAATGATGAAATTAATAAGTTTAACAAAGTAGTGTTTAATCAGTTCATAGGATCAGTTCATCTTCAAACATATTTGAGGTAGATTCTGACTTTTTTGTTGATTTGTATTCCGGATTAACATCTTCTACATCTGTTTTAGTAGTGGTCTCTTGAAAGGTAACCTTATGTCCCATAATTGCAGTAGTTAGATTCTGAAGGATTAGGTGAGGAAGAGGTAGACACCTCTTCCTAAAGTACTGAAGGATTAGGTAAGGAAGAGGTGTCCTTGGTCTGAAAGGGTTAGATCTTCCTTCACCCATTCTATCGCATTATCCAAAATCATACCTGCCAACCTTCCTGATTCAGTCGGGAATTTTCACTCCCCATCCCTGCCTCCCGATAGTATGGGTTAAAATTGGGGTAATCTCCCTTTTTCAGAGATCCTGCAAGTCAGAAGTAACCTTGCTATGTTTGTCAATTGGTAAGGCTGACCACCTGGTCACATAATCAAGGCCTAGCTAGGTGAGTTTACCGCCCAATTATGTAATTAGTGTCACCAACTCCAGTTAATATTTAATTGACCGTGACGCTTGAGAGCACACTTGTACATGACCAATTGTTCCCTACCTAATTAATGGTGACAATTGGTCAGGACTCAGTGGTGGGCCCTGGTAAATGCTTGGTGAAGATGAGGCCATTTTACAGATAATTAAGTAGTTACTACCATGTTTATAATACCTATTAAGTCAAATAACAAATTGGACAAGAAAGTGGTTTTAAAAATGAGCTTTATGATGTAACAGTGTGCAAGCATTCCTCAATCAATACAAATAATTTAAACACATCAGTCCTTAAAAAACAGACTAAGTTGGCATCATGAATAAAAAACAGATCAAAGAAATATTTCACTCATTGAAGAGTTGACTAAAATTTCAAGCATGTTTGGTTCTCCACAAAAACATCATATTGGTTATGTAGGAATTAGTTACACTTATGCAAATTAGGAACTGATTCGAACCAAATTTCTGGATGTGTATCTGTCTACAGTTATTTTCTACATATATGTTTCACAGTAAATACAAAAGTTCAAATATCATGGACCAGATCTAGATGAAAAAATTCATTTCATTTATCTGTTTTTTTGCCTTTTTTCTGTAACATTTTAATAAAATACCAGCTTAAAAGTTCATGAGAGGATTAATATTATTGTTTCCTTATTTCAATTAAAACAAATTTTCCCAGGAGCATCATATTTGGAAATACATATCCTTACTAACAACCAAACAGATAATCTCCAGTCATAGTATTCATTTTATAGTTCTGTTAATACTGAGAATTTATAAATTAATAAATTCCAACTTGAACATTACTTGCGAAAAAAATGCATCTATTTTTATAGTATAGTAAAGCATGCATTTTATCAATTTTATCTAGATATATTGATTAGATATACATTGATTAATTTTTCATTTGTGACAAATGTTGCAACACGCAAGGTATAGTGGTGAGTCAGAAGTATTGCTCACACACTTTTTTCCCCCATGAGAATTTTTGAAAAGTTGGTAGGTGTGCAAAACATGTTGATATTGCTTGTGTTGTGAGTCGACCGTGCTGTGACTAAATTTTGTCTTTGATAATTAATCTTCTATCCATTCCAGTAATACACATCCAATGAACATTTGTTTGTTAGGATCCAGTACTAATATTGTGCCATATCTGTGTTTATTGTCCTGATTTGCAGCTGGAAAAAAAGGCTGTTTCCCCTAGCCAAAATGTAAGTTAATTTCCCAAAATGAAGCAAAATCCAAGAATATTTTTTCAATTTTTCATAAAACACTTCTATATTTTCCTATTTATTAAGGTACAGGCTGCTGTTAAATCAAGGTAGAAAAAATATAGAATTCACTAAGTAATATTGATGGCAAATATGATATATGCCATCAACAATATTTACTAGATTCTATGTATATATGTCTATCCTGCAATTGACGCTACCATCGTCTGAAAACACAAGTCACATATATATTGTTGCTGTATTTGGCAGTGACAGGAAACCGCTGTATTTTAGCATGTGCATTAATTTGACAGCATTACTTTCTGAATATACCGAAATATTTTGTTTAATACAGATTTAACAAAAAAACTGCTTAAGTTTCATTAGTCTGACAGGGTTTTCCATAAGAGTCGGTCGCCGGCCAATTTGACCTGCTACTTTGATCATTTGGCCGCCTACACCAATCCAGTTCCATAATAATGTTCTGTACATGACTACACGTACACGGCAGACCAGCCTCCTACTTTCACTACACAGCCTACTACTAACAAAATTATGGAAAACCCTGTCTGATTTTCAAGCACTCTGTTGCAGGATAAATAGAATACAGGGTCAGTGTCTTAAAATATCAGCTGTATTTTTGCTCAGAACAGAAAGTGGCGAGCCTCTGGTAAGCTACTTTTGTCATTCTTTACCCCCGACAAAAAGTACAGCTTATTTTTTAAGACTTTTACCATGTATTCTCTATAAATACATTTAGGCAAAAACGAGTGATGTTGAAAACTGGGAGGCTTTATAAGTTTATCAATAGTGCATGCCAATTAATTGTTTCAGGTGCAATTTGAATGAGATGGGCCTATTTAAAGATCTCACATTTGCCAACAGAATTTTCTGTTCATCCATGACTATTTTTGGATCTGTTCAATTTCATAGTGACATTAAACCTTAACTGATCATTATGACATTTCAGTGTTTCAGCATCGGAAATGGTGGCTGTTCAAAACCATTGCATGTTTTAATATACAGAACATTGAGGGTTTAAATATACTGAACATTGAGGGTTTAAATATACTAAACATTGAGTGTTTATATATACTGAACATTGAGGATTTGAATATACTGAACATTGTGTGTTTAAATATACAGAACATTGAGGGTTTAAATATACTAAACATTGAGTGTTTATATAAACTGAACATTGAGTGTTTAAATATACAGAACATTGTGGGTTTAAATATACTGAACATTGTGGGTTTAAATATACTGAACATTGTGGGTTTAAATATACTGAACATTGTGGGTTTATATATATACATTGTGGGTTTAAATATAACATTGTGTGTTTAATATATACTGAACATTGTGTGTTTAAATATACTGAACATTGAGTGTTTAAATATACTGAACATTGATTGAACATTGTGTTTAAATATACTGAACATTGTTTAAATATACTGAACATTGTGGGTTTAATATATGAACATTGTGGGTTTAAATATATGAACATTGTGGGTTTAAATATACTGAACATTGAGTGTTTATATATACAGAACATTGTGGGTTTAAATATACAGAACATTGCATGTTTAAATATACTGAACATTGTGGGTTTAAATATACTGAACATTGTGGGTTTAAATATACTGAACATTGTGGGTTTATATATACTGAACATTGTGGGTTTAAATATACTGAACATTGTGGGTTTATATATACTGAACATTGTGGGTTTAAATATACTGAACATTGATTGTTTATATATTCTGACAATTGAGTGATTATATATACTTAACATTGAGTGTTTAAATATACTGAACATTTAGTGTTTAAATATACTGAACATTGAGTGTTTAAATATACTGAACATTGAGAACATTGTTTAAATATACTGAACATTGAGTGTTTTATATGAACATTGAGTGTTTAAATATACTGAACATTGTGGGTTTATATATACTGAACATTGTGGGTTTAAATATACTGAACATTGTGGGTTTATATATACTGAACATTGTGTGTTTAAATATACAGAACATTGTGGGTTTAAATATACTGAACATTGAGTGTTTATATAAACTGAACATTGTGGGTTTATATATACTGAACATTGTGTGTTTAAATTTACTGAACATTGAGTGTTTAAATATACTGAACATTGTGGGTTTAAATATACTGAACATTGTGGGTTTAAATATACTGAACATTGTGGGTTTAAATATACTGAACATTGTGGGTTTAAATATACTGAACATTGAGTGTTTAAATATACTGAACATTGTGGGTTTATATATACTGAACATTGAGTGTTTAAATATACTGAACATTGTGGGTTTTATATACTGAACATTGAGGGTTTAAATATACTAAACATTGAGTGTTTATATATACTGAACATTGTGTGTTTAAATATACAGAACATTGTGGGTTTAAATATACGAAACATTGAGTGTTTATATATACAGAACATTGTGGGTTTAAATATACAGAACATTGTGGGTTTAAATATACTGAACATTGTGGGTTTATATATACAGAACATTGAGTATTTAAATATACTGAACATTGAGTGTTTAAATATACTAAACATTGTGGGTTTAAATATACTAAACATTGTGGGTTTAAATATACTGAACATTGTGGGTTTAAATATACTGAACATTGTGGGTTTATATATACTGAACATTGAGTGTTTAAATATACTAAACATTGAGGATTTAAATATACTGAACATTGAGTGTTTAAATATACTGAACATTGAGTGTTTAAATATACTGAACATTGAGTGTTTATATATACTGAACATTGTGGGTTTAAATATACTGAACATTGAGTGTTTATATATACTGAACATTGAGTGTTTATATATACTGAACATTGAGTGTTTATATATACTGAACATTGAGTGTTTAAATTTACTGAACATTGAGTATTTATATATACTGAACATTGAGTGTTTATATATACTGAACATTGAGTGTTTAAATTTACTGAACATTGAGTATTTATATATACTGAACATTGAGTGTTTAAATATACTGAACATTGATTGATCCCTGGTAAATTATGAAAGACAAACAGTCAATACTACCTCAGTGTTTTAACAATTAAAATTAATGTAGAAATAAAGACTTCTCAACATCCAAGAACGGTAATTGTCCTCTGTACTGTGGTCTGCGTATTGTCAACATGTTTTTAATGGTTGGAAGCTAACATCACTTTTACAACTTTCATATGCTCTTGAGTACAATTTGGTGGTTACAGTTGTTAGGTAAAGGTGGTGATGTTATGGATCTTAGACAACTGTGATATTGGCCATGTTATACTATAATCAGTGGCAGAGTAATTTTGTTAACCAATTAGTATGTATATCCATTCACATGTCGATAAAAGATAGTTAATTTTATCAAACGTAGATGTTAGGGACTTTGTCTTTTAACAATTTAGCTATTCTAATGGAAATTTACTGTAAACCTACTGATCTAGTGACCTTAATAAATAGGGTATACTTTGTACGTAACAGTAACCATGGATACAAAATCTTCCATAAGTGTTCATTGTCAACTCGTTGATCTATTCAAGTGATAAGTTTAGTTTAGATACACAATGAAGGTTTATAACAATCAAAATTTTAACAAGTGAAAGTTCCCACACTAATGATTCATAGAAATTTGTTTACAATGATATACACATAGTTGGGGATGCTGACGCATACACCAGCAACATTGTAAGAATGACTAAAAATAACTTTAATTCGTGACACCACGGTGGTATGCTTTATTTTAGTCAAGATACTGCAGGATGGTCTTACAAGCTAATACACACTGGGAATGTTGTCGCCTCAGTTAACAGCTGTTATCTTAAGTGGCATACAGAGTTGATTTTTTGTAATTTGAAAGTCCAGTTGGTATTCCATAGGGTTTTTTGATTATTTACTTTTATTTCCTTTAAAAAGATGTTTTTCTATCAGATTTTTTTTCTGTCTGATACTGGTTTGGTGTTCTGTGGATAGGAATTAATTACCTAACACCCTGTCTGGTATTTCAGGTAAGTCCTGGCTTGTATGTCTATAAATGCACTGTTGAGTCTGTGGTAGATATGTATATCACTGCTCAGACTAATCACAATAATTTCACAGTTTGAAATTCACATATTGTCATATATTGACAATGTTATTCATATGATATACATTAAAACTTAAAATGTGGTGCTTTGCAAAATAAGTGTGATTTTTTTTTAATAGATTTTTGTGATGAGTTTTAAACAGTTGAAGATACCTTTATGAAAGTTGATGTATGACTTTGTCCAGATCATCCACTGTGAAAGTGCAGTGCTTTTTCATTTAGTCATTGCAACCTTGACTTCAAGCTCAAAGGTTAAAAAAAAGTGAGAGATTTTTTTTTTTGATAATTTATTGTTTGAGTGTTCATTTTAAAATCATTAAAGATATGAACATTACTATATACCTCCTGACTAAGTGTAGTGTCTTCCCATTGGATCATTGTAACTGTGACTTTTAGGTCAAAGGTCAGTGCCAGTTTTTCCAATAGTTTCTTGTTCAGGCTATTGTATGTAAACTGTTAGAGATCTCATTGAGAGTTGTTTGGTAGGCAAGCAGAAGACTTTGATGTTGCTGTAAACAATGTTGATTAGTTTTTGTAGCTATGGTATAGACAATTACACACATACTAGATAGCAACTATTTTAATATGAAATTACTGTGTATGAACAAGGCACTGCACTTTGTCAGTGGGTGATATCAAAGGTATACAACCTACCACAAAAACAACAAATATTTATACACTTTGGAACACCGAGAGACATGCTTTTGTTCACTAAAACAAATACAGCTTTACCAGGAAATTATCCAAACAAATTAGTCTTCCAAATAATTCAAATACATCCACCATTAGTGTGTCATTACTTGTGCCTTTAATAATGTGACCATTGTGTACAGCGTTGTGTACTCTAAAGTAGGTTGACAAGGAAGCATTATAATTATTTGAAATAACATATTTATGTCCAGGAACGTAGGAGAATGATACATGATTGGGACAGTCAGATATATGTTGTGTTTCTTGATATGATTTCAGTAATCAACAAATGTTATCTTTAGGTTAGGTCACATTCATATTTATCCATATTATCTACCTCTATGTACTGATATATAGTTAGACATGAATCATCAGTCACTTAAATCCTTTACAACTATGGACCTACAAGTTTTCTTGTGTGTTTCAGAGACATATCTGTGTTTTAAAGAGACCGACCATTCCATCATGAAGAAGAGGGACTCAGAAGTGGTGTCCGTTTCTTCAGCAAACTCCAAGGGATCTGAGCGTCGAAGGAATGGAACAAGATTTTCCTTGCGGAGAATTTTTTACCCAACAGGAAGCAGACGTTCCAGGTCCAGAGTGAGTCTTGATTCCGATTCTGGTCGTTCAGAGATGAGTCTGAGTGTACCATCAGACAGGGACAGTATCACTCAACATTCCATCACATCTGGTGCACAGACTCAGGCAGTTAGTTGTAAGGCTACTACAGGTAATGGAGGATCAGCACGAGAATGTCCACTCTGTCTCACAGAACGACAAGCAGAAGATTTTCCAGAAATAATGACTTGTCACCACAGGTATTATTGGAGGATATTGAACTTAATTTTGTAATTTTTCATTGAAAGACTTTTTGTTGGTGAATAGAAATATAAAAATATTTTTAGAAAATGAAGAGGGCAGTGAATATGTACCAACTAGCAACCCTCTCTGTGAAATGAGGAAGTCAAATTTCTCTACTTCATGTCTAGACATTGAGAATGAAGATGTTTTGTAATTTTGACCATAATGATAGTGAGAGGTTTGTTAATGAAATTTTAGTCAAAAGTTGAGATGCATCGAAAGTCATGTTATGTACAGACCCAATTTCTTTTGGAAAATGTGCTAATGCATTAACGTTTAGTCACCATATATTCAGGACAAATTTGTATTGGGCCATTGTGTTGAAACCTTTGACCTTTATTCTTTCAGATCCTGCATCACTTGTCTACAGACATACCTTAAGATTGAGATCACAGAGAGCCGAATCAACATATCCTGCCCCGAATGTATAGAAAAATTTCATCCCAATGACATTCGACTGATCCTGCAGAATGATTCACTCATGGGAAAATATGAGGACTTTATGGTTCGTCGAGTGCTGGTATCAGACCCAGATGCCCGGTGGTGTCCTGCCCCTGACTGCGGGTGAATTTTAACTTTACTCTTAACTTTCTTCATCTGTAAATATCGGCATCTGTTGATTTGTCCAGCAGGTTACCATGGTAACATGTGATACTGAAAGAGATATTAGGAGAGACAAAAAACTTTTTGTCTGTGTTGTCCACATTTTGTAAAAGTGAGTTAAAAGGTGGGGCTTAGTGTACTGATGTCCATTTTGAAAATAAAAGATATATTTTATGACTAATGTGTACTATAGCCCATTTTTAAATTCAAGGAAAACTCAATGAGTTGGTATTATGTTGCAGATATGCTGTGATAGCTACTGGATGTGCAGGGTGCCCAAAACTGAGGTGTGAACGTCCAGGATGTGACACTCATTTCTGCTACCACTGTAAACAACACTGGCATCCTAATAAAACATGTGATGCTGCACGTGCTGAACGCTCCCCAAACATGAGATCAGCTTCACTCAGCTACAGTCACGATAATGATTCTCAAAGTAAGAAAACAATTATACTTGTATTCACAAACATTTCTTAACTAGTCAGATACAGAACTGAAGTCTAAACCCTATGTGTCTAGCCCCCATGTACAAAGATACTAGACTAAAGAAAGCCTGGTTAATTTGACAGCTTTGATTTTTATTTTGGTGAAGATCTTCAAGGTTTCAACAGGTCTTTGAGGTTAGTCAGATGATGTGTGTGCCTTGATAGCATCACTTTGGCATAAACTGTAGTACTAGTACATTCTATGAGGAAGATTTATCTATGCAATAAGGTGCCATGGAAAATGCACATTTTTGTAAAACTACAAGATTTGAGCCCCACGAAAACATATATATTCATATTAATTGAACTTTTGATTCCATTGTTCAGGTATTCCACTCCTAATAGTCGGTCAGATATTTAAGTTACATGTTTTGATATATACAATGATATATATTTAATCAGCCAGCGGAAATATCTTAATGAAAGTGTATATACAAACCTGGTGCTGTGACCCAGTAGTATGACATACATGTTACCCTAGAAATGTCACTGCTAATCAAACATTTAAATTATAAAGACTTTCTGTTTTATATTGTACTTTGCAACTTGGTGGATAGATTTTTACTGACGCTCAGTTTTGAAGACTTCCTAATCTGGAGTTCATGGTAGTGATGGTTATTAGGTCACCAGGAGACAAAGTCTCCTGGTGACCTATTTTAATACCCTACAATGGGCGTTGTGCATTGTGCATCTGTAAACAATTTAACATTTTTTACCTATTCACAAAAACTCCTGATCCAATTTCAATGGAATTTTACAGGATCTTTCTCCAGCTTAAGATGAACCAAAATTGTGAATTATACAGTTCCCACCCCCAGAGGCCTAAGAGGTCGGGTGAAAATTTGTGAATTGTGAATTTCGTGGCCCCAAGGTCTCACATTTCCCCTTGCAGAGGGGGTAAAATTTACTATAGTTTATATAGGAAAACTAGATTTTTGAGCATAATTTCCATTGGAAATATTTTAAATTTGGTTAGAATTATGAGTGAATGATGACGGTTGGATGGTATGCCCATATTGATCTCAGCTGACCTCCAGGGACTGATTGGCGGGGCCAAAAGGGGTCATATTAACTTAAATTTCAAAAATGTTCTTTTCAAGACCCAGACATGGTAGAATCAAATGCTCTTCGTGAATGGAAGCATCTTAAGGTGCTTTAATTGCCAAAATTAGTCGCACATTTCTTCCTGGGGAGGAAAATATTTTTTCATAAATAATTTGTAATTTTAGCATAACATTGGTTGTTTCCCACTAGAAGGAATTAAGAATTATCAGTATAGGTATCCTTTCACATTTTTATTCAATATTGCTTATCTCAGGTGACCGTCAAGGCCGCTAGGCCTCTTGTTTGTTTGCTGTACTCTTGACATATTGTTTTGTTTTTGTTTGCAGAAGATGATATCAAACCATGTCCTAGATGTGGTGCCTTTATTATGAAGATGAACGATGGATCGTGTAACCACATGGCCTGTCCTGTATGCGGTGCCGAGTTCTGTTGGTTGTGTATGAAAGAAATCTCAGATCTACATTATCTAAGGTTAGTATAGTATACTGTTCCGTAAAACAACATACACTATAGCTTATATGATGGCTTTTTGCCTCATTGTAACATTTCTGAAACTTTTCTGTTCAGAGACCTCTACATCCAATTATCAAAAAATATAACTAGGGCAGTAAGGCTCTCTATAACTGTAGGGACATGATCCAAATGAAAATAATTCTGAAACTGAAGGTCTTTCGTTTAAATGCTAAATTGTTTTTGTGAAACTGACTTTATAATATTTTCATTTGTTTTATCTAGTCCGTCAGGCTGTACATTCTGGGGTAAGAAGCCTTGGAGCCGCAAGAAGAAGATTCTGTGGCAGTTGGGTACACTAGTTGGGGCTCCAGTGGGAATAACGTTGATTGCTGGGATAGCAGTCCCTGCCATGGTCATTGGTCTGCCTGTCTGGGTTGGCAGAAAGGTGAGAGAATACTGTAAAAAAAACACCACTATCCATAAATGATATCTGAGAAAAAAGCTTTACAAAATAGGAACAAAAACCTTTTATAGCAAAACTTGGTGTATTATTTCAGATCACATTTCTAGAGCACGTTACCAAAATAACCAGTAAATAATTTAATGTAACTTCCATGAATATCAGTAGTGATTAACAGATGTCTTTAAAAGATGATCTTTGATAGTATCATTCTCTAAACACTCTGTCAGCAGGAGCTGTGGTTAGAGCTTACATAGCCTCAGATAAAGATCTGAGGTGTGTTTGACGCTCCCTACACATGGCAGTTTATGTTTCTCAGGGTGCTGAGGAACAGACTGGTCTGTGCTGACGTGGTGGGCAAGACACTTTACTGTCATTACTGTGAACTGCTTGTTACATGCCTCCTGTATGTTGTTCAGTGAGTTAGCCACCAGCTACTGAAGGGAGACTCACTTGAAAATGATCCTGACTGTTCATTGGGTGATTAAGTTAACAAACAAACAAGACTGGTTTACAAGGTTGTATTCAGATTAAATCATTTTATGGTTTTTGTGTGGTTACAGCTCCATTCCAAATACGAGCACAGCTCCCGTCACAAGCGGAATCTGGCGATAACAGGTGGCGTTACAACCTCCATACTCGTGTCTCCTGTCATAGCAGGATTGGCTGTCGGTAGGTTGCATCTTCAAATGGATAGAAAGCATACAAGGTTGTATCAGATTAGTGCCAGGATAAGGATCATTGTAATTTTTTCACATTTAAGTCATTGAATCATGATTCATATTCATATGTAAATACAAGTGCCCTAAAACAGTGACTGCTCTGTCTCCTATCAGTCTATTTGTATAGGATAATTTATGGTTGAAAAGAATTGTACAATTCATAAATTGTGTTTCTGAAGCTAAATTATTGTCCATGATGACCAGAGAAAGTGACATGTAACTTTGTTTTTACCTCCAGGTATTGGTGTGCCAATACTTCTGGCCTATGTATATGGTGTTGTACCTATCTCACTGTGTCGCAGTGGAGGTTGTGGAGTCACCACCACAAACAAAGGAGGTGTTCGATTCGAATTTGATGAAAATGAAACTGCAGGACAACCGAGTGTTTACACAGGTATGGTTACAAAGAAATCTAGTGTTAGATAATGATTTGTGATGTTGGCAGATGGTAATGAAATTATGTCACACATTCCTGGAAAACAATATAACTTTGACATTAGATATATAACTAAGACAGCATAAGGAATGACATGTTTTCTGGAATAACTACAGACATAATATGATGGAAAGGATCTTGATTAACTTTATATTTCACTTGGGGAGATGATTAGTTGTAGGGTCATTTCAAACTTGTATAAATTCCAGTATAGACTATCTGACATTGCATGGTGAAAAAATTTCTAATAAAGGATAAAGAGAGATTTAGAATCCTGATTGTAGCCTGATTTCTGATATGATGTTGTGACTATTTAATTCTATATAATTTTCTCCATCAATCCTCATGTTTGATGGAGAGGGAAGGCATGTCTTTCTTGACTTATGCAACTTGTCTGTTTCATTCTTAGGTGATAATCAGAGTGTGGGCACTGGACACAACGTAGCCAACCCCAGTATAGCTCCTAGTATCGGAGAGGCATCTGTCGGGATGACAGGAAGTCTCAGTGCCAGCGGCAGTCACATGGAGCGCGTAGGTGTGATAAGAGATGAGAGTGACAGAGACTCAGCCAGTAACCGTGCCTTGGCAGGGTCCAGTCTCAATGGTAGTCTTTGTGGTGGATCGTACGTTGTAGGATGTTTTCAGAATAAGTAAGTTAATATATATATATTTAGATAACATTCTTTTAATGTTGGAATACTGATTTAAAATTTCAACCCTGGTAAAGATAATATTGCAGAGTTTACCCTTTTTTACTCACACATGATCATTTTTCTTAGAAGTATTGATTTATTAGACCAGAAGTCAAAGTGATGTTTGGGTTAAGAGTATGTCAAGTGTTTTAAGTGTTGCAAGCTTTGCTTATCTTCTGAAGTCATAATGTATGCATGATGTGCACTTGGTATTTGGTTCATTGTCAGTAAGTTTTTGTTGGGGGTTTATTAGGGCCCAGCATCGCGATGCGGGTGCCCTATAGTAATCACCTTGTCCGTCTGTCCGTCTGTCCGTCTGTCTGTCCAGGCGTCTGTCTGTCCGTCTGTCTGTCCGTTTTGCTTTCCGCACGATATCTTGAGAAGGAATGATGAGATTTCGATGAAACTTGCTTATGATACTTGGTACATAAGTCCCTCGCTCAAGTTCGATGTTCGCCAAATTCCGCGCATATTTAATGAGGCTGCTGCAATCTGATTGGCTGAATGTTTTACATGTCTGTCGGTTTCGCTTTCCAAGCGATATCTTGAGAAGGAATGATGGGATTTCGATGAAACTTGCTTATGATACTTGGTACATAAGTCCCTCGCTCAAGTTCGATGTTTGCCAAATTCCGCGCATATTTAATGAGGCTGCTGCAATCTGATTGGCTGAATGTTTTACAGAGAATATCTTCTGAAGGAATGATTTGGGATTTCTTTAAAACTTGCTTCGTGATACTTGGTACATAAGCCCCTCATTCGAGTTCAATGTTCACCCTGTCCGTCTGTCTGTCCGTCCGTTTCCCTGTCCGTCGATCCATATATCTGTCCATCTGTCCATTTTCATTGGATTTTGATGAAAGTTGCTTTCAATACTTGACACCTGTCCATATATTTCTTAATATTAAGAAACTCAATCATAAGGGGTAGGTATTATGCGGGGCCCTTCCTCGACAATGGTCTAGTTTTCTTTGAATGATAAACAGATATAAATTGACATGGATCATATTACTAGTCTGTTTTATGAGCAAGATTTGTGTTCAAAGTAAGGTGCCATTAAAGATACACATTTTTGTAAAGCCAAAAAATCCAGCCTTGCAAAATATGTGATATTACAGTAGTTAAACTTAACTGAAAATTATAGTTGTTGATGTAGTTTAAAGAAACTTCTGGACAATCAAGGACTTTTAGGAAACTAATGGACAATCAAGAACTGCAATATTGTTTTAAACTGAAAATGGTATGAAACATACCATACCATATGTATTGTGCATGGCCTGCTGACCACCAGTAATATTTTGTACCTCTGCTGAAGCAGCAGTATGTGTTGTATATAATCACGTGACTTTTTCTCACAGACTAGAAGTATATAATCATGTGACTTTCTCTCACAGACTAGAAGTATATAATCATGTGACTTTCTCTCACAGACTAGAAGTATATAATCACGTGACTTTCTCTCACAGACTAGAAGTATATAATCATGTGACTTTCTCTCACAGAGAAGAAGTATATAATCATGTGACTTTCTCTCACAGACTAGAAGTATATAATCATGTGACTTTCTCTCACAGACTAGAAGTATATAATCATGTGACTTTCTCTCACAGACTAGAAGTATATAATCATGTGACTTTCTCTCACAGACTAGAAGTTCAGGCTGATATGGTATCCATGAACAACACCACTCTAACAAAAAGGAACAGTTTCAGCAGTGAGTCTGCTAACCTTAGTATTGGGGAAAAGTCCACTACAATTTCTTTTGGTGATGATGCAAGCACTAAAGCTCTAGCAGGATCTATAGCTGGGTACAGGTGAGAAATATTTAGCCAATATCTATATGTTAACTTATATGGGTACTATGAAATGATATAAAAACTATCAAGAGAGGTTATGCTTGTCAAATCCAATACCATTATGCTTGTCAAATCCAATACCATTTGAGTGGCTGTTCCTTCACAAAAATCATGGATAGATGCATTATACAGCTTGAATTGTGTATCTCTGAAATACAAAATCACTCACTGGATGGAGTCGATTTGTCACGACGAATTAGTGATCTGTAACTAATGTCTGTCATTTTTATGCCTCTTATCATTGTGGCTTTGTTTAATCCCTGCATCAGAGATGTAAATTAAACTATATCACAAAATTGTGTAGAAATGTATTAAATGTTCTGAATTACTGTGTATGTACATGTGTCAATCTTTTTTTATTGATTCATGATTGAACTAATTAGTGAAAATTAATAATGCCCTGTGATATTTTTGTACTATATAAAATTAATTTGCAGTAATTCATCATTGACCAGGAAAAAAAGTAATTGGATTAAAATTTACTTTTTAAAAAGATCAGGACTAAACAAGGACTTCTTTTGATATAATACACATCATTGATTGCTATTCTTTGTATGGTCTAGTTTTATTGACCTCCATTTAGTATTATATATCTTCCTTCACTTCAGGGACAAAGACAGTGCCTCTATAACCACAACATCACCATATGAGGTGCAGGTTGATGTGGTGTCACAGTCGTCCCGGGGACGCAACAACAGTGGAGGGAGTGGCAGTCTTAGTGCTATTTCTTCAGAAAACAGGAACAGAAACACTTCTGGTCAGAGCTCCCCTACCTCAGGATGTAGTACTAACATGTGTGCAATAGGAGGCGAGGAAACCAAAAACAATTCCTTCAAATGTCGGAAATGTAAACGATTTAATGGTAACTATTGTGACAAATCCACAGATCAGTGTGGCGTACATTTCGCTGAGAAAGTTAGTCTTCAAAATTTCCAGACTGACGACATTGTATCGCCAACACTGAGCGAAGAATTTGTCAAGTATTGTAGTAAGGATAACACAAGAGACTTTGTGCGAACGAAATTATCGGATCCTTTCATGGAAAACTCTGCTCCATTAGCAGATACAGCAAGCGAAGATACCCTTCCGGAGGTGGAAAGTGATCGACCATCATCAGCCAAAAAGTTGGCCTCGGCTCCAAATAGAAAGTCGATGTCCACATCAGCTCTTATGAGTGAATGCATGAGTGCCAGTGATGGGAGTCTTTGTAAAAGCCAGAGTCAGGAGGATTATATGTTCAGCAAAATGCCGTGTATGGATGGAGCTCGTCTCAGACGACTTAGTTGTGAATTAGCACGTGAAAATGGACGAATTTCACCAACATCAGATCTTAAGGATTGCAATTCTGAATCGGTTCCTTTGAAATAAGTCACAAATTGTAGGTGTTGGTTTGATGTTGAACATACTTCTTTTCGAGACAAAATATTTTATCATGAATTTGTCAAAACCGTAATTAAATTATGACTTTGACAAAAAGAAATAAAAAGAAGACTTTATAATTAGACTGCGAAGCTAAAGTAGTGAAAGTTGCTGCTTCAGCTTATTCGACCAATCATGGTTCATTGACGACAACTTTCAAAGTTTAATACCATTGCGATCTATGTGGTGTTAATTCTGTTGTAAAATTCCATCCAGTCTTTTTTTAAGAACCAATTGCAATGAGAATAACAAGTAAGATTGAGTTGAGATGAAGAATGATGGTAACAGATCTGTCAGGAATACATCTAGAGGAAACAAGATTTGATTTCAATTTTCTTTCCTCAGTGAACTTTTTGTTTTCATAATTAAATAGTATTGCCAATGAAAATTATTATCAGCAGTGTATAGCATTTCTGTTTTACGTATTTTCGTTAAATTTTTGCTTCATAAAATGAAGCCCAAACAATATTTATTATACTTCCTGTCTTGTTAAATGTTGTATAAATGAAAGTGTGTGTTGTAAGCTAAAAATGTTCTTGTCAGATTACAATACTTCTATCCCTTTTTAAGTTCAAATCATGTTTCAACTTAAAATACAAATTTATTTCCATCATATCTTTGATGCCTTAATCTGTCTCAGTGTATTTGATATATTACCCTCACTCTATTGAGGATGTACAAAACTAAACTGATGGAGGACTTAAAAGAGCCAATGGTTGTCAAGCTTGTATGTTAAACCATTCATCTTTAACAGATATTTGTTTTTCCAGTTTTATGGTTTGAATTTTTTATTTGTGTATATCTTTATTTATCGCAAAAAGAAACCGCTAAAAATTCAATGCATTAAAAAATATTATGATAGTATATATTCATCATACAGTCAAGTTAAGCACAAGTATATATCAAATTTTTAATATACCATCATGTTTCATTAAACAAATCTGTGAGAGTATCAGGTTTTTGTTACTTTTACTTGTTAAACCAGTCGTGAAACACATTTTTTTTGCCATTTAGCACAGAATTGTACTAGTATTTACCATCACGTCAAATAGAATAATAAGTGACCTAAAACTTTATATCTACTTATACATGTATCAGCACATAATAGTAACACGTTTGTATTAAACGGTTAACACACCAATGGGACATTTTGTATAGGAATTTACCATTGGGCATTTTACTTGATCTAATGTAACCACAGGAAATGGTTATGAAGTATGATATCACAGACTTCACCAAAACATTATTTACCATTTAGAGACCATAGATATTGAACAAAGGTGGTAGAACTTTTAACCAAAATATTTGCCTTTCAAGTTTAATGTAGCCAGAGCTAGAATTTCTGACAAACCCTATAATTTGGTCAGTTAAATTAGACTTTGAAACGGAAGTTATAAACTTATTCAAAATTTTTTACTCTTTTAAATTGATTCAGATACGCAATATGCAAATCATTATAATATGCATTGTTGTCATGATGAACTGGTTGTCCTGGCCATTAGAGAGTACTGTATGTTTCTGTGAGAGTTTCTACTCTTGCTTTTGGTGTAAAACTTTCTAAAAGCTGATGTATATATGAAATACTGGTATTCTTAAGCTTGCTCTTGGGCAATTGAATTTCCGTAGTGCTATTCATTATATATCAGTCTACTAGAGAATATATACATCATTTATTATGTTATAGTGTCTGTCTCGCTGGCTGCCACGCTGGTCAGCTGACATTCCTTTGTTTCAATAATGAAACAATGTACTATATGTTTTCCACATCAACACATCCCAATATATTTCAACATTTTTCAGATTTTTTTTTTTTGTTTGAAATTATAATAATTATGATGTAGAAAGGTTCTTATTGGTTCTCCTTGTGTTACCATGGGTCACTGGATGCTATATCTTGCTATATCTTGCTACGTGGTATTAAATGGGTGTAGGTAGCATTGCCCTCTCCCGATCCCTCGGTATGGACTAACACCAGCTATGACATTGTACATACTTCAATGCAGTGTCAACAGATATTTGGATTTTAACATAATTGTTACATTTGTCCTGTGTTTTGATTGGTTGCTATTTTGTACATCTGTTGTGTGATTGAATACAGCATGGTGCTTAGGGTTAGATCGATCGTTGACTGTTTACTATAGTCTGTTTCAGATTTAATGCAAATGAACCTGTCGATAAACACAAACAAATCACTACTGTGCTTCTAAATAACAACACATGCACAGATGGTGTCTTGATGCTCCTATCTGACCAAATTTAAATAATAGAGAAGGTGCAGTTGGCTTGATACACAGCTCATAGTTCCTGCTTCCTATACACACGTGCATTATAATCTACTAAACTGAATTACATCTCACTGTTTTATGACTACGGTAACTACGGTAACTGTAGTTTGTGATCGAACTTACCTATGATTATGTTGTCTGATTGGTTGCTGCAATATGCATATTTGTTGTTTGATTGGCAAAACCATGTGCAATTTTATTTGGATGTTGTATAATATTGATTACATATTGTCCAGATGACCAGGGTAAAAGTCTATTTTGTTCTCCCCTATGTACTCTTCAGGGCTTGTTATCAAGTCATTGTGCTATATTTGTTAATACGTCTGAACAAAATGTACTTTTAATTTGATAGAAGTTGCTTTAATATTTTTGGATTGTGCATACATGTATGATAGTGACACATCTGGTGAAGTCACCATAGTAGATATATCCTGTTATCCATCCAATGTATGAGGGAAAATATACTTTACTTTATTTCTTTTTTGGTCCGTTTTTAGGTATTGTCGGAAAGACATACTGTAGATAAATTTTATTTCAGAAGGAAGATTTTTCAGAATATTTTAACTATTTGAATTCAGCCAAAAATAATTCAGTACATACTTTGTAAATGTCGGATTGATGACATTGGTGACCGGTTACTAAATCATGTATTTGATAAGTAAAAGTTTATGACATGAAATTGAATAAGTAACTACTCAGTGAAGATAGCATAACATTAGTATTATGGGAAAGGTTTATGATACATTTACGATGTAGACGACAAATTTTTTAGGTGAACTAAGTATGACAATACAAGCTTAGACTGCCTGTATTGCAAAAATGTGATGGTAGTCTTAGGAACCTAGTTGATGTAGATTGGCCTTGTGTGAAATATGAGGTTGTGGTGGCTGAGTGGTTAAGGCGTCAAGCCGTCTTTATCACTAGTCATGCAGTCACCAGGTACTGGGCACAGATCGATGGTATTTGTCCAGTAACTCCGCCACCCATATCTGGTATGTCCCAAAATGACCCTGGCTGTTAATAGGACATAAAGCAACAATAAAGTAAACAAAACCATTATATGAAATACAGTTGACTTACAGTATAAAAAACAGCATTTGTGATCTTCCTTACCCATGATGCTTTTTGACATTGAAGTTACTTTATTTACGAAGAGGTTGCTTCATTCTTATAAGGGCTGTTCCAGTAAAATAGACATCCTTTCCCAAGACTCCAAGTTTTAGGGGTACTTTTTTTTTTTTGTTTTTTTTTCCCCTGCATAGAATTTAGTTGATAATTTGAATTAATGAAATAGAAGGGAAACACAGTCATAATTAGTTATTTTGGAGTCCTGTGATTGGATGGACATTTTACTGGAATATTGAATATTACTCTTAATGCTATTGATGTGAGAATTAAGTTCTATGTCTGTGATATTGAAAACATTGTCAAGATTTATACATAAAATATTGTTAGCTTTATCTATATATAAAATTGAGTCTTGTTGTTTTTTCGTATGTTTATTACCATATCTTCATTAACTGCAATAGTTAGAATTATAACGTGGAACATAGTTTCAGAAAAGCACATCTGACTAACAATTGGATGGTCCTTTGGTACATTGTTAACTCTCTGACCTTTCACCCAGACAACAGTAACCTAGTCTATCACATATGTTTTCTCCAGGTATTCCGGTCTCTTCCGATAGTAAGACCCATAGTGCACTTCCATTCAAGCCGACAAGAGTGATTAATACAATTCACAATTATTGTAGAATAAAGTTTACATTATATTCAAGTATTTCCTGTAAGGGTTTAAGTGGACTGTATATCTCCTGTACTTTAAATGTTATAATTAACAGTTACGTGCCTATATTGAAATCTATAACTGCCACACTGGCTTCTAGAAAGCTGCACTTTTGACACCTTATTCACCTTCATAAAAAAGACTTGAAAGAGACCGCGTCTAAAATAATGACCCTAGATGTTGATAGGTTGATAAACCCAGCAAACATCAGAGTAGTAAAACTTTGTTAAATTGTAGCACAAGAAGAAGGAAGTTGTGTTCATGTAGTGTTTTGTGTACTGCAAATTGTCAAGTCCCTTACCTTACCCCATTTCTTTCAAATGTTTTAAGTTTAAAGCCACTTGCATTCAGTGTATAGAAAAACATCAGATCATCAGTTTGAAATTCAACCCAAGTGCTTATGAGCATTTAGCTAATGAATGTGGAGAGATCGTTTGGAAAGGAGATAATTCATAATTATTGCTTGATTGATGTTAAGCAAGGGTCTTGGCCAAAGACACTCGGAAAACATTCTGGTGAGATATGCCCCACGAGAACAAGCTATGCCTGAGGCTGGTCTCAGATGATAGACTTACAACAATAAATACAATTTATTTGAAGAAGTTATTTCCATCCAAATGGCAGATATAGGCCTTGCCTTTGTTCTGTCTATGATTACATTGGTATTATTGTGGTGGTTAGGATCTTCATGTCCTCCAAGGAATGGTCTAAAAGTTGTATGATATCGGCCCTTAGTTGTTTAAAGACTTGTTAGAGATTGATTTTTTGGGACAAGTCAGATTGATATATTTTGAGTGTTGATTTTGCCTTAAGCATTCTAAGTTTTTTTGGTGGCAACAGTTTGAATTTTTCTTCAGCCACTGATTAACTTTAATGTTTGAGCAACGGGAGCCTGGATTAAAAATGCATTGTGTCTCCATCTACCTAATCAACAATTATTTGATTTGTGATCAGATGACAGTTGATTATTTTGACAAGATGGATGAGGGTTGTTTGTTTATGAAATATGGATGGACCTGAACTGGTATTATTTTGGTTGATTACAGGCATTGACAAAACCTTTTGAGGACTATATTGATATTTTCATGTTTGTCCTAATTTAGGCAGGTGAGTGATATATACCCTACGAGGCTCTTGTTTTCAGGTCATCTGACCTGAATGATCAGGATGACCTGTTGCCATCGTATGTCATCAACATGTATTAATCTTTTCGTTGTTTGCTTAAAACCAACAGGCTAATTTCAAACATATTTCACCAAAAGTATTCTCAGGGCAAGGAAATTCAATTTTATTTAAATTTGAAGGCCTAGCCTTTCAAACGCACCCTAAAAGGGGTCAAGGGAGGGTCTTTAAAAGTGGAAATGTAGCCAAAATATCTTGTTGTAAAACCCTGAAGGAGATTGAACAAAATTGCGAATTCAAGGGTAGTCCATCCCCTAGTACTCCATTGAGATGGTAAAGTTTCATAATTGGAAATGCATATCTTTTGCATATGTTTAAACTCAACAATAGCTCAATTTCTACAACAAATTTAGCTCCAAGGATCCTTTGGACAGGATGATTCAAATAAAGATTTTTTTAGGGTGGGGATTGGGGGGGGGGGGGGTTACAGGGAGTATTCCCCCACCCTCTAGCCCCCAGTTGACAGGGCTGGAGAAGTAAAGATGAGTAAATTAAATTTTCTGTAGTTTTTATAGGAATGTCAATACTGAACTTCTTTCATTGCTATAAATTTAGTACTTATGGGATCAAAATCAAAATTTTGAATTCAGGTTTAATGGCTGATGATGAGCACCGAATCGATTTGCAAGATTTTTAATTCCGATTTTTAAGTGTACAAAATCCGGAAATATATTACCGCTTTGCGGATGAAGTATTAGTTTGAATCAAGATGGCGGCGCACATATGGTCTCGATATCCCTAACGACTTTATGCAGTAATTTGTCCTTTTATCTCTCAAATAAGCTTGCCACTGAATATAAGAGTACTAACAACAATCAGTAAGTTATTTTTTAAACTTTCCATTGTGAATGACTGCTGAATAATGGCGAGACAACCAAATATTTTGGAAAACCTATTTACATGTCGGTGTACTGTGCCTCGTGATTGCGTTGGTCCGAACAGTCGAAGAGTTCTGACTGTCTATCGCGATTGTATTCTAGCCTAGATTTCGACCAAGACAAAAACTTAACTGCAATTAGATGGTCAGAGTCTTGAAAATTGTTCACTTAAAAGAGGAACATATTGGTGTATAAGGAAATCATAAGGTGCTTTTTAACCGGAAAGTGACATTTTTTCATTCACAGAATGAGAAAGTTATATAAGCTATATCTGCAAACAATTTTTCGAAAATGTCTTCTATTTTATAGAAATCGGTTAACCATACCACTTTCAAATGTTGATATACTCAAATGGGTACATTTTTTAAAATAGACTTGCTTACCTGTGCCCAGTGTGACTTATCCATTGGATTACACTGTGCTGTGTATAGTTGATTGCAAACAAATTAAAAAGCATATTGAATTTTTTTTACAAATGTAGTTTATAACATACATGTCTTGGTATGTTGTTATTTCAATATTTTTACAAATTATCTCTAAACCAATGTGTCTGAACTCTGAGGAAAAAAATCCTTTATAATGAGAAGATGCATTCATGATAGCTCAAAGATGTGTTGGAGCTCCAGTGTCTGCTCACAAATCCAAGGATGTTTCCAACTTGTCCAGTCTGTCTACCATGTAGCTATAAAGACCTATAATAGCTAAAATAGCTATATTTAGATATATTTTCAAATATTTTAAGATTTAATAAAATTGAAACAAAATTTAATCAGTTCCTCTATAATTTTGATCACGAAAGCATAATTACTTATAGTTAATGTTTGGTTTTAGTATTGATTTTGGTTGTTTTTAATCATTAGATATCAGCATTTAAAAGATATGTTTATTTTATGTCTAAAGAGATAAATGTTTAAAACAGCCTTCCAATGCTACTTTGTTCAGTTTTCATTAAATTAGATTTTTTTCTAAAATTTTGCTAAATATAGGTTGGGTTCCATTCCTGTTTTAATGTGAGAGAATTGGAAAAACTGATTAAAAAGAAAACACTTCAACAGTAATTAAACCAAGGTACTCAGTAGTATAATGAACAGCTCTACCAACTGAGCCCAAGAGGCTAATATATATGCCCATCAACAAAGTAACCAAAATGCATTCATAATTTAACACACAGCACCTGTTCCTAGAACATTTTTTAACATAATGTAAATGAGCATGTATTTGCCTTATTTCAGGTTCAGTAATGTTGTGTCGAAGATGTACACTCCTAACCTCGTTGCAGTTGGAAAATCTGCTACGTATGCAAAAGCGCTCTGTTAATAAATTAAAGAAAAAAATTAGAGTTGATGAAGAAAGGAAAAACCATGTGTTTCAATATGTTAGAGACAATACAAAGCCAACAGAGAGAGTGTATGTGTGGGGATGTGCAACAACAGGATCACTTGGTAAGTTATTGTGAAAAGGAAGTGAAGTATCATGTACTAACCATGAACATTTAGGATTGTACATGAATTCTATTTTACAAGAGATTTATCAGTTTTTCTAAAACAAAACACTAGAAGGATCTGATGTAGTTTCACTTCTCTCTTATTATCAGGTTAGTATTATGAATTGTCTAAAGAATGAAATAACAGCCATTTATCATCATAGATATTTACAGTAGAAGTTTACATTTCGATTTAATATTTCTTATTTAAGGAACACTTGAATTTTAAACGTCAAAATTCAATTTTTATATTTCAGGGATATCTTCCTACCTTAAACCTGATAAAACACAGAATTTCCTTCACTGTATGAGAAGACCAGCAAGATTGAAATTCTTTGATGATCATAACATCAAGGTAGACAAAGAAAGAATGCTTTTTTGTAACTACTGGTTATTTGTATGTACCGTAATTATCCTAATAAACGCCCAGGGGCTTAACATTTTTCGGTATGTAAATGTTAGAAATTATCATAAAATTTAAGGGTTTTTAAATGATATGTAGGATTTCATGTAAAAATGGTCTATATAGTACCTTATTCAGTGTGAGAAAGTGTTGGGGGGGGGGCTTTTATTAGAGAGGGGGCTATTATTAGAATAAATACGGTATGTGACAATAGAGTGTTATCCATTTCCGTCCCATCTTGTCTCATTCTGAATCGACGCCTTTAGAACCTCTTAACCATCCCATGTAGAGATTTAGTTCACTCCCATAGTAACATAACATTGAATTCTACACCCAATCATGTGTTGTTAGATGTGACCTTGTCTCTTTACAAATGGACCACAATATCTAAGAGGAGACATTTAAGGACATTGAGTCTGCATTCAAAATCTGGTGAAGCTCCTTACAGTCTAATGTCTTGTTTATCTCGTTGGATTTTCAAATAAAAATTTCAATAACGGAAATTAATATCCTTTTTTGTAAAATATGTAAGGACATGTTTCTCATACTTAAAAGTTATGATATGAAAATGTTATTTGTCTTATTTTCATCCTTGATTTAAGGATAATATTATACTATAACACAGACAACCTTAACTGCATTACGTAAGAATTATTGAAATACTAAATAGTGAAAAGATTTATTCCACTATAACTAGGTGGTGGAAAAGTCTTGATTACCGTGGTAGAACAAAATAGCTGAGGGAGTTATTTCCCTTTGTCAGATATGAACAAATTCTGCAGTCACTGAAGAACAGAAAATGAATTTTAACAACTCTCTTGTAGTAAATCTGTGAAGGACACATAAAACTTTGAACCATGCACAGCCATATTGGTGAGAACACTGATATTTCTGTGAAACCTTGAAATTAAGATCACAGAAAGGAGAAAGAGATCCCCAATCTCTGTGGTTGGTTTATTATCAATATTATGATACATGTATAAGTCAGGATAGGGTTGAAATTGATGGCAAGTTCCTTTTATATGCACCTATTTTTTGGGTGGACCTTGTTTGCCTTGACACTCTATTTAATATACCTTGTGTACAATGACATATTTGCATCTTTTACAAATGATTGATAGGTTTCTGGTGCAGCATGTGGATACGGATTTACAATATTCTTAACAAAAAAAGGAAGTGAACATTGCATATTTGGAACTGGAATCAACACAAACTCCCAAATAGGATTCCACCGAGTACCTCATGAAAAAGGTATAACACATTTGTAATGTATATATATCTCAATCTTACGTAAACTTGATTCCCAAATCACATGTTATTTTATATTCACATATTGATGTGCCTTACAGATTGATAAATTTTACTGGTATCTGATGCTGTATGTAAAAGTAGATTACTGTGTTAGTATTTTGGACTATTTCCTGGGAAAATTGCTAAAACATTGAAATAAGATTGTCTCAAGTCCCAGCTGTTTAACTGCTGAGAATGTATCCAAGCACTCAAGTGACTTTGATGAAGCATTTCTCTGCTTGTGATTATCGATGTCAGCAGATGACTTCTATCTTTATTACTGACATGTCTTCTATACATCTTAACAGACAGTTGTACAGTATTAGTTTCTCTGTATTTATATAAGTCCTAATTATTCTGATGTTCTGTCGACTTTCTTTTATTAATGACTGTGGTAACAATATAGTCTCAGGGAAATAGTTAATGGTTTTGGTCCCAACACCTCAGGGAAAAAGTTAATGGTGTTTGTCCCAACACCTCAGGGAAATAGTTAATGGTGTAGGTCCAAACACCTCAGGGAAATAGTTAATGGTGTAGATCCCAACACCTCAGGGAAATAGTTAATGGTGTAGGTCTCAACACCTCAGGGAAATAGTTAATGGTGTAGGTCCCAACACCTCAGGGAAAAAGTTAATGGTGTTTGTCCCAACACCTCAGGGAAATAGTTAATGGTGTAGGTCCAAACACCTCAGGGAAATAGTTAATGGTGTAGATCCCAACACCTCAGGGAAATAGTTAATGGTGTAGGTCTCAACACCTCAGGGAAATAGTTAATGGTGTAGGTCCCAACACCTCAGGGAAAAAGTTAATGGTGTAGGTCCCAACATCTCAGGGAAATAGTTAATGGTGTAGGTCCAAACACCTCAGGGAAAAAGTTAATGGTGTAGGTCCCAACACCTCAGGGAAATAGTTAATGGTGTTGGTCTCAACACCTCAGGGAAATAGTTAATGGTGTAGGTCCAAACATCTCTGGGAAATAGTTAATGGTGTTGGTCCCAACACCTCAGGGAAATAGTTAATGGTCTTGATCCAAACGCCTCAGGGAAATAGTTAATGGTCTTGATCCAAACACCTCAGGGAAATACTTAATGGTCTTGATCCAAACACCTCAGGGAAATAGTTTTGACTGCGGAATGATAAAGCAAGAAATAACTGTATTCATATTATATAACTTATATTTCTAGGAAGGATAAATAATGTGAAAATGTCGACATTGAGCGACCATTGTCAGTTTTAATAATTTCTTGTGTTTTATCATTTAATAAGAGAGTTCCAACACCTAAGAATTGAAACTACAACTTATTCCAAAAATATTTTTGAAAATTACAGAAACATCAATGGGAGACAACACCCAAACTATAAGTATGATAATCTGTATGATGTGCATTTAAAAATGTATTATTTTTATACAGGTAAAGGACTTGACTATGTGATAGAACCAATAAAGATTGACATCCCTTTTGATAAACCAGACACCACTCACGTGACACAGGTAGCATGCGGACGTGCCCATACCATCTTACTCACAAACAATGAAGGAGGTGAGTTAAACATCGCATCGTTAGTCTCCGTTCATTCAGTCTCTAAATTTGCAAAAATTACAAAGTTATGATATATATGTTTTAACTTACAATCTTCCTAGGTACATAAGAACAGTATTTGTGTATATAATTAAAGTTTAATACTTGTGGGGGCCAGTAGTGGATGTGTATTTTTTAAAACATGGTTATACCTAATAACATATCTGATGTGGTGAGTTATCAGGTTCCTCATTCAGGTATTTACTAGCACTGTGTACCAGGAGTTTTAAATCTGCAGTGAACTAGTCCCCAAATAATTCCGTAAGTGATCACTCTAACACTGTTTTGAAGTTGAAACATGTACATATCATATGAGGGTGTTATTTAAGCTATGGATTATACAGATACAGTGTCTGCTTTTTGCTAACAGCTAAGTGTCCAATCAATTGAAATCTGACAATTTAACAATGTTTGATGAAGTTTTACGACAGTTTTAGGGTATGATATACGGTGATCGATAAACCAAATAAAAGAAAAAATATTAAAGACAATTAAAGACACTGATTTGATAAATGTTTACTAACATCCTCTGCTATCACAAAATCTACAGGTCCTCTATACATGAAACCATTCTCATGCTCAAGCATAGATTTTGTGCCCAAGCAAATTTTTTTTATAATTCAACTAAATTATATAAAATAATACAAATGTCAAATTTAAACCTTGAATATAGCTGTGACTTGACGTCCTTTCAAAATTGTTTTTAAATATTTTGCAAAATCAACCTTATTTAGTAATTTTTAACTTAAACAAAACATAAGGCTTGAGCACAAAATTCATGCTTGAGCATGAGACCGGTTTCATGAATACGGGCCCAGGTGTCTTGTTTCTGAGTTAAAGTGAATGATCTGTATACCATTTAATTAACTTATAATTGAAGAACATGTAATACTGACTATACATATTTTATTCATTTTGAGGTGAAAACATGATTTTATTGTTTGAATGGTGAAATATGAAAGAATTTGTTTTAATTTCCAGTGTACAGTTTGGGTAACAATGCATATGGTCAGTGTGGGAGAACGATTGTAGAGGGAGAAGTTTATAGGTAGGTACCAGCAAATGGTATGATCTGCCAATACTTTAGGTACTAAACGTTCATGTGACTTCATTAACTAAAGGGTACAACATCATATTAAAGGAAAATCACGGTAAAAACATTAATTTTGATATTGATTGTACATGTCTTATACACTTCTCGAGTTGAATTTCTATGCTATCCCAATATCCACAGTCGATTTCCATTGTCCAGCTTGACCACTTCTTTATGGTTAGGGAACCCCCTCACAAATTTAGCACTGATAACATTATATAATAGTTATAAAAATGTGGCAGTTAATTTTGTAAACATTGACACATGATGGTGGACAGAAATAACAGTGACAGTAGTGATACAGTAAGTAAAATCCAAATTGCTGCATTTTTGTTATGAGTGTGGTAAATGTAATCTGATAACTCTTGGCCAGTTCAGAATTACTAAACCAGTGACATTAATTGCAAACGTGTACAATTCTTTAAATGATTTTGATGAAGTATCTTTTAGATCATGACTGCAGATGTAAACAGACAACTGTATTCCTTGTACTTACTTCCAAATAGACAAATGCGTCAATTTCTCTACATGAATGGCCTGTATACATACAATTATTCTAAAAAGCACTGGTAACAAAATAGTCTGTGGCTTCAGGGAAGCAGGTCATGGTACTGGTCTCAACACCTCAGGGAAATAGTTAACTGTGTGGGTCCCAACACCTCAGAGAAATAGTTAATGGTGTAGGTCTCAACACCTCAGGGAAATTGTTAATGGTGTAGGTCCCAACACCTCAGGGAAATAGTTAATGGTGTAGGTCCCAACACCTCAGGGAAATAGTTAATGGTGTTGGTCCCAACACCGCAGGGAAATAGTTAATGGTGTAGGTCTCAACACCTCAGGGAAATAGTTAATGGTGTAGGTCTCAACACCTCAGGGAAATAGTGAATGGTGTAGGTCCCAACACCTCGGGGAAACAGTTAGTGGTGTTGGTCCCAACACCTCAGGGAAATAGTTAATGGTGTAGGTCCCAACACCTCAGGGAAATAGTTAATGGTGTAGGTCCCAACACCTCAGGGAAATAGTTAATGGTGTAGGTCCCAACACCGCAGGGAAATAGTTAATGGTGTAGGTCTCAACACCTCAGGGAAATAGTTAATGGTGTAGGTCTCAACACCTCAGGGAAATAGTTAGTGGTGTAGGTCTCAACACCTCAGGGAAATTGTTAATGGTGTAGGTCCCAACACCTCAGGGAAATAGTTAATGGTGTAGGTCCCAACACCTCAGGGAAATAGTTAATGGTGTAGGTCCCAACACCTCAGGGAAATAGTTATTGGTGTAGGTCCCAACACCTCAGGGGTCGTTGGTCCAACACCTCAGGGAAATAGTTAATGGTTTTGGTCCCAACACCTCAGGGAAATAGTTAATGGTGTAGGTCCCAACACCTCAGGGAAATAGTTAATGGTGTAGGTCCCAACACCTCAGGGAAATAGTTAATGGTGTAGGTCCCAACACCTCAGGGAAATAGTGAATAGCGTTGGTCTCAACACCTCAGGGAAATAGTTAATGGTTTTGGTCCCAACACTTCAGGGAAATAGTTAATGGTGTAGGTCCCAACACCGCAGGGAAATAGTTAATGGTGTAGGTCCCAACACCGCAGGGAAATAGTTAATGGTGTAGGTCCCAACACCTCAGGGAAATAGTTAATGGTGTAGGTCCCAACACCTCAGGGAAATAGTTAATGGTGTAGGTCCCAACACCTCAGGGAAATAGTGAATAGCGTGGTCTCAACACCTCAGGGAAATAGTTAATGGTTTTGGTCCCAACACCTCAGGGAAATAGTTAATGGTGTAGGTCCCAACACCACAGGGAAATAGTTAATGGTGTAGGTCTCAACACCTCAGGGAAATAGTTAATGGTGTAGGTCCCAACACCTCAGGGAAATAGTTAATGGTGTAGGTCCCAACACCTCAGGGAAATAGTTATTGGTGTAGGTCCCAACACCTCAGGGAAATAGTGAATAGCGTTGGTCTCAACACCTCAGGGAAATAGTTAATGGTTTTGGTCCCAACACCTCTCAGGGAAATAGTTAATGGTGTAGGTCCCAACACCTCAGGGAAATAGTTACTGGTGTAGGTCCAAACACCTCAGGGAAATAGTGAATGGTGTTGGTCCCAACACCTCAGGGAAATAGTTAATGGTGTAGGTCCCAACACCTCAGGGAAATAGTTAATGGTGTTGGTCCCAACACCTCAGGGAAATAGTTAATGGTGTAGGTCTCAACACCTCAGGGAAATAGTTAATGGTGTAGGTCTCAACACCTCAGGGAAATAGTTAATGGTGTAGGTCCCAACACCTCAGGGAAATAGTTAATGGTGTAGGTCCCAACACCTCAGGGAAATAGTTAATGGTGTAGGTCTCAACACCTCAGGGAAATAGTTAATGGTGTTGGTCTCAACACCTCAGGGAAATAGTGTGCGTGGTCTCAACACCTCAGGGAAATAGTTAATGGTGTTGGTCCCAACACCTCAGGGAAATAGTTAATGGTGTAGGTCCCAACACCTCAGGGAAATAGTTAATGGTGTAGGTCTCAACACCTCAGGGAAATTGTTAATGGTGTAGGTCCCAACACCTCAGGGAAATAGTTAATGGTGTAGGTCCCAACACCTCAGGGAAATAGTTAATGGTGTAGGTCCCAACACCTCAGGGAAATAGTGAATAGCGTTGGTCTCAACACCTCAGGGAAATAGTTAATGGTTTTGGTCCCAACACCTCAGGGAAATAGTTAATGGTGTAGGTCCCAACACCTCAGGGAAATAGTTAATGGTGTAGGTCCCAACACCTCAGGGAAATAGTTAATGGTGTAGGTCCCAACACCTCAGGGAAATAGTTAATGGTGTTGGTCCCAACACCTCAGGGAAATAGTTAATGGTGTAGGTCCCAACACCTCAGGGAAATAGTTAATGGTGTTGGTCCCAACACCGCAGGGAAATAGTTAATGGTGTAGGTCCCAACACCTCAGGGAAATAGTTAATGGTGTAGGTCCCAACACATGGTGTAGGTCCCAACACCTCGGGGAAATAGTTAGTGGTGTAGGTCCCAACACCTCAGGGAAATAGTTAATGGTGTAGGTCTCAACACCTCAGGGAAATAGTTAATGGTGTTGGTCTCAACACCTCAGGGAAATAGTTAGTGGTGTAGGTCCCAACACCTCAGGGAAATAGTTAATGGTGTAGGTCCCAACACCTCAGGGAAATAGTTAATGGTGTAGGTCCCAACACCTCAGGGAAATAGTTAATGGTGTAGGTCTCAACACCTCAGGGAAATAGTTAATGGTGTAGGTCTCAACACCTCAGGGAAATAGTGAATGGTGTAGGTCCCAACACCTCGGGGAAATAGTTAGTGGTGTAGGTCCCAACACCTCAGGGAAATAGTTAATGGTGTAGGTCCCAACACCTCAGGAAAATTGTTAATGGTGTTGAACCCAACACCTCTTGGGAAATAAGTTTGACTGTGAACTTATAAGACAAGAAATGATGTGATGTGTCCCATACCTAGTTCAGGGAGATATCCTCCAGTTGTAGGAAGACTGCGAGTCAAAATTACCTTAAGTGTTGACAGAGCAATAAACCAAGCAAACAAACAATGAAACAAAACAAGAAAACATTTTGTTGTTTCTTTGACACTGTCTGATGTTTACATGTATGATGTATTTACAGACACAGTTCCCAGATTCACAGAATAAAGGATTTACCCGATAAGGTCACCAAGGTAACAGCAACTGTAGAATTTTTCTTGTATCATTTATTCTTCGCTTCATTTTTTAAGCATTAATGTAATGAAAACATGTTTTTTCTTTGAAATGTATAAATTGAATTAAGAGATATAAAATTGAATGTTAGGAATTCTGATTAATATTATCTAATTGACTGCTAACTTGTGGCGAGGTAACTGAGTGCTGGTAACTGGGAAAGAAAAGTTGGTTTACAGTATTTGTAATTGTTGATTCTGTATGTCTAACTGAGGTAACAATGAGCTATCAGTAAAATATATAAACTGAAGATGTTGTTGTAGGTAGTTTGTGGACAAGATCACACTTTATTTCTGACGAACACTGGGGAGGTGTATAGCTGTGGATTGGGAGCAGATGGACAAACAGGTATAAAAACTTTTCTTATCACCCAACCTACTAACACCCCACAACACTTCACCCCATACCCTATAGACTCATGTGAAATGAGCATGTATATTTAACATTGACATACTTAAAATAGTTAACATTATAATAACATAGTTTGACATTATTTTAACATTATCCTAATGTTAAATTTTAATGTTAAAAAAACTTAACATTATTTTATTGTTAAAATTTAACATTAATTAACATTTAAAAAATAATGTTTTACTACTGTTGAAATGATGTTAAGATAACGTTACTTTCTTTTAATATTTAAATAACATTATAAAATACTGGCTGTGTACTGTTTAGTAGTTTAATTTTGTCCATGTATACAGGCATACAGATCATTTTTATTTCACTGTAGAAAAATGTTTGGTGTATTTATTGACCACAAGTAAAGAGAAATAATATCCCTCACATGTATTATCTAATCTGTTCTTTAGTAAACTCCATTTTCTTATCGTTTTAATGAACAGGATTAGGTCATCACAACTGTGAACACCGTCCGACCCTTGTACAGGGTGACCTTCAAGGTGTCAAGGTCAAGGACATAGGTGGGTCTGTCGACTGTGTGCTGGCAGTATCGGAGGAAGGAGAGTTATTCGGTTGGGGAAATTCAGAATACAATCAGCTGGCTATGGTAACAGATCACACACAAGTCAACGTACCACGACATTTACGTGTGAGAAAGTGTGGGAAAGTAGCAAAGGCAGTTGCTGGAGGATCCATATGTGCCTTGTTGACAGGTAACATGATATGAGTACTTGGTTTGTTACAAGTGTCCAGTCAGTGAGAGGGGTTTGCCACAATCCCTGCCTGATCTGGTGAGATGTGTACATTGGCCCCTCGATAATCTGGACACCTTTGTTCCCAGCCAATTATGAGTTTTCCTGACTATCGGCATCAGAATTATCATGGGTCCTCTGTACAGTCTATTCAGTGGTCCCAGTACCTTCACTTGAATGAATACAGACCATGCACCATGTAATGGGGTGACCATCTAAAGACCCCGTATCCCTATCAAACTTTATATGGAAACACTACTGTGTATATGTCCCATGTTAAATTTACGTTAGGTGTTGTTAGAGGTGAAAAAGTTGTTCATTTTGATGTACAACATGAATAGCAAAATTAATTGAGAAAACAGTTCAGCAGTTTATAAAATACATTTTAGTCAAACTCTAAATTTTGTTAAATTCAGCCAGTAATATATATCTATTTTAGACCTACTGGTAGAGGGTTGATTTAGATAGTAAAAACAGACAGTAAGACCAAAATATCCATAAAATCTATACTGAAACATCAGTAATTTTTGTGGTGGTTTTATTTTCTGTTGAATCAGTGGTTACTCTTAATCCATGAATTCATATGTCCATAAAATGATAAAGTTATAAAAATGACATTTGTTTAGTACAAGTTTATGTGAGTAGATATTTCCACTAAATTAAGTGCCAGGGAAATACATTTTTTTAAACCACAAAATTTGAGCCTCACAAAAATAGGTGATTTTACAGTATTTCTGTATTAGTTTGAGGCAATCAATTATCACACTAAGGTCTTGATTTAAGTTATGCTACTTGTTTAAATGTGTCCTATTTCTTTTATTTTGTAGAAAAAGGCCATGTATTTGTATGGGGATATGGAATTCTCGGAAAAGGTCCAAATTTAGAATCAGCAGAAACACCTCAGAAAATCCCGCCAGCTTTATTTGGACAGTATGATTTGGATGCTCAAAGTAAACTGGTGGATATATCATGTGGCATCAGTCATTTCATGGCTTTATCAGGTATATCATAACTTGTCAAACATTGTTAGGACTTGGTCACTGAGCAACGTATGTAGTGTTAATGTGGCATCAGTCATTTCATGGCTTTATCAGGTATATCACAATTTGTCAAACATTGTTAGGACTTGGTCACTGAGCACAGTATGTAGTGTTAATGTGGCATCAGTCATTTCATGGCTTTATCAGGTATATCATAACTTGTCAAACATTGTTAGGACTTGGTCACTGAGCACAGTATGTAGTGTAAATAACAATCTTGGCAGAGGAGGTGGTATACTTGTCACCCCCTGCCACTCACTGAATCAAAGAAGGAAATAAAATTTTGGTTGCCTGGGGTTATAAAAGGATTTATACTGATGCGGTAGATCTTTTATCTTCATCGTCAGATGGCCTTCAAAGCATCACTGATTTAATGGCGCTCTTATTCTTTTCAGATTCAGGAAATGTTTATTCATGGGGAAAGAACCGAAGTGGTTGTTTAGGATTGTATGTGCAGCGTGACCAGTTTTATCCTCTGAAGGTAAGGCTGTCATCAATCAGTTACTTCAATTTCTGGCTACAAAGTGATAAATGGATGGACTTTCCACCGATATATTATTTTATATATTTATGACTTACGTATCTTTCTTGTTTCAATTTTAAATATTTTTCGCACCTTAAAAAAATTTCACAGAGAGGAAATTCAGTACAGAAGGAACAAATCGGTTCTGTACTTTCGACCGTCCCTCCATCCTTAAGTCCTTCTGCTACTTTCCAGATGATGTCTTTTGAAGGACTGTTCAAATTTTTATTAAAAATTGCTTGGTACACTTGTCACCTTAATCCCTTGCCCAAGTTTGATTAACAACAAATTCTGCACATATTTAATGAGGCTGCTGTGACCTGATTGACTGATTTCCTTAATCACTCTATTGGAAATATTTCTGCACATTATCTTAAGAAGAAATAAATTTTAGGAAACTTGCTTCGACCAACTGTAATTTCCATACATATTTAACCAGCTCTTATCTGATTGGCTGATTTTGCTTTCCACACTTATTTCAAAGGAATTATCAAATTGTTTATAAGACTTGCTTTGCAGACTTAGTACCTTAACCACTTTCTTAATTTTTATTATCAGCTAATTCAAAAAAATATCTAATGAGGCAGCTGTGTCCTGAATGGCTGATTGCTTTGCACAGAATATCTTCTGAAGTAATATTAAGAGACCTTTAAAAGACTATAAACATATCTCTTACCAATTCGAAAATTAGGAAATTTACCATTGGGTAGAAGAAGGGAATATAAAGGAGTGATCAGCTGATTTTGATATTTACAATATTATGCTACTAAATTGTTATTATATTGATCACTATTAACGGAAATTGTAACTGAACATAAATGATAAATGGTTTCAATACTCTAGTTTTCCATGTCACGCACTTTAAATGTATACCATATAATTTACAAATTAACATGGGTGAGGATCTCAATGGCTATGCCCTTGTTATTGTTTCTAGTGAATATTTGGTATTTTCTCATTAGAAACAATGGAAGATAAATAAATATGTAACAAAAACATAAAAATAAACCCTGATGAATATCCTTCTCACTACTCAATATCACAGTTGACATTGCAGTAATGTAGCTAGGACAGTCGGCTGGAACTGATTCGGATGGGTGTTTATCAACTAGGATCTGCAGTGAAAGCTTCATCCATAACACGTTTTCATCAGTAGTCCAGCGTTTGTGTAAATTGCCAAACAGTATATAATCATCTGAACTTATTTCATCCTAATCAAATCCATTCTCGACCATTATAAATAAGTCAGGAATGGCCAATGTGCTGCATTGTTGGCAAAGGGCTTATCTGTTGAGAATCTGCCATGACCGATGTTCAAGTAGACGACAGAAGTGACAATATTTCATTGTTTGTATACAATGAACACGCAAAACTGTTCCTTAATTTCATATGCTTTTCTTTTGTTGAATTTTTTAGATATTTTTTATATATATTTCGTCATGCATTATGTATTTTTACATTATTCACCAGCAATGCTAAAGACAAGCAGTTGAAAGATAAAAGATAATCCAGATCTCTTCACAACCAGAAATATTTTACCAGTTGACATGTAAATTTTTAAAGATTTCATAGCTCTATAATTTTTTGTATTATTCTGTAATGCATCATATAATGGTAATTATTGCCGTAAGCTTCAATGAAAATTGACAAACAAGTATATTTATTTACTTTTAAAGGTACCTCTGTTTCACATTTCAAATTCATATTTGTTAACATTGCAGTTTAAATGTCACTGGTAGTTGAAAGAGTAATAAACAGTTTCTCAAATAAGGAAATAATACCCTTTAGCAATATCTGAATTACAGGTGCCAGTGTCATATTGACATTTTTGTTTTTCTAGATTACCTGGTAATACTGTTTTCTATTTCCAGGTGTCAATGCCAGCAGAGACATACTCTGTTATTTGTGGAGTCGATCACAACGTGGCTTTCTGTAGATCTTTTGCCTGAGAGGAAAGCCAATAGGAAAAGAAAGTGACTTAGTTGTCAAGCACTGTGATTGATGTACGCCATATCATTGAATCTTTGAAAGATATGGGCTCAAAATCTCTCAAGATTCCTGACATATACAATAGAAACTTGTTAGAGATTATGAAAGGAAATAATTGGCGTTTCAAGTGTGTTATTAACCAGAAAATGACATTAACTGACTTGACAGACAGTGATAATTGTTAATGTCATATTCCAGTTCCTGTTTTCCTCTTTGTCATGATTGAAACAGGTGTTAAAGTAAAATATATTCCACTCTTTAAATAAGATTGGGGGTCTTAACCCTTGGTAAAGATTTTTGAGACAACACTTGGTAAAAACCTTATGACTCAACTTTTAGCAAATATTGATCAGAAACACTAATTAAGCCTTGATTTATGTAACCCTGCCCCAGCCTTTCATCATACTGGTGATCTTGTTTCTTTTAACCAAACTATTGAAGGAAAAGAAGATGTACATAAAGAAATGGATGTGCTAGTTATGTAAAGATTGTACATACTTAACTAACTGATTAATTGTTGAAGTATGTATTTATTTAATGATGTTATTTTATCATTAATACACAAGTAAATGGGTTTTTTTTATTGTTTTTGGTTATTTATTTTGTCGAGACAGCTGTATTTTCTTTAGTGATCTCACTTATGCCTTTTCAGAAATGACCATGCACAATTTAACAAGAGGCTCATAAGACTCGCTCATAATTTGGAATATTTCGAACGACAATTTAACAAATTATGCTCTAAAATCTAATTTTCCTATATAAACTATAGTAAACTTTACCCCCTCCCATCAGGGAAATGTGAGACCCTAGGGCCATGAAATTAACAATTTCAATAAAGCACTTTAAGATACTTCCATTCATGAAGAGTATTTGATTCTACCATATCTGGGTTTTGATAAGAAGATTTTTTAAATTTAAGTCAATTTGAACAATTTTGGCCCTGCCCATCAGCTCCTGGGGGGGGGGGGGGGGTCACTCAGGATCAAAACAGGCATACCATCAGGTCATCACCCTTCACACATAATTCTAACCAAGTTTAAAATATTTCCAATTGAAATTAAACAAACTATGCTCAAAATTTTAGTTTTCCTATATAAACTACATTAAACTTTACCTCCTCCCCTTGGGGATATGTGAGACTCTGTGGCCATGAAATTCACAATTTTGGTAAAGTACCTTAAGATGCTTCCGTTTATGAAGAGTATTTGATTCTTCCAAATCTAGGTTTTGATAAGAAGATTTTTGAATTTTTAAGTCAATCAGGCCACCATCCTTCACTCATAATTCTAAACTATAGTAAAGTTTACCCCCTCCCCACAGGGAAATGTGAGACCCTGGGGACATGAAATTCACAATTTTAGTAAAGCACCTTAAGATTGGTATATAGGTGTATTCTGGTTATATTAAATACATATCTTTTGATGTCATTAGCTTTATGGAGTATGTTAAAAGATATTTTCAGATGACCCTTTACGACGCTTCTTGTCACTAGCTGACACTTTTTAGATAGACTGTTACCATGGCTTTGTTTCTTTGCTTACATAGCTGTCATAATGAGCTTGGTGTTATCTTTTTAACTGTTTCTCTAAAATCGTGACAGTGACATTTCAAACGTTGAATACCACTTACTTTTTTTAGACTAATTAATATCTTCCATGTCTTTCATTAATTGTTTCCCTTTAAGCCACGTCCACCAGAGACAATGTTACTTACTAGCTGGTAATGTAGCCATCATACCATGTTGATACCATTACCAATAATAGAACAGGTTAATCCTGTCTTCGTTAACTGATAGTATTAACTATTACATAGATGGAAAATATTACTCATCTGTCTTCAAAACATATAAGACCCTTGCAATTAAACATTGTCCTTGTTTCTAAGGAAAAAATTGATATGCTTATTCTGTCTTGACAGCATCGCGAAAAAATTCTAGTCATTTCGGTACTAAGTTGTTTTAGTACTTACAATAGTCATTTCAGTACTTACAAAATTGATTTCATCAGTCTTTCAATAACGGATTGGGCAATATCTAATAATGACAAAACACATGAAAAACCTGATTAAATACACAAATCAAAACATTTTAATCTGGTACCGAAACCCTTGAAAAAATGAGTTATATGAATTGGATAACAGTGAGAATGTTGGTGGTTTTCTTTGAAAATTGGACTTGGGGGATACAGATACAAATTCCAAGGAAATGGTAATATCAATTTTAATACTAGGCAAAATCCAAGATGGCTGCTAGTTGGCCATTTTGTTTTTCTGATCAGTCCCAAGATTAGATAGGCACAACTAGGGACCTAAAGGAACCTATATATGAAATTTCATCCAGTACTTTTTCAAGAAATAGGGATATTAAACTTTCAGAATCAACATCCAAGATGGCCACCTGTCAGTCATTTTGTTTTTCTGGTCAGTCCCAAAATTTGATGGGCATAACTAGAGACCAAAAGGAACCTATGTATTAAATTTGAGGAAGATAAATACCATAGTTCTCAAGAAATAGCAATAACAAACTTGCAGGGTTAAAATACAAGATGCCTTCTATCAGCCATTTTATCAAACCCAAAATCAAATGGGCACAAGGGACCAAGGGGAATCTACATATGAAATTTAAGAAAAGATCCTTTCAGTACTTCTCAAGAAATAGTGATAACAAAGATTATTTGTGGACTCGACAGTCTGCGGATGCAGAGCAATTTGAACAGCCCACCATCTAATTGTGGGCTGAAAATGCTTGAGTTGTAGGGTTTTGAAGCATTTGTTCCCTTCCTCTATTGGACCCCACCCCAAGAGCTTAAGAGTCTCTGTTTATACAAAATTTGCTCTGCTTCCCCCAAGAATGCTTCAGACCAAATCAGGACATTCCAGACATTCATAAAGAATACAAATAATTTTCTGTTATTTCCCTAAATTGAACTGGCCCATCTTGCCCCAAAAGGTCTATACCCATTGTTTATCAAAAATTAATTCCCCTCCACCCAAAAATACTTCAAACCAAATTTGGTCAAAATCCTACAGGAAGAGTGGGAATGTGAAAAATTGTCTCTAATTCACCTATTGAGCCAATCCTTCCCATCCCAGGGGTCAAGACACACAATTTATGCAAAATTCATTTCCCTTCATACAGCAAGGATTCAGATTAAATTTGGGAAAAACCGCATCATTCCTACAGGAGTAGGAATTTTAGGTCACTTGAGAGCAAGTGTCAAGTGACCTATTGCGATCACCATTGTCCTGCGTCGTGCGGTGTAAAACAATTTACAAATTTGACTCCTTCTCAATAACCAAAAGGCCAAAAGTACTGATATTGGGGCTGTAGCATGCTGAGATGAAGGGCTACCACGTTTGTTAATATGAATAACCTTGACCGACTTTCAACATCACAAACATTCACACTGATAACATCCAACTTCATAAATGATACACAGAGATAACACCCAACTTCATCAACCATACACAGTTATAACACTTCACTTCATGAACCAACCACAATGATGACATGCAACCTCATCATCAACTTTGACCCCGATGCATTTTTACATTTTATGCTTATTTATATAAGTTTTATCCCAGAAACCTATCAGTGAGGTATTCCGATTCTAGGACATTTGATTAACCTCAGTGACTTTAAACCTCTTTTCACAAACTTTGTTCAGCTTCATCACAGAAGCCTACCAGCAACATGATTTGAAGTCTTTTGATGATTGAGAATATATTTAAAGGGGGAAGAGGGGCATAAACTACTATAGAGTGAAGTGAGCTAAAGATCAAATGGCCCATCAAGTAAAGAGAGCTAAGAAGAAATATAAGGAAGAAAAAAATTCACAACACAATGCCTTGTCATCTTGACATCAAATTTTATTGTACAATTTATACTAATATATTAATTATTCATATTAATTTTGATGAGGTTCAAATTATGGAGCAAATTATAAAGTTGGACTTCAAATTTGACCTAGACTTTGGGCATACCGACACGTGTAACAAGCAAGTTCGGACAATCAAGGATACTGGTCTAGGCCGTGTCAGTGAACAGTATATTTCTAATAAGTGATTTTTTTCAATAAAAACAATAATTTTCTGTCTAGTGATAGTTTGAACCCTAGTTTGTTTAACATACATTTTGAATTGTTTGAAAATATCACAAGATTACACATCTTGCTATTGATAAAGGTGTGCAATACTTGCTCCATGTGGTCACTTTTCACATCATTGTTAAACACCGACACTGTCGGTAGCAGGCTGTTAATGATCATCGTAAGCAATTAATAGCATCAGATTATACACATACATGTCACTTAATTAGCAACAATGTGTAGTGTGATTAATTTCACATCTTGTCACATTATCATGCAGACGCCAGCTGACACAACTCGAGGCCCAATTCTGTATTACAAGCTAACTTAAGCAATCAGTAAATATATATGGACCATGGGATCTCTGCATGTGTTAACATTAATCCATAGTCATATTAACTTATGCCAATACACAAACAGAAACATGCTTTTTACGGGCTAGTTTCTTCATCACAGTATCCAAAGTTGTGATTTCTTAACAGTCGATTAACATTAATACGTCACATGAATTGTTTACAAAGATGAAATTTTATAAGAGACATACCCCACCCCACACACTGCTCAGACGCTTAATCATGATTTTGGGCAATGTCAACCCTGATGGTTCGAGCTCTACTTTATTTAATAATTTGGTATACTTCAAACTGGTTCAATAACATTTAATCAATTTTGTTTGAACTGGCTGAAAATTTACTGTACATCTCAAAAACAACCTATTTTATTTTGGACCAAATAGATCTAACTACATGACGCAACAAGCATGCTGATTATTGTTAAAGCAATGAATATTCTCTACCTGCCCCTAAAAAGCATTATACTTTAATCATTATAACAAAAAGTGCTGTTTGGTATTAATTTTGAAAAAAAAGAAAAGTATAAATTAGTTTGTAACTTATTTAAAATGAACAATACAATAAATGAGTTTGACAATCTGATTAATTTAATAACAGTTTGATCATTAATGTTTATAAATGTGTTGTGTCCACTTGTTCTATTTATGAGGTTTGATCAAAATCTGTAGGTGACCTTGACCTGACCCAACAACCCTGACACTCAAACTTGTTGAAGACATTTTATCACTTGTGTGAATAGTTTGATCAGAAGCCCTTCAAGGAATGAAGCAGAGACAATAAATTCCTAAAAATAGAACTTGACCTTGACCCAACAACCCTGAAACTGGAACTTACCCAAAATATAAAGTCACTCATAGTATATAATGCTTTTTTTCTCTATTCAGTTGGGCATGTGCAGTGCTGATGCTGAAAGTGAACGACATAGTAAATGTAATGTACAAAATGGAATTGGTTCAATTATACAGAGTCCCAACTGGTCAACTTGCTTCACTTCTAGAAACTGAACCCTCTCTAAACGGCCAAATATAAATATCTCATGCATGGTCAGTTTAGAGAAGTTCCACTGTAATTATATAATCTCAATATGGCAAAAAGTTACAATTAAAAAACTTTTAAAAACCTTGCCCAAAAAACTTTTAAAAAGTTGGGTTAGAAATCTGAGGTAAATGCTGGGAAATTGCATTAGGTCATGGCTACATGTAACAGCTGAGCTAAAGCAGATTTCAAAAGACTGTCCAGTTTAGGAAGTATGTATTCTGACAGGAAATGTTCTAAAGCATGTTAAATGTGAAGTTTTAATCAGATTTATTTTTCCACACAATTCTGAACTTAAAATCTCAATTCCAAATTGATATTAGACTATAGACCTACAAATCTGCACGGCCTATTTCAGTGATAAAGAACTAAAATATATATAATACTCTTATGTTTTATTTTTCAAGCTGGTAACGATAAAGCAAATATTGCATAAAAAGGCGGAATATATGTTGGTTTCAATACCTTCAGGTTCTGTATATCATCTGGGTGACTTAACATAACCTTTCTGACATTGTTTAGATGGCAGTATATGTAGTTCATTACAAAACAAAAAAATGACTGTAGTACTGTGAGTTATGTGAAAAAATTTAAACTAACATAGACAAATCAGTTGCACTACATGATCGCATTGAAAATATCATAATTGACATATAAATAAAAGCAACATGTTTAATAGCGGCATAAACTAGTATCTTTTTAATATTTTGTATTCTTGTAACCCCTGTCTATTTCCCATGTGAGGAAGACCTAGCTTGTACTTTTAATGAATCTTCTAGATCAAAGATGGCCATCTGTCAGCCATTTTGTTTTGCTGATCACTCCCAAAATCAAAATAGCACAACAAGGGACCATAGGGAAGCTACATTTGAAAAAAGATCCATCCAGTATTTTACAATGGCGACAAAAATTGTTTACAGATGGACGGACAAAAGATCACAGACATGGCAGTTTAAATAGTTCATGCCACCATTTGATGATGGTGGCTAAAAATAAGCAGAAATCTTTTATCTTCTTACTTTTTAAAAAGTCTTTTCCTCCAGAAGCATTGGATTGTCTTATAATGATGTACGCCCAACGTTAACAAGTGATGCATATTTAACATACTAAGGTCGCCCAATGTAAGTATGGTTGTATAATACTTATGTACATTGATAAATGATAAATTAAGAGTGATTCAACACTCCTAATGTAGAACTTTGCAGTAGTGTTTCCTGTTGGATCCATGTGGGATTCAATAGTGTTCCTTACTTTGATAACATAATTAATAAAAAAGGAAAACTCGAACAACGCGAAGACTTTTTGTGAAAATTGTCTACATGTTTCAGCCACTACCTGATGACGGCCGCATATATTATTACATATGTACATTGTATTTAGACATTTGACACTGATATAATTATGTCCTCCTATGCAGCTCAGTCAACATATATAGTTAGGTTCTCACATAAATGTACAGTAAAACTTTCACATACAGTCCAGTCCAAACATGAAGTCTTTGATACAGTGAAGTCCATACTTAAAGTTCAAACATACAGTGAAGTCTTCACATTCAGTGAATTCCACACGTTCAGGAAAATCCACACATACAGTTACCACATAAAGACCCTTTCTCACATAAAGTCCTTACTTACAGCAAAGTCTTTAAATAGAGTAAAATCCACTTAAACAGTTAAGTCAACACATACTGTAAAAAATCCACACATACAGAAAAGTCCTTACATACAGTCCAGTCTATACAAATATTTATCTGCTTATCATATGCAAATCCTCACACTTTAATTCTGAAACATTTTAAAGAAATTGACGATGCATAAATGTTCTGATATACACAAAATATCACTGTATAGTTATAAAATTTTGCAGGAAAATGTTTCACAGCTGTCACAGTTTAGGCTAGTGTTCATGAGTATTTAATTTCATGCTGTGTTCGGTATCAATTTATACAAGCCTAACAGACATTTGATTTTGTACACATTAATATATGTTGCTATATTTGAATAAATAAGGGATTTCAAACAAAACTGCATTAAAATAATCTCATTAGCATATAACATTATATATATTCTATTTTTTGATACATAATACTATTTTCATTGTATTTCATCTATTTGCAGTTGTAATCTCTTCAAAGAACTCATAATGTGGTTTCATAATTGTCAGGGGAGACAACTCCAAAGTATGGATCAACTATCTGACTTACTTCCCCTTCATCTAAATTACCGTCAAAGACTCTATTATCACATGATCCCCTCACTGTCAACTGACTGGGTTGTGTGGACTGCAGAACACGGTTCACAATATCTTGTCTCATCACTTTGACACTGGAGACATGTTTCTTTCTGTCTAAGGAACCTCCATCATCCACTGGTACAGAAGGCGGCAGAATTTTTGTGTCTGACATTATGGATGAATGGTCTTGTAATTGCCCATTTTCCAGTGCGTCTGGATGGTCTTTTTGTTTGCTGTCAAGAGTTTTCATCATTTCATCATTATAATCTTTCTCCCACACCAAAGGTAATTTCTTGCCAAAAATTCTAACAAAGCATCCTTGAGTTGTGGAGTTGTCATCACCCAAATCTTCCCCCTTTTCCAGGCTCTGATTTTGCTGCTTTTTGATGGCACTACCATCTGATGCTTCACCCTTAATGTCACTAAGTCCGTTTCTTGAATCATTTTTTATTTGTGTGTTCATGAGTGACTCTTCTGCTTTCTGATTTTCACTAACATCATGTGTTTCAGGAATCTCTTTTTTGTATGTAGATTTGCTATGGTCAGCATTGACATACGCTGTTTTCACGTAGAGGGTGTCACCCTGATCTTGATCTTTTGAAAGTTTAGCAGTTGTTTGTGTGATATTGCTCCTGTTTTCAAGGTGATCTTCATTCTCAAGCATTTCTTGTCGGAGATCTGTTTGAATATTCTGGTGGTGGCAATGTACCCATACTTCTACTTCATGTGATGGGTCATATTCTGCTGCCCTCTCTTGCAATTCATCATATGTATCAATGTTGTCCGATTCATCAAAAATAGTGCCAAAAATTGAGCTGTCTGCACTCCCGGCACCCTCTAATATGAAAACAAAACAACAACAAAAATAATGAAAACTTCATATTTGACATTTATGATTGTATTTTGCAAATTACAATCCAGGACCCAGCAAAACAATTCCTAGCTGATATATATGATGGAGACTATGGATCCAACCAAAAGAACAAACCAGAAAAATCTGACAAAAAAAACAATAAATAAAAAGATCAGAACAATTAGAAGCAAAAAATATATCCACCCATCCCTGCTGTTAATATGAATAACTAAGCATGCATATATATGTCAAATAGAATAGTTAATAGTTGAATGTAGATTGTCTCTGTTTTCATCACTGTAGATGTTTAAAACATGTAGGTATCAGTTGTATAGTTTTCTTTAGCAGCACAGAAAAGCTTACAAACATTAAATTTCATATTTCTGACCATTTATTTCCATAATTACAGAGAAAAATATCAATAAAGAAATGTATTCAATAACAACAGTACAACTAGGATACCAGAAATAGCAATAACCTTAGATATAGGCTGATTTGAACAGTCAATAAAAAAACTGATGGTGAGATTGTATGCATTTTTAAACTCAATTGATCAGATCTAGGAAGGTTTGAAGTTTTAGAATGTTGTATCTTTTTAACAAACCAATACTTTGAAACAAGAAATTGTAATTGCTCTTTCTTATAACTTCATTTTCATGTTATTAACAATTTTGAAAACCTGATGATTGTCTTCATGACGAATAGAAAATGAGGTTTGTAAGTTGGTACAATGTATGATTCTAAACTGGGATACTAACGATGTGTCTGTCTACAATTCTACTCACCTGTCTGAGTGTTGGTGAACATCAGTTGAGGTAGCTCTGGTGTCTGGAGTCTAATATTCCTGAAATTCCTGATCCGCTTGCGATACTTCCTCTGTTTGTGATATTGGAAGCCCTTATAAGCAGGAAACACTATGAAACTGGTTCCCACAAGAATGACTCCAGCAGCTACAAGTAAGCCACCCAAAAGGATGCCACCCAATACTTTAGCACCTGGAGAGCAAAATTCATATATATTTTGAAAATTAATATATCATACCAGATTTAATTGTTAAAATCAAACTTGAATTAAAACCATTTCAAACTGATCTAACATCAACTGAAGACTTTTCAAAGTTTTTATATAGCAGTTATTGCTGTACACAATTAGATTTAAAACATATTTATTGAATTACTTCCCCCAACAATACACTGCCTAGCCATGAACCAATACCAAAAGTATGAGACTCTAGTGACAAGTGTAACAGACAGATCTTGCACAAACTGTTTCTTTGATGTAGGTCAAAGGTTGAAATTTAGGTCAGAGTGGCCTACTTTTGATACAATGACACACTACTTAAACCCATACCCCAAAGATAAAGTTGCAGTGAGAAGTAGTGTAAGAAATACAGGCCAGAAAAGGTAATGGAAAGATGGATAGAAGGACAGACACAAGGCAAAACTACTGTTTCCCTGGTTCCTGGTTAGGGTATGATATAGGTAACAGGATCTTAGTGACATCATTGATGAGTAAACACACTACAATGCAAGACACAAACTGAAAATTTTCAAAAATCTATCCCTAATTTAAAGGTAGATTTTAAGGATGTCTCCCACTCTGCCTATAAGGATATGTTTCTCTGAGTCTGCTTAAGAGGATATGTATCTTTGAGTCTACCAATGAAGAAGTGTCTCTGACTCTGCCTTTCAGAATGTGTCTCTGTCTGCCTATAAGGATGTGTCTCTGAATCTGCCTATAAGGATGTATGTCCCAAAGTCTACCTATAAGGAAGTGTCTCTAAGTCTACCTATAAGAATGTAGGTTTCTAAATCTACCTATAAGAATGTATGTCTCTAAGTCTACCTATAAGAATGTATGTCTCTAAGTCTACCTATAAGAATGTATGTCTCTAAATCTACCTATAAGGATATGTCTCTAAATCTACCTATAAGGGTGTGTCTCTAAATCTACCTATAAGGATGTGTCTCTAAATCTACCTATAAGAAAGTGTCTCTAAGTTTACCTATAAGAATGTATGTCTCTAAGTCTACCTATAAGGATGTGTCTCTAGGTCTACCTATAAGGAAGTGTCTCTAAGGCTACCTATAAGGAAGTGTCTCTAAGTCTACCTATAAGGAAGTGTATCTAAGGCTACCTATAAGGAAGTGTCTCTAAGGCTACCTATAAGGAAGTGTCTCTAAATCTACCTATAAGAATGTGTCTCTAAGTCTACCTATAAGAATGTATGTCTCTAAATCTACCTATAAGGATGTGTCTCTAGGTCTACCTATAAGGAAGTGTCTCTAAGTCTACCTATAAGAATGTAGGTTTCTAAATCTACCTATAAGAATGTATGTCTCTAAGTCTACCTATAAGAATGTATGTCTCTAAATCTACCTATAAGGATATGTCTCTAAATCTACCTATAAGGATGTGTCTCTAAATCTACCTATAAGGATGTGTCTCTAAATCTACCTATAAGAAAGTGTCTCTAAGTTTACCTATAAGAATGTATGTCTCTAAGTCTACCTATAAGGATGTGTCTCTAGGTCTACCTATAAGGAAGTGTCTCTAAGGCTACCTATAAGGAAGTGTCTCTAAGTCTACCTATAAGGAAGTGTATCTAAGGCTACCTATAAGGAAGTGTCTCTAAGTTTACCTATAAGGAAGTGTCTCTAAATCTACCTATAAGAATGTGTCTCTAAGTCTACCTATAAGAATGTATGTCTCTAAATCTACCTATAAGGATGTGTCTCTAGGTCTACCTATAAGGAAGTGTCTCTAAGGCTACCTATAAGGAAGTGTCTTTGAGTCTACCTATAAGGAAGTGTCTCTAAGTTTACCTATAAGGAAGTGTCTCTAAATCTACCTATAAGGATGTGTCTCTAAGTCTACCTATAAGGATGTATGTCTCTAAATCTACCTATAAGGATGTGTCTCTAAGTTTACCTATAAGGATGTATGTCTCTAAATCTACCTATAAGGATGTGTCTATAGGTCTACCTATAAGGAAGTGTCTCTAAGGCTACCTATAAGGAAGTGTCTCTAAGTCTACCTATAAGGAAGTGTCTCTAAGTTTACCTATAAGGAAGTGTCTCTAAATCTACCTATAAGGATGTGTCTCTAAGTTTACCTATAAGGATGTATGTCTCTAAGTCTACCTATAAGGAAATGTCTCTAAGTCTACCTATAAGGATGTATGTCTCTAAGTCTACCTATAAGGATGTATGTCTCTAGGTCTACCTATAAGGAAGTGTCTCTAAGGCTACCTATAAGGAAGTGTCTCTAAGTCTACCTATAAGAATGTATGTCTCTAAACCTACCTATAAGGAAGTGTCTGTAAGTCTACCTATAAGGAAGTGTCTCTAAGTCTACCTATAAGGATGTATGTCTCTAAACCTACCTATAAGGAAGTGTCTGTAAGTCTACCTATAAGGATGTGTCACAGAGTCTACATAAAAGAACTCTTATGTTACAACCTACCAAGGACAGAGCCACGAATTAGCTTCCTGGCACATGGCCTATTAGGCATCAAATTATATTTGCATCCTAAAGGGCTGAACTTGCTGTGATGGTTCCCAATCAACCTGGTCACATCATTAGTTATAATGTATCGCTCTCCACACCTGTAGCAGAAGCTCGTTCCACACTGTTTACAAGTCATGTGATCACAGCCTCCATTACGCTGGATAAACACCTGTATAAAATGAAATATGATACAACACTGAATCATTCATACCTCTGCATGTGGTTGGCTATATTATCTAACTGCATGCCTTAAATAGAATTTGTTGACTTTCTACTGATCTGCATCAAGAGACCCAGCAGGTTTGAATTACTCATCTGGATATTTCAGCTTTCACTTCAAAAAAATTTGTTTGTAATTGTATTGAACATTGAGGCCCTATAGGTTCTATAAATGCTGTCGTTCCTGTAACATATGTCAAATAATCTTGATAACACAGTAAGAACACTTGAATTACAAACATAAATGGAAAAGTACACTGTGCATAGCATCAACTGTCATCCCTTGTCAAGTACATAACCACAATTAAAGTAAAAGAAATTACACTCAAAATTTTAATTTCCTATTTATAAATTACGTATAACAAACTTATTCCATTCCCAGGAGAAATGTGAGATCCTGAGGCCATCAAATTCATAATTTTGGCAAAGCAGCTTAAGATCCTTAAATCCATGAAAATAATTTGATTATACCATGTCTGGATCTTGAGAAGAAGAATTTTGAAATCGGAGTTAAATTGATTCCTTCTGACCCTTGTCATCATGATCAGCCCCGGAGTGTCAGCTGGGTTCAATATGTGTGTACCATCAAACCATCATCATATACTAATAATTACAACAAAGATTGAATTATTTATCAAGGAAATTAACCAAACAATGCTCAAGAAGATGGCAGCAATGAAATAGACATCAGACTGACAAAAAAAGAACAACACTGGAACAGGACAATGAAACATTATTTCATATAAGTTTCTTCTGAAACTTGAGAAGAACTCCAAAATATGTGTTGTTTGGGAAACCGTAATTGTGCAATCATTATACAAGTGGTTGTCTTGGCTGTATGTTGTACTTTTGAAAAAAGACTAAAAAAAATAATAACACACCGTTGGCTTCCCTTTTCTGAAAATCTCCATCAAATTTGAGCTCAATGACAAGCTCATTTACATATGATCAGGCATTAGAGTGGACCTTGAAATGACTGTCTAGGCCTGTCAACTATTTTCCTTTTCTTATCCAACAATCAAACAGGCATAGCTATGGACCAATTGCAAATGGAACCTACATATAACATTTGAGAAAGATCCGTCCCAATATTTCTCAAGAAATAGTGATAACAAAATTTCATGGTCAAAATCAACTAGGAACCAAGGAAAACCTAACTATAAGGAATTTGAAAAGATCCATCCAGTAATCAAGAAATTAAGCAACAACAAATAAACTTTCAATGTAAATATCCAAGTCAGCAGCCTGTCATCCACTTTCTTTTCTTTCCTTTTTATCAATCAGTCCCTTAAGACCAAGGGGAATCTACAGACATGTATGACATCTGAGAAATATCTATGTAGTACTTCTTGAGGAATAGTGATTGATAGACTTCCATAAACCACTTTATTGTTTTTATTCTGATCTCAAAATCATAAGAGGCAACTACAGACCATAAGAAAATTTGAAGTTTGAGAAAGATCCATCAAGCTCTTCTGGAAAAATACAGATAACAAGTTAAGAATAGTTTACAGACGACAGACGATGGGAGGCGGGCTCAAAAACATTTCTCCATAGTAAATTTTAATTTCAAATTGACCATGCACTATCATCACAAATTATGTTTTACATTGATCTATATATATGCACCTACCTTACATCGTGGACATTTTTGAGCATTCAGATCCTGTCCTCTTGTTTTTATCTTTGCCCATGATTTTAGAAGTTTGTCCCCTTTTAAGTACTCTTTACAAGTGATACCCTGATGTTCAGGAGCGTGGCAAGGGAAACACCACACAAGATCACATTTAAGGCAGGTCACATTTGTGCGAAGACTTTTAGCCCTCTTTTTTGCAGCCCTTTGCTCTTCTTTTGTCATATTGTAAATTGTGGAGCATTGAGGACAGGTTTTCACCATCGGATCCTGATTAGCATCTACAAGAAATTTGTAATATTTTTCCTTCATCTCTACAGATAATAGGGACAGGATTTCATTGCGATGGACCAGTGACTCACATTGCCCAATACACTGAATACTGACAGCACCGTTTTTCACTTTTTCTTCCACATAATTCTCCATGCATGTCTCACAGATAGGAATATCACAACATAACCGCTTTCTGACATTTGTTTTGTCAAAACAAACTTCACATTCTGTTGTAGGTAATAGACTTCCTCTTGGATATGGTGAAGATCGCAATCTTTCATCTCTCTCTGACTCCATGTGATTCAATTGTAAATCAAGATCTCGTACATATAGCCAGTCCTCGTCTGGCCAATATTCATCCTCGTTAAATTCCGTCAGATAATCCAGCTCTAGAGCTAAATGCACGTCCGGGATATTGACTTCGTTATCAAGGAATGCATTATCATCGAAAGGTCCGTCCATCAAATCTTCCATGTATACATCCCCATAGTCATTAAAGGAAGTACTTTCTGCACTCACATCCAAATCAATCGCTGAATCTACTGGTGATTTCCCCTCAGGCACCATTTCAGATTGATCTGAAATAGTGAACACAGTTGGTCTTACTGTGTATGGATGCATATGTTGCTTTTCAGCATTTGTGTCTTTCGGAATACTTCTCCCCACTTTATCAGACATCTCTGAAGAATTTGATACATGCAGTTCTAACTTAGAATCAACTTTGCTTATTCTGTCTCTCAATGATGATGTCTCCCTTCCAAAGAAACCACTGTTTCCATTCTTAAATCCAGTGGGGGGTCTCTCAGTGGGGGGTCTCTTGCTTACTTTGTAGTTTCTGTGATGTCTAGTCAATGGATTCTCTATTTCTGTAATTTCTCTGGGTTTATGTGCTGTTTGATCATACTGCTGCTTAAAAAATAAAAGATTCTCACTAGTACTGACATCAGCGATTTCTTTTTCCACATTTTTTATATCAGCAAGTGGAAGTTCTGTCACATTTGTGGCAGAAAGTCTAGACTGAGCGAGTAACTCTTTATACTGTAGCTCTTCACCATTGTGTAATTCATTCTGCAAATTTTCAGTGGATTTCTTTCTTTCAGGTTCACACTTGGTTAAAAGATCAGAATTCTTAATCACTGTCTTATCAGTCATTTTTCCTGTAAATGAAAAAGAAAACAAAAAACATTACATGTACAACATACACATAATTTCTGAAAAGCAGACATTTTATTGCTGGAAACAATATTGTTGTAATGTCCAATGGAAAGAAAAGTTTCATTTTGGATATTCAAAGCATGTTTGAACAATTTTCTTGAAGACAAATATGATATACATGTAATAGGACATTGAACTTATTTCAAGTCTTTTTCCATTCTTTTGTCTTTGTTCCTCTATATTCTCTCTTAATCATAATATGATATTTGAAAATTCCTTTTAAGGCATTGCAATAACAATCTTAAATTGCTTTATCCAAAATGGCCACATGTCATGAATTTTGTTTTTCTGATCAGTCCCAAAATCAAACGGCACCTGCATATGATATTTAAGAAACATCCAGCTCATACTTCTCTCAAGAAATGGCAATACAAAGAATTGTTAATTGCTAGACATTGGACAGTCAGATGATGTACCATGAAGGATTTGAATAACTTGAATAATAGCAGTAGTAGTAGTGTGAACAGTTATCAAATAATCAAAGCAGTTTGGAAGAACATATCAGATTCATTATTTATTCAAATCAGCCTCATTAGTCTTCATTGCAATTAAATGATAAAGTACACTTACCTACATGTTGTTCTCCACATACTGATCACTTGCAATACAGATTTGGGGCATCAGTTTGTGTCAGCTGGCATGCATATGAGGTGACAGCAGGACATGAAAGAAAAATTCATTCACAGATGTTGTAATTACCTGGTCTGTACATAATATTATGCGACAAGGAAGTTAAAACTGAAAACACTGCTCTCAAATGTAATCCTCATACACACATGTACTGTTGGTGAGGGAGGAAAATTCTCCGCAACTCAACCAATTTTAAAAATATCAACATGAAACTTGGTACAAGTGTTATAACCATGTCAACAATAATACATCTTTTGACATTGCTTACTAATAGTGTTTGAAGATGCAACATGATTACCCCTTGTAACTTGTATGAAATGATTGTCATTATTCATTCATTTTTCATGTATGAAATTGAAACTTTGTATATCAATGTATTACATTCATATTAAGTAAATATTTATTAATGTTACTAACTCCATTTAGTATCTAAAAATACAACTGAAAAAACGACATTATTTTTTTCTTTCGAGTATCAACATGAAATTGGGTAAATAGGTGTAGTGTGGTCATATTAAATACATATCTTTTGACGCCATTAACTTAACTGCGTATTTTAAAAGATATTTCCAGATGACCCTTTACGACGCTTGTTGTCACTTACTGGCGCTTTTTATATATAGACCGTTACCGTGATTTCCTTTCTTTGCTTAAACTACGTAGTACGAAGCTATCATACTGAGCTCGGTGTTATCTTTTTAACTGTTCCTCTAAAATCGTGACAGTGACATTTCAAATGTTGAATACCACTTACTTTTTTTAGGCTAATTAATGTCTTCCATGTCTTTCATTAATTGTTTCCCTTTAAGCCACGTCCACCAGAGACAATGTTACTTACTACTAGCTGGTAATGTAGCCATCATACCATGTTGATACCATTACCAAAAATAGAACAGGTTAATCCTTTCTTCGTAAACTGATAATATTAACTATTACACAGACGGAAAATATTACTCACCTGTCCTCTGAACATATAAGACCAGTGCTGTTGAGCATTGTACTTGTTTCTGAGGAAAACATCGACATGTTTATTCTCTCTCGACAACATTCGCGAAAAAATTCCCTCGGAATTCTTTAATACAATATCTATGGTAAATCTAGAGAAGCTCCGATGATACTTCAGTCACCAAGACGTTTTTTCTTGTACGAATCGATTCATCTCGTTAAAGGTTTAATAAAGAGAAAGACCATCCAAAGAGACCGCTGGAACGTGTGCTGCGGTTCACCCCAAAACACCCAAAAATATCTCAAAACACACAGTAAGAGCGAGATATATGCAAGAACAAAACAAATATGGCTCTTTATTAATATTTACTGAACTTGTAATCGTACATTGGGTGTTTGCCTATTGGCTTTTGGAAGGGAAATAACTCTAATAGGCATGTTGACATATTAACGTAATTACCATCAATTCTTCCGTAGATGTGTATTGTGTACATATGTTTATATAGAAACGAATAAGAAATAATTCAGTTGGTTGTATTTATCATCTATTTGGTACAGGGTAATCAAATTGCAATTCTAATGCAGGTATAATATGACTTTGTATTACAAGTTTACTTACTTTGTTTTTATAAACTAAAAAAATGGCGAATAAAATGTTCTCGCATGTATATATTCCAGTCAAAATAACCAATCCTGCATGGCTCCTACATGCAGAAATTGAGAGTGAAAATTATTTGGTGAAAAGTATACAATAAATTTACATCGTGTTGAGAAAAAAAACAAACATAAGTTATCAGTCTAGATTATCACGTGGAAACCGACTGCAAATAAAGAGTGATAAAAAATACATAATGACAATAATAAACTTTATTTATTGGGAATAGATAACCTGATAAAGTCAAAGGTTAATCTCCCCCCGGGCCCTCAAGGTTAGTAAAGTTTGTTAGGTATATAATCTACAGACATTGTAAAGTTAAATATGCCGCATAGTAAAGGGGTATACTGTACTTAAAACGTGAAATATGACCAAAAAAGCAAATTACATGCAATAATAATTAAAACTCAGAAAACACTAATTTCATGCTTATGACTGCTCATTAAGTTAAATGGCCAAAGCCTCGTGTATATAAATGCTAGCATAGCAAAGGTACAAAACTTGCCAGAATACATACTGATATAACATATTTTTAAAAGTACTCATGCATTAATACTCTTTGCTCTCTTTCTAAAAATACTTAATGATGGTGATGACCATACATCAATAGGAAGATGGTCCAGATTTCACAGTCGGACACAATAAGATTACTGGAATAAAATTTAGTTCTGTGCTTTGGGATGTACGAAAAATGCTGTTCTGTCTGGCACGTGACTCTAGAATGGACATTGTTAACAGGTTTAAAACGAGGGCATAAATAATCAGAAACAAGTCCATTTACACATTTTAAAGTCATTATTGATTTTCTTTACTGTATATATAGAAGGCAATAGGCATCCATTTAAACCGAGGAAACATGTCGTTTGATGAGATGTCAAATAGAGCATCTAAGTCGAGGTGTGCAGCACGTTTTGGGGATTTATATAGCTTTTTCATTATACTGCCCTCACAGCCACTCCAAACAGTACACCAATAAACAAAATGTGGAAGTACACAAGAATTAAAATATTTCTGTTTTTTCTGTCGGAGCAGCCCTAGACCATGGTTTATCTAATAAAGAATCAAGATGTTTAGAAAAAGACTGGTGGTGGTCTAGTGTTACACCAAGGATTTTCTCAGTATTATTCCCTTTACAATTTCCTCGTCATTAAACTTACACTCATTTCATCATTATCAAGATTACAAACTTCTGTTTTGTTGTTAGACTATACATGTTGTTTTGTATGCATTAACTACCATTATATTTTCAGTATTCCGCTCTTCTAAATTTTTCAATCACACTGAAGATTTTCTGTGACAATACTTACTGTCGTTCTAGATACAAACAACGTAGAATCATCTACATACATATCAGTTCTGGAAGCAGCTTTCAACGGCAAATCGTTAATGAAAGCAAGAAACATCAGAGATCCCAGTATAGAGCCCTGGGGTTCCCCAAGGGTAATTTTTCTGACCTCTGGTAGATTACCCGTTATACCTTTTTTATATCATCTAACACGTAAATAAGATGAAAACCAAATTTTCAGCATTGTTTGCGAGGTCGAATTTATTACCGTGATCAATTTCCTCTGCCCACGAATCAACAATCTTCAACAGAGCAATTTCACATGAATGATTTTCACGGAAACCGGGATGAAATGATTATTTAAATACTCATAGAGAAAAAACCCTGTATACAATAGGTTTTTGAAATGGTCTTACAATATTTATGATATGCGTGTTTCAGTCTAGATGACCATAGTGTATGGCTCCGACACGCGGAAACTGAAACTGACAATATCTATTTATCACTTTATTGGTTCAGAACTTGCCGTATTAAGTGATTAATTGGTGCAGCATGTAAACATATATACTGAGGCTCAGTTTACAGAATATGTAGTGTATTCTTTCGTGGTATATGGCGATGTGGGCGGACCCACGAACGCCAGCCGCCCCACGTTATGGTATAAGTGTCATGCGAGGGCTGGTAGAAGTGACCAATAAGGCTTATTTAAAATATATCCATGTAATTAAGAATATTGTAGAAAAGAATATAAAAGAAGTAATGTTATACTTGTGTTATTGTGTATATTATTGCTCAAATAGGGGATATATTGGCGGTTATGTTTTGTATCCCGGGTCTAACACAGTCAGTTACACTCGGCAGTTGAGAGCTTTTCTACTTCCGTTATACAGTACTTAAAAAGTCCTTTTGTCTATGGCTGCATATATGGTCCGGGGTGTCCCTATGATGTATGTAGGGTTTTTTTAATCATACATGCAAGTTTACTGTTATAAAAATGGAATTTTTCAAATAATATTGTGATAATTTGCGAAAACAAAAAAAGGAGGGAGGAATGAAACAGAAGTAAATTGACTGAGTAGCACGATTATACTTAATAATAAGTAAGAAATAATACAGGTACACTACCAGCGAGAGAGGTGAAGACTGAGAAAGAGTGGGGTTAATCAGAGAAGTAGAGATGACTTAATTTTTTTGATCGGTTTTAGAGAATACGAGTAACGGTTCTGGAAAGTGAGAAATAGAAATAAATTTGTCTCCAGCCACGAGAATAGTTTTCGAAAATGAAAATTCAAATAATCTTTCTTGATCCCCATATGTAAAAACGGTATAAGGTATTGGTGCCAGACAGTAATTTCCCTTTCAGTGTCCTGGCCGGTACTGGAAAAGTTGTCTCCCCTGGCCACCACATACTATACATTTATCAAACATGTGAAAAATGTTAAAACTAAATACAGTAATAAGTATTTGGTTTGTGAAACAAACAAAAAAAGTTAAAAACTGATCCATGACGTGTTAGTAGTTATTTTATGTATATCTTGAATAAAAATATTCATCAATTATTCTCTTCAGGAGAATCACTGACTTACAGATCTTATTAGTAAGATCACTGCCTCGAATGAAAAAAGAAATCCTTTAGCATGAATGTAGAACACAAGTCATTATTGTAACTCATTCTGTGAATTTTTTTATGTTCAGAAAAAAAGTCATTCAGAAATTATCAATTTCACTTGTAAGTATAATAGCTTTTTTTTAAACAATGAAGTTTATATAATTGAATCTAGTGTCTACCGCCGTTCACACGAGCGATGCACGAGATCTTGTCCGACCCACCATCTTACTCACTAACCCAGTGGTGTCAGGCCTGTTTTATACACTGTGGAAACCATCCTTGGACACCGGTCAGGAAGAGTGGTGGGGCCAATCTTGACCAAATATTTTCCGATCGTATAGTCCCAGTTGAGTCGCCTTTTTTTTTATTATAACAAGTCGATCCATATTTGATTTTCTGTTGGTGATACATTCCTGTCTGGCTTATTTTGACTTCGCTATCCATCAACAGTGATATTTGGTGTGTTATAATAAAAATCATTTAGGACCTTTATATATTCATAATCCCACTGAATTGTTTTCGTAATTAACCCTCAGAAAATTCCTATTAAAAAAATCTATAATTATCCTCCCTAGTTATCTGGGCTTTACAGAGACAATTCATAACGGTGTACATGTAAACCGGCACAGCAGAAACTCGATTATTTATAAGAAAAGAAAGAGGACGGGACTTGAGAAGGGGACACACATTTGTACCGTGCAATATGTCACGTCACTAAGTATCCGCTCCTCCTATACCTATGTAAGTGTAAATCTATCTGATCTACAATAAATGATAAATACGGTGTTGTCTACTACTTCACATGATAGAAGAGAGGATGAAGAATGAATAGTTTCGGCGACATTTGATAAAATGAAAATTTAAATAAAACTTATGAAGTAGGGGCGGGGACTGTGCACTGAGATTTCCTTGTCGTGTCAACACCTAGACTACATTTTAGTTTAAAAAGTGACCATCTATCAGGTCACAATTAGTTGTCACGACATGTCCCTTAGTTTCCCCTGTACCGGTTGGGTTCTGCTATAATAATCAAATATTGTATATACTTATATAGTTAATTACTGCAGAAGTTATATTTGGAGAATATTTGGAAAAATTGCCATCACTGTGTATGGAAATTATCACGTTTTAATAGATGGTGCTCGACGGTCTCTAGGATTTAAATGTCTCACAATAGCCATCATCATGTAGGTTCCTCTGAAATTCAGCCGGAGTTTATCTTAATCGCCTTAGGGTATAAGATGTTACAAGTTGTTTACAGTCTATGTTATTTTGTTACAGTTTCTTTTCAATTCAGATACACGTGTTTTCATTGATTTACCTATGTCAGGTTCGCTCCAAGGATTTTGCGAATAAACTGTAAGTTCAAATGTTTAAAGTATGTTAATAGTGTTTGAGGGGAAGTTTTGCCTCTCTCTGCTTTGTTGTTTCTCTGGTACGACATGGTTCGGCACCCAGGGCATCTTAACTTTATTATTGAGTATAAGCAATAAGTTTAAATTCTCGGAAACAAGCGGGTTCATAATAGGAAAGTGGGGGTTAACGGGGATAGCAGCGCGCTAAATGATGAAAAATGGCGATAGTTATCTGCCGCTGAAATACTTAAATCTGTAGTGTAAACATTATTGCCACAATTTCTACTGTCATAATTGATATAGGCCAATTAATGACGGTCCGAAACTGTTTCTTATATTCATACCTAAAATGACAAAAGCACAGCTACATGACTGAGTATTTGGATCTTTAGATCAATCAGTATATATATATGTGTGCGTGCTTTCTTGCGTGTGTGCGTGTGTGCTCGTGTGTCATTGTACAAAAGACACGCAAATGAATAGCACATTTAAATAATCCGGAGTATTATACTGCATCATACATCCTTCTATTTGTACGCCTGTAAAGGAATTTATAAACAAACTTGCAGGACCAATAATTTCGGACGCCGACACCTTTTTATTTATTTCTTAAAAGTATCATCAGTGAAATGACGGGAGAGTTCATTTGCTACAAGATAATACAACACGCGAAGGTGAATGATTTACTAGTATACAGCAGGAAACAGTTCTGATTGCTTGAAAATGTACTGCTCTCCAGATGTTAGTTCGCTTATAAACCATCAATAAAAAGCAATGGACATGGGAGAGGTGGTAGTTATTATTTAATTCTTAGAAAAATATATAGAAAAAAATCCTTAGAAACAGGCACAAAAGATCATGTAAGTGGGTATCCTCCAAATATCATAGTGTACTTAGGATATTCCTGAGCAATACAATATCACCACATCTCCGCGTCACAGCTTACACAACACTTCAAAGCAATTTCACAAAGCAAGAAGGTACAGACATCCTACATGTACAATAAGATCTAGATAAACTCCAGAAATGGTGAGATGTCTGGTTGCATAAATTTTATCTTACCAAATGTCAGGTCATTATATATAAGGAAAGCAAGAGCAGAAGGTATATGGCAGAGAAACAATTATTGAAAATATCGAAATTAGAAAAGACGTGTCGCATGATGAACAGTTGGATTTTATTACCCTTTGTTTAAATTCCACCAACAAAACAGACTCGATTCTTGGTGTCATTAGAAGATAGATCAGTAGAGGAATCGATATTGAAACAACTTTTGAGTGCTGTAGTCATAATGTTAACTTGAAAGCTGCAACATGCGCATGGAACCCGTAAAAGCTAAAAAAAATAAAATGAATGAAAACGTTTAAAGAAGAACATCCGAAAAACAAGAAAATACCAAAATATGAACATGATTATAATCCAAACTCAAATTCAATAAAATCCAGGGCAAAATCACGAAATATTTACACGGAGACGCCTAGGAGAATAAGACCAGGCGTATCGAAAGAGTAAACGTTCATCAACCACACCCACCGTGTAATTTTTTATCAATCCAAATAAGTAATGTCAGGTTTTCAAATGAGAACAAGGTATACAAACAACAAATCCATCAGGCAAAAACTAACGAGCCTCAGATTTATATCCCAAAATCTGAAGAATCTTCAGCGCATTAGCAACGTCGCGATGAAATAAAACTCCGGCACTTACTAGATGAGCACTATTTTAGTGAGTAATCGAAAGTCCATTTGCAAAAGTCATTTGCATTTTTTACTTCAAAGTGCTACCTGTCCGACATAAACTGACCAAATGATACCAATCTTCGGGTACATCGCCTTAAATAGGCAGGGAATAGTAGAGCTGAAAAAGGACACCCCTGCTGATTTTTTTCAATACAAGACTCACAACTTATCAATCAGTCCTCGTAACTTGTTTTTCTTTTGGGACTGGGTCATTGTGGGGCAGATCGAGACTCCTTTAGGTAGCTGGTGGAGATACCATTATTATATAGTATGAAAGAGAGTGGGAATGATATTGTTTATGTTTTTTTATACTTAGGTCCTCGTAGGGCCACGGTGACGAAGAGGGTTAAATGTCTGACCGTCTTTATCACTAGCCCTCTACTGAAAGGTCACACGTTCGATGGGAAGTCGCCAGGTACTGGCCGCAGGTCGGTGGTTTTTCTCCGGGAACTCATTGACTATCCTCTACAACCCTGGCATGTCCTTATTTGACACAAGCTGTGGATACTGAACGTAAAATAAATAAATAAAAAAAAAACAGAGGGTAGTCAATTGATTTCATTGTGATGATCGATATACGAAGAATTCTAAAAGAATTCAATGATCAGCGTGTCCTGCTAGTTTGAAGAATCATACATGCTAAACACCTTGGCATATTAGCCGTAGCTATTCTGGTCAAAACGGACAGTAGCCATTTTGTTGATGTAATGATAAGGTGCAAGAAGTACTATAAAAGTTTTTGAAAAAAATGATCTCGTGTAAAACAACTATGAAATACCAACATGTCAACATAGTCATAATCCAAACTCAAAGTCAATAAAACTAGGGCCAATTATTAACAAAACAAAGATTTACAGGAGACTTCTGAACAAGTACAAGGAGAATAAAAAAACGTCTTTTGCTTCTTTGATGACACCCGCCATGTAAACGGCGGGTGTCATCCAGGAATGCAATGTCACGTTCTCAAATGAGAACAAGGTATACAACAACGGAACCAACAGGCAAACTAACGAGCGTCAAATACGTCCATTTTCAAGTCACACAAAGAAATCGAATATTTCTCAATGAGATCACTATGGCGACCATAAAAAATTCCCCATAATTTTAATAACCCGTATCTTTTGAAACCCTTTGTTACGAGTTTGTCAGTCAGTTGAAGACTTCTTTCACGAAAATCGTGAAAATGGGAACAAGTCTTTTAATATCGAATCAGCTTCTACATGTGAACATGATAAAGGTTTGGGATACCAGGATGTTGCTATTCAGAAATGAAACATTCACAAATTGGATATTGAAATAATCATGCTGCCGTGTTGGTATATCACTTATAAAAGTTTCGAATTTTTCTATGAGTGTTTCATACTTTTGTAGAAACTGGAATTTTTCGAAAGAAAAGCCATTGGAAAACAACAGTATATAATGCTGTAATGAAATATGAAGAGTACAATCTAAAGGAACGTATGAAGTTTGATGATGATTTTACAAGGTTTAGAGAAATACATAACCAACCCAAACCTAGTATTTTATGGAAGTTAGCACTTCGATTTCCTCAATACAGAAAATATATACATTACATAATGAAAATAGTGGTAACCATTCGTAGCTTGACTACCATGGAATTATGTCACAAATGTGGGTTTCTATATCAAGACCCTATGACACATCTAGTGCTACAGTGTATTTATACTTCCGAGTTGAGGGACCAACTATGGTGCTGTATAATTAATACCACAGCACAGATATACTGTTTAGTGTTTATTTACACTCTCTCCCAGACCTTCAGTTATTACATATATTGATTGGAGGAAATGTAAACTATCAAATTAGTGCAGAAGAGCTGATTGAATTCAGGATAAAATCCTGTATTTGTGTGTTCAAGATGTGTAAACTATATTATAATTAATATATATAATGATAAGGATAACAAATAGTCCATGTACATTTTGTAGGAGTCATGTGACTTAACAATTCATTATAATTTACCTGATTTGTGTCAGAAAATTGTATTTTGAAACTCTTTGGGTATACCTTAAAATACCCCCTTTCGGTTAATTTGCACTTGATATGCCTACTCCTAAAGCATAAAGTGTGTATCTATGTTATTCATATTCTGTAATCATTTATATATGTATCGTACGCTTTGTATATATGTTCAACATTCTTCTGTAATCTTCATCTCTGGAGGCAATAAAGAGAATAATAAGTGTTTCATATCATTTATGAAAAAAAATCAAAGTAAAAAACGTCAAAGTAACAGTTGATAACAAGAAATAAAAAGAATTTGATATATATATTGGGTGCAAAACCTTCGAAGTGATTGCATAGAGAAAACGAAAAAAAAACGGTAACAAGGTTTTGTAAGAGTTCTTTCCCTTCCCTCACCTTCACTAACCTTGGAATCTTAACCATTGGTGGAGGAAAACGCTAGTAAGTTCCGAAAGAACGTTCCGGAATTTTCGACAACATAGATGTCGCTTCAGTCGATGGTTCTAGATCGTTAGCGAAGTGACTGGAAAGGCAAGGAAGGATTATAAGCGTATAAATATGGCAAGCCGTCAGATGTTTCCCAATCCTTACACGCCTCAACATCCAAGTAATAACGAGTTACCACCAGGTTGGGAAATGATTTTGGATAAGATGACAGGATGGCCATATTTTATTGACCACAACACGAGACAGACAACTTGGGAAGATCCCCGTATCCGAATGGTGAGTTCTGTCAAAAGTTTACTAACGTTTTCGTTTTAATTTGTTTCTTATGTTATATCAATCTGACTTATTGTTTTGGAGTTACTGGTTTATAATGATCTGTTATGCTTCTATACAAACTTCTATAGGATGTAAGCGAGTAATTGTTGTTTCAAAATCATTAAATCGGCAAGCATAAAAAAGTGACAACAGTTATCCAAAGTCGAAACCGGTTTAACACCTAAAAGCTCTATTTATAATCATAAGCGAGTACAAATATTATATGTGAACTTCTTGAAGCACAAATTACCATATATGGCCAGAATAAGGTATTTCTGACGGAATTGATCGTCTTCAGATAGCTGGTGTGAACCTATTCACCATTGAAATGAAAAAGTAATAGTAAATATATCTAAAGACAAAAACGCTAGACATAACACCGTTAAATGTCAAACGTCTGGAACATTAAGATGATGGTCAAGGCGGAGTAGACTGGATGTTAATGTTCGGACGATAAGGTCTGCACTTCATTCTGGTTCTTATATATTGATCATGCTAAATGCAGTTCTCAGATATTTATCATGCTAAATGGTTATGCTATTCTCAAATAGGTAACTTAGAACTTTGACATACTGTATTGATACCGAGAGGAGCTTGATTTTGAATATTTCTTAACTAAACTGTGATGGTATGGATCATAAAGTATCACCTTAACTCTGTGATGGTATATAGCACCTCCTGGTGATTGGTAAATTTAAAATAGATTTATTAAGATGAGAATACAATCATATTGTTTAGTTTCATGACTGGTAACATGGTAATAAATCTGTAAAGGTACAAGAATTGAAAGAACCCCAACTCCTTCAGCCAGGTATTTTACTAAATATTGTTTAAATTCGAATATGATCAGGATATTAATTAGGACCAATTCTGGACTGATGGAAATATATTAGATCAATAACAGATAATTCCTTTAAGCTTTCTTACTGAAATCTTTGCTTATTTGCTTGATTTTGTGTGATAAAGGCACTTGTTTGTGCTTCTCCCTAACAATATTATGTTTGTTGGTTTTTCCTTTTAATAAATTGCTCATTATCTCAAAGTGTTTTTGAAAATGAAAATTAAATTTAGTTGAATGTACTAGCAAAATGTAATTATTTACAATATTCCAGGGTCAAAGACAACAGCCACCATCGTTTGGAAGTAATTTACGTGAACTTCCAGTCAAGCATGAAAATAGTGGCATGCCACAGCAGTATCCACAAATGCCTCAACCCTATTCTCAGCAGCAGTATCCACAGCAACAGTATCCCCAGCAACCCTATTCACCACAGCAGCAACAGCCTTGGCAGAATCCTACTTCCTCTGTCAGTGATACCCACATGGTCAGTCCACCAAGGACAGCAACTCCTCCTAGAATAGGAACACCACCACGACATGGTGTGAACTTTCCCCAACAACAGGGAAGATCTTCCCCTGTTGTCAGAGAGATTCCTATCCATCATATTTCATCAACAGGGAACAGAGGACAGCAGCCTGAGGCCTCCACTCAAGGTCCAAACTCAGATTTAGGGGGCTATACAATATACACAGGAGTATCTGGGGGACCTCAACAGACCCCGGCTAGTACACAGGGCTACCAACAGGGGCCCAATAGCCAAGCGACTGGTCAGTATTCTCAACCTCACCAGCAACAACAGCCTTCAGTTGCTGCACAAACTGTCTTCCCGCCAAATCCACCTCAGAACTATCGACAAGAGCCTCAAAACTTTAGTACACCAAGGCCTCAACAGCCGTACCATCAACAACCTCAGCCAGGATATCAACCACCACAACAACCAGGATATCAACCACCACCACAACCATCATACCAGCAACCACCACAGCAGAGCTTCCCTCCACCACCTCAGAGTCAACCAGCACCCCCTCAGGGCTTTCCGCAACCCTCAGCTATGTCACATGGTATGCATGGTGACAGCCGGGGACCAGCAGAAAGGGTCATCCCTATACATCATCAAACTTCAAGTCAAGGTCAAGGCAACAATCAGGGTCAGGGTCAACAGCCACCTCATTATGAGGGCACACCTCACCCACGACAGCAGGTTCCCCATCCAGATTATCCGAACACTGTTCCATCTGCTCCTCCGTCCCAGTACCACTCGGAACCTTCAGTCAACCAGCAAAGCAGTGAGAGGAAAGGCACCCCAGATGAAGTCAATGGACAGGCAAATGGTCATAATAAACAAGAAAAACCAAAACCAAAGACTCCTATGGACACCATATCAGGTATTCTGTCAGAAGTTAGAGAGTATGAAGCAAAAGTGGCTAACTTTCAGGGTTTAAAAACTGATAAAGAATATAAATACCTTGAAGAGATGCTGACTCGTAATTTACTGAAGTTAGATAGCATTGAGTCAGGATCAAACAATGACATTCGCCAAGCACGAAAAAATGCTGTACGTGAAATCCAAGCCAGTTTGGATCAACTAGAACTGAAGGCTTTCTCTGCAGAACAAAGTGTGGACTCTAGTCAAGATAGTGCCTCAGAACAGTCAGGCAGTACCTCGGACAATAACAAGCAACAGAATATATCTCATATTTCTGTGTCAGGAGAGGATAAACCTGATCCCACCAAAGTCAAAGAAATGGTTTTAGACAGTGAAGTAAACTGCTAGCTGTGATAACTACTAGATTATTGGTATTTTGGTATTTAATAATGTTTCTAAAAGTTCTGTAGAATTGTTTGAATATATATAATATGTACTTGTTTCTTCAACTCATGTGAGCTTTAGGTAATTAAAAGAAAAATTAACAATTACCCTTTAGAAGCAATATTTACAAATTGTCAATTAAATTATGTGAAAAATTGAATTTGGGTACCGTGATGACCAACATTTTTTTATGTATATCTATTTGTCAGGTGTAACTTGTTATACAAAACATGTAACACAGTGAACACAATTTTCTGTGTTTTAACAAAATTTAGTTTAGAGAAAACATTTATTGATGTCATTGAAATAACAACCATTGAAGTTGATAGCGTGGAAAACATTTATTTACATTCTTGATTTCTGTCAAATCTTGTTTCATTCCTACTTAGTTTACCATATACATACTTTGTCTTCGAGTCTGTAGCGAAGATTGTGCATGTTTGTAATAATTAGCTACTTCGTTATATATCGGCATGATTAAATATGCGTCAATGGATTTGCAGTTTTGCAAATTGGGTGATGATAACATTTTAAAGAAGTTCAGAATATAAACACAAAATTTATTTATTGAAGAATTTCCATTTATGTTGCATTGTATGGCAGTTAAGATGTTTGGATAATAAAATTCATATTCATTTTGAGCTATTGTTGCTAAATTCCTGTAAGTCGATTTGTAAACAAACAATGAAGTATTTTAACTTATACATTTCCCAGTTAAATTTCAGTTACTTTAAAATCCCTTTTGGATGATTGTAGAAAAAATCTTGATGAGTGTAACATTATGTATGATATGATCTAATTTGTCTGTATGAAATTTCACTGGGTCAAACATATTTTTACAACATGTCTTTGGACTTATTTTGAGTGGTTTTTTTGGGGGGGGCCAAAAATGGGTAAGATTTTCAATTGAAATTATTTCATATTGAGGCCAAATTCCCAAAATTTGCAATATATTAATTAAGCAATTTCCTCACAATTCACTAATTTTCCTCCTATTGAGGCAGAGAAATGACAGGCATGATCTAGATCTGTTTAGTCTAAATTTTGTTTACATAATCGGTGTATGATACAACTATTGTCTTTGCTATGTTATACAGGAGAAGGATTGAGGAATGATCTAGAACAGTACTAAACAGTAATTTTGTAAGAATTTTCTGGTGAGTCTACATCACCGTTTGAAAAATTTTGGCAAGTCCAGACAAAAGGGATATTGTGGGTTCCTCAAATTTGAGCTAGTCTCACAGGCATGAACTTGGAATTCCAAAAATAACTGAATAAATTTCTGTTTGTGATAAGTGAAAAGATAAAAGTTGAATTTGAAACTTTATCAAAGTTTTACTCTTTAATTGGTGTAGCGTGCATTTGGGGAACATATCAGTTGGTTTTGCTGTAGATGAAAGTATAACTTCATCAACAGCCTGGCATACATGTTGGGGTTTGGCCATGAATATCTTCCTTATTTGTGACAGTTGTCACAAGAAGCAATGATCTAGTCACAATCTGACTCACTAAATAATATCTTGCTTCAAATATAGGTAAGGTACATTTTATAGATGAAATATAACACTTTATACATAGAAACATTTGTCTCCAAGTTTAATACAAATCTAGACCATGACAGGGTATGTGTTCATATTTGTGATCCTTATGAATGGAAAAACCAGTATTATTGTTTTTTTCATTTTATAAAATTGTTATCATTTCTGTTGGTTGTAAATATTTTTACCAAATAAAAGTTGTTTGCAGATGCTTTCATTATTAGGTTCAGTCTTTTATATTGTATTTGAAGTTTATTTTGAAGTGTGTTCAGTGATTTGTTAAACAAAGAAAAAGTGTTTTATGTGTTGGTGTGCTATATCAATTTTTTTGTCTTCATTTGAATGTGTAAAGCATAAATACAGCCAAACGAAGTGCAGTAATATAGGTACCTATATATAACTGATTTTTCCCTCCTGAAAATTGTTTAATCCTACCTGGTTTTAAACAAACATGGTTGATTCCTGTTTAAAAACTCATCATATACTTGTAATTACGACAGTCAATCTTTACAGTTTATTTTGATATATTTCTCATTGCCATCTTTCTGGATTTCTTGTCTATTTGAAATCTGAATCTGACCCAAGGAGGCAAGTCAGCAAAGATCAGAAGCAGTTTTCAAGCTATTTTTATTATTGTTTACCAACTTCGAGTGAAAGTAAAGAGTCATACATAGTGTTGTGTGTGATACTTTTCATGTTAATTGTTAAGAAGTCATTTAACTGAAAATAAGAAAAGCTTGAAGTTGGGAACAGCTATTAATTTAACATCTATAGATGGCTAGTTGGTTTGTGATATTGTTTGAGTCCAGAGGTTGATCTGAAGTGTTTTCCATTGACTGTCCCTCTCTTCTATCTTATACATGTACCTGCGGTCATGTCCTGTTACCATTATATTCTGTCCAAGTAAGATCATATAAGATTAGATCCTGTGCACAATAAATTTGATTTCCACATGGGTTAATTTCAATATATGTACTCAAGATAGGTCCCCTGATTGCTTTTTCTTAGCCATTCCTTCATGTATGTCCCTCCATATATTGCCTTGTTCTCTTACAAATAAAGTGTTTTGCAGGACAAATTAGTGTCAGTGTAACAAGGTGTTATTGTTTAATAACTGTAAATATATCTTTTATATTATATCCAAGATATGAAAAAAAACATGAAAGGCAGTGGATATTGTCCTGAAAAATGTTTGTAGTCAGAAAAGTTTAATCACTAGAAATCTGATGTAAAAAGAAAGTGCAGGACTTTAACCCACTGCCAGCCCCACCCCCAACATACAAAAAAATAGATAAATCTTGTGTCATGTGATAAATGATATTTCAGGGTTTAAGATTAGGAAGGTGAAAACTTTCTTTTGTAGAACTGATTATTCTGGTATGGTAACATTGTTTTATATTGTTACCAACACATGCTGTTTAGAAGAATTCTGTAATTTTGTAATTGTGCTTAGATTCATAACTACAACTCGGTTAGTGAAAAATTCTCTTGGTTAGTGGAAACTCATTTTAGTACAACTGGGTCAGTGAAAACCCCGTTTTGGTTGTGAAAAACTCATTTTACTACATCGTAAGATATACTACGAAACTTGTTTTTTCTCTTTGCACCTTGGATATTGGAAAACCTAAGGGCCAAATTTTATGTACACATGCATCAGCAGTACTACAAATATTGTCATTTTATCTGTAAATATTTATACCATCATGTGAGTTCTGGAATCAATCAAAGAAGATATCAAATTTGATGGATTAAAGGAGATAACAAATTGGATTTGATTAAAACCCAACCTCTGAATTAATTTCACATATTAGCAAAGTGTATTTTTTTAAACTTTATTAGTGTATGATGTTGTTTATGGGTGTTTTTGACAACACAGGTTCTATTTTCAGTAAAATTTTGTTACTAAAAGAAAAATACAAGTATAGGGCACAAATTGAAGGAGGGAGAGTATGTTAAGTAGAAGTATATAAATTATATGTGGCTACTGTTAAATACAATGTTTTAGAATTTTTTTAATATCAAATTTTGTCCTAGAACGAATCAATTTTTCATTGGTACATGAAAATTGTTTTACAAAGAAATTTTTGTTATCAGACGTTAAAGATTTCACTAAATGTCAAAAAAATATCAAAATCAGTGTTAATATATCTGAACCAATTGCATTTGAAAGAATATGTGTTATTGTATTGTTACAATTTATTGCAAATAAGTGTATTTAAAAGATGGAGAAGTACAAATTTTACTTTTTGAAATTCTAACTTTCTATCTTTATCACAAAATTCAAAGCATTTTTTTACAGAAAAGGCACCTGAAATGATAATGATGTACGTAGTAGATTGTTCTTAACATGTGAACATAGACAAGATAATATTTTGTACAGGACCAAACATTTCTGTTATTTCTATGTGTATGTTCATATTTTGCCTCTATAGCAACATAGGTGTTATTGTTATCATGGTATAAAGCTTTACTGTTAAGAAATTCTTGTCAGAATTTTTTTGTTTTGTCATACTTATAGACATATTGTAGATTCTACTGTTGATATGACAAAGGTGACGTTTTGACAATATCAGATACCCACTTGTTCCCTTTGGTTCATTTTTACACGCAATACTCCATTACTCCCTTGCAGCAATATGGCATGAGGGGAGATAACTATGTTAGGGATACAAAACAAAGGGAGGTAATTTCAGAATGATATAATGATGTGCATGTGGCATTGTGATTGATTAATGAGTGCAGATATTTGTCAAATGTGCTGTGGTTTTCTTCTGGAATGTGAAGATATTGTTTTTGAAAAGTAGTCTTAATGCATTGTTACAAAAAATCCAGATTGTTTTGGTAGACGTAGATTTAATTTGCTCTACTTTATAATGCTATGTATTAAACTTATTTATTAAAATGCTCTAACTTTTCATAATGAATCCGTCTTGTGTCTTTCCATCTTTGTCTATCAAATTATTTGAATCGACAGATACACATGATGAGATTTGTGTTATCAAATGCGTAGGATATGCCCCTCGACTTTAATTAATTGTCTTCGCCAAATTGTTCACTTAGGTTGGTCTTATTCTGGACTGTCATTATCTCTTTGCTCTTCACAGCCATAAATTCTAGGAATTCTTTACTAAAGACATCGAAATGAATATTTAGACAAAAGCTAAAGCTATAGTGACAGCATAAGATGATATATTTTTAACATCGGAACGGCAATCTTACTATCTATTAAACAGAAGTTTGATTTTACAGAGCGATGCTGCGTATTAAGACGTCGGTACCTCGAAACGCCGATGCATTTATGGTAGCTTTAAATGACAGGCTAGTAAGCAAACATACCAGTGTGCGAAATATGTTTGCCTGCAACATAACGTCATTGAAAGTATCATCAGTATCACGGAAAGAAAATTAAATGTACATGTTTTTACAAATTTGGCCATAGCACGTAATTTTGAAATGATAGTAGACTTATAATATTCTGTGCTGTCACGATAACATTTGTGCAGATATGAGCGTTATCTCGAACAAGTGCTGCTACTCCCGTACATTCCCATACAACCTCTCCCACTGTGTGTCAGCCTATTAGGTATACTTAACCACAGTGGCTTGTCGACGGCGCACATCGTATATTGTTGTGAATACTTCAAAGGCACCGACAGCTGATACAGTCTACCTGTACAAAGGTAAATAACACCAGCGGCTGTACAGGTCACTCCGGAAATACTACTTGTCATCAATTTTCTACATTCTGCATACATAAATGACAGGTACCTATAACCTGCAGGTAAAGATATTTAATAAAGGGACAATGTACCCATAATGCGGTAAAGATGTTTAATAAATGGACAATGTACCCATACCTCCGTAAAGATGTTTAATAAAGGGACAATGTACCCATAACTCCGTAAAGATGTTTGATAAATGGACAATGTACCCATAACTCCGTAAAGATGTTTGATAAAGGGACAATGTACCCATAACTCCGTAAAGATGTTTGATAAAGTTGCAATGTATCCATAACTCCGTAAAGATGTTTGATAAATGGACAATGTACCCATAACTCCGTAAAGATGTTTAATAAAGGGACAATGTACCCATAACTCCGTAAAGATGTTTAATAAAGGGACAATGTACCCATAACTCTGTAAAGATGTTTAATAAATGGACAATGTACCCATAACTCCGTAAAGATGTTTAATAAAGGGACAATGTACCCATAACTCCGTAAAGATGTGTAATAAAGGGACAATGTACCCATAACTCCGTAAAGATGTTTGATAAAGGGACAATGTACCCATAACTCCGTAAAGATGTTTGATAAAGGGACAATGTACCCATAACTCCGTAAAGATGTTTGATAAAGGGACAATGTACCCATAACTCTGTAAAGATGTTTGATAAAGGGACAATGTACCCATAACTCCGTAAAGATGTTTAATAAAGGGACAATGTACCCATAACTCTGTAAAGATGTTTAATAAATGGACAATGTACCCATAACTCCGTAAAGATGTTTAATAAAGGGACAATGTACCCATAACTCCGTAAAGATGTGTGATAAAGGGACAATGTACCCATAACTCCGTAAAGATGTTTGATAAAGGGACAATGTACCCATAACCCGGTAAAGACGTTATTTATGTAATTTATGTATGATGCTTTAGTATTCCTACTGTACATACCTCTCCCTTAAATACTCTAGGACTTATATATATGTGGAAAGTGATAAAGACCACCTTTGTGAAACATTAATATCTAATACTAAGCGATCGCGACCCGTGGAAGTTCGATATGGGACCATACCTGTATACGAAGTGAATGTCATTCGGGAAATTAAGGCGCTGTTTGCATGTAGAGAGAACATTGAAGCCTGTCTCATATATTCTATATATAATGAATACCTGTACATAAAACCTACTATGTATTACAATAACCTGTATATAACAAGTACCTGTATACAACGGTCAATGGTGTAGGTTAAAGTGTAATGCAATTCATAGCAAATTGCAGCTACCTGTATACAAGTATATATTTACAAATACCGTCCTTAGCGGTCACCTGTATATCACAAATACCGTCCATAGAGATCACTGTATATCACAAATAACGTCCATAGAGATCACCTGTATATCACAAATACCGTCCATAGCGGTCACTGTATATCACAAATACCGTCCATAGAGATCACAAATACCGTCCATAGAGATCACTGTATACCACAAATACCGTCCATAGAGATCACAAATACCGTCCATAGAGATCACTGTATATCACAAATACCGTCCACAGAGATCACTGTATATCACAAATACCGTCCATAGAGATCACTGTGTATCACAAATACCGTCCATACAGATCACTGTATATCACAAATACCGTCCATAGAGATCACCTGTACATCACAAATACCGTCCATAGAGATCACAAACACCGTCCATATAGATCACTGTATACCACAAATACCGTCCATAGCGACCACTGTATATCACAAATATCGTCCATAGAGATCACTGTATACCACAAATACCGTCCATAGCGATCACTATATATCACAAATACCGTCCATAGAGATCACTCGATATTACAAATACCTGTATACAAAGACCACAACAGAGGGATCCTATGTTAGGTTGTTTTTCCTTTTTTTCTTTGAGCTGGCATTTATAACAACGTTTTTATTACATGTAAAATAAAAGTCACGCGTTTTATAGGGATCGGTGGTATTGCTGAATATTGATGTACACGCATCATCAGAGACTAACCACGATACTGTAGAGTTGGTATGTAGCCAGTTTGGTCGCGGATCTGAAGTGTATGAAACCATACATTGGCCGTTTGTGGGATATTTTGATCGTAAAGTTGGCAAAGTAATGAGAGTTGAGGTTTTTACAGTACTCGGAGGATGTTTTACACGGAGGTCGATGTTGTAATCGGTACAATCCAGCACACAGAGCTAGCCCGTCACAACCTAGTCTTGTATGATTGATGTTTGAAATCCAGAATACAGACAATCGGTAAGAACTTGGCCAGCCCTCGTGGGTTTGTCTTTACTTTTAAACGAGGATTTGTTATCATAATATTAACTAACTCAGCTGTAGACAAGCCATTGTGGTCGGTCTGATCAACTGGAGAATCGCCGTCAAGTACCTTGATATAATTATGGGTCTGAGTAGTGCTTCATCCTTCTGAGCAAGATGTTTACGAATCTTTCTTTTCCTTTATGGAGAAGAAAACAAACGAAAACACTGTTGATAAATCTTGTACTGTAAAACTTATCTTTTTGCTTGCTTGTATTGCAGGGTGAAGGTGTGGTTAGATAATCACGCGTTCAACATGCCTCCATGAACTATTGATCCCACTTCCGATACAGACACAACACATAATATTAGCCAGACGTTTGACGCTCTGCACAAACAGGAACTGTTTGAGTTGAGAAGAACTTTGTTGTCTTTATATATATACGTTCTCTCTCTACTGAATACTGACACATCATCCAAATAGCTCTAGATGTTTTTTTCGAAAGACCTCCCGTATGTTGTTCAGTGATATAGCCACCACCAAGGTTACTACAAGGAGTCACCGTCTAAAATAACGCCAACAAACAATCTAATGACCGTGGAACTCGGACAGTTTAGAATACAATTACTATCAGCTACCTTTTCACAAAACAAGCTGAACTGGTTTCCAACTGAAAACTTGACGTATTGTTAATTTACCAATACATTTGAAAGAGACTGGACTTAAATTTTAGTGCAAAAGACACGACTTTATCTATCTCTACCCAACAGTGGGTAACAAGAGTCAAATTGGGCATGACGTTCGTTTCATAACATTAATTTTTCTAAGAACATATATATTGCTGCGTTTTTATCATAATTGCATATAAGACTAATTTGTTCGGTCAAAGAAGCATGACCAAGCTAAATCCTGGGATTTCAGCAAATGTTTAGTTAGCTTAACATCAATGGCTTAAACAAACTTGACAAGTTATTTTTATTGTAAACTTAAAAAATACCCCTAAAAACTTCTTTTTTTAACAATAAATGTTGAGGAATTTTTCAAATGTGAATCGATAACACTTAAAAATAAGTCCCGATGAGAGATCGATTTCCATTTGTCACCAAGTTCATAAGGCAATGCAAGTTCTTTTCGACATTGGCTGGTTAGTTTAATTCAAACATACTTCGAGAACATTATAAAGCACATTTACGATATGTTTAAATTGTAGCTAAATGCAATCTTGATAAATAAGACCAATACATGATGAGGTTGAGAGATATAAATCATTTACACGTGGGGCAGAACAGTGCACATATATCGTAAGATTATTGGGTGGGTCCGGAGTTACAGAGTAAACACGTTTGTCACAATTTATTTGAAGCTGGGAGTAGAAAGATTGCATTCCATTTACAAATTATTGTGACCTGACCAACAACATCGTATGTGACATCACAGAGGTCATAACGTGGCCCAATTCTCTGTTAATTGATAATAATCTCGAGTTTCGCTTAAGACGTATGACAGGTATTTATAAATAGAAACATCTAGTAATATCCATGTATACATGAATGAATGCGCGGTTATTATTCGTTGCAAAGGCGTGAAAATTTTCGACATAGGTCATTTCCTATTTTGATATGTTCTCCACAAAGTTTCTTTCTTTCTTTTACTACTCTCAGTGGTAATCATGGTATTAGTAGGGTATTTGACCAATTTTTAATTATTTGAGTGGGTTCATCGTCCCGTGAACAGCCAATGTCATTTCGAGTCGAGGTCTCTTTATAGAAGCTGCATTGACTCATCGAACACCATGCGGGAGGACCGTCACACTATACAAAACAATTGGGTATAATTTAGGTTGATCCTTGAGCTTGGCTTCCTTGGAAACACGCCACCGTGACTAGGGACCGAAATACGTGACTAGGGACCGAAATACGTGACTAGGGACCGAACTACGTGACTAGGGACCGAAATACGTGACTAGAGACCGAACTACGTGACTAGAGACCGAAATACGTGACTAGTGACCGAACTACGTGACCAGGGACCGAACTACGTGACCAGGGACCGAACCGTAGTTCATAATGTCCTAGTCTAATAACAAATGAGGATTAGGAGCTTAATTGGACAACCCAATTAAAATATACTGAGACCATTGGAAATAAAATACCTTTTCCTTCTTTCAATATTATCGCAATAATGCCCAAAGTCGGTGTGACGACAAATAAAAAAAATGTACAGATATATACTATTACAGGTTGACAACAGGTCGACGGTGTGATTACCGGAGTTTGCAGGTACCTTTAACGGGAACAGATCCAGGGAGGTACTACCATGGCTCTCTGAGACATCTTTCCCATAACATTATACTCTTTGGAACGTTGCATCGGGTAAAAGTATACAACGCATATTGGGTGTAGTTCTGATAGTTGAACGAAGACAAGTTGTTTGTCCATTTTATTTCATCAATATGCCAATAATTGGACATGAATTGATATGAATATTTACATTATGAAAATGTAAATTATGGTATGTTACCGCGCCACATTTTTTATCAGTCATGGAATGTAAACAAAATTACTCTTTACCCGTAAGCTATTTTCGTAACATAGTTGTAGAAAGTCAGCATAAAGTAAACACAGGTGTGTATATAAGGAAACTCGAAATTGGCCGCTCGCTATATTTATCTGGGATTTTCAGTTAATATCAGACAGTTTTGATTTACCTTTCACTAGCACCGAATTATGACAATCACATTTATCTTAAAATCTTTGTGTGACAAGTGTGACCTCTTTCGCTATAGAATATTCTAGAATGGATTCAGGGCGGGTCATTAACTTGACCAATTAATTATAATCGCTATGTGTAAGTGATCTAGAAAATTCTCTAGCCATCGTGACACGTGTAAGTAATGTGGTAAATGATCCACTATCGTGAAGGTATTTTTCTTGTGAAATAAGTTTTTTTTTACATCAATTATGAACTATAAATATTATTTTACTAATTAATCAAATAATTGATTAATTTTCACAACATTTATCATGAGAATATGAACTCAAACTCAAATTAGATGGAAGTAGGGCAAGACACGAACAGAATATCGTACACTTGTATTTAAACGTTCATACTGTAAACGAAATATTTGCACACCTTCCTGGAGAAGTACTGGAAGAATAAAGTTGACGATGAGAACATTGACGAAATTGACCTATTTATGACTTCTGTTATCGAACTATGTCAGTTCTGCATCTTCTCAGATATTTGACAGTGTTTTTCCTCCAAGATTTTTCACTGGGTTGTTTCAACTCGGCTTCTTCTTCATTTCGAAAAAGAAACAATAGACCTCAACATCCCTCCAAAACTCAGCATGGGGTTTGTATCTCTGAGTTTGATTTCAAACAGGATAACTTAGGAGCTTAAAGATGGCACATTTTTGGGATTTCATAAACACTGAATCAATATGCTATGGAAGTCTCTGAGGGACGACTGCCTGGACTTCCAGACAAAACATTAATGATAGCACAAGAAATAGACATCACTTACAGGTCAGCGGCGATACGATTTAACATTGAAAGATGATAAACTCCGAATTTCGTAAACAAACAAATGTCTGATATTTTGTTGGCTCACTAGATTTTTATTTCACTTTTTGATCATTTGATCTAAGGTTCGTCTTGGTTGTTCTTTTTCGTCCGTAAAATGAATAGAATCATATTCAACTAAAAAGAGACAGGTATTGGTGCCCACCATCGTTATTTCTTTTCCTGTGCCTTTTTACCTTGATAATGATGTTTAACCGTCAAATCCAAGATGGTCCCCTGTCGGCCATTTTATTTTTCAAATCAGTCCACAAATCGAAAGAGCACAAATAGGGACCAAAGGGAACCGCTATATGAAATTTCTGAAAAATCCATGCAGTACTTCTGAAGAAAACGAGATAATACACTGTAAGAGTTGTTAACGGATGGACGGACGGACGGATGGACGACGGACCACTGACGTACAGGATCTAAATAGCTCATCAACTGATGACGGTGGGCTAAAATAGAATCGTTTTATCAGAAATTCATTTCCCAGTTTTAGATTCCTCATTACTGGCGAAGTTGTCAAATATTGACCAATGTATTATGATGATAGATAACACCAAATAAAAAATCACGTTCTAGTTTTTTTATTTGTTTTTTTTTCGTCAATAGCGATGGGGTACAACTACTTAAATATAATATTGAAAATCAACACAATATTAAGAAGTTTATGTGAACAAATTTGCAATATAAACATGTACACTATAGTACGCATACTTAATACTTAATTCACAAAAGCAGTAAACAAGAATCAACATTTTAAAGTAACAGTGATAAAAAACATTTTTAAAGACTATTACTATAAAAACAGCTACCCTTCTTTACACTCAAATAACAATCATATACTCTCCTTACTATAGAGAACATGTTCTGCATGTAAAGGGACGTAACTCTACAGAAATGGTGTCTAAATATTTAGTTACCCATCCCCTTCCTCAATTTTAATGTCAGAGAAGGAGGAAGGGATTTATAAAGTGCAGTGAAAAAAAGAAATCATCAATATTACACATTTAGTTAAAAAATATCAACAATATACATTTTCCAGGCAGGATTTTACCCATTTTGATAAAAACAAATATTGTTGGATGTGGAAGAGTATTGAAGTAACATGTCCTTTATATCTCTGTTGAAAATAAACACAATTAATGTCTGTAAAAAATTCAAAGATTCTAAGGTGTATTGTTTTATCATTAAAAGTAATATATATCAATTAAAATATAAAACCAGAGCATTGAGTATTTTTTTATAATCCAAAATGCTTTTCTTGTCTCTAATAACACATATAGGTAGATAATATGTTAATTTCTTTTAACACTGCAGTGGCTGGAATGGTTGGGTACCTTTCAACAAAGAATGTCACCAAAAACTTCTCTCCTGATATCTATATGAAGGTATTTTTATGTCTGCTCGTGTCTTCCACAGAACAGTTTGGCAAGTTATTTACAAAAAATGTTCTAGACACATAATGCTGTTTTACAAATGTACAACACAAGACTATCCTTCATCACTGTCCTAGGATGTGCTACAGATCAATAAATAAATAACAGGTTTAATAAGTGAAAAAATTCCATTTGTTACTAAAGCTCTTCCATACAAAAAAAATCCATGTAGTGTTAAATGTATACTGAATTAGAACAAAATCCACACACAGGTAAAGTTGGGTTGTTTATACAAAAGGAATTGTAAAATTCAGATACAATGCTGAAATACAAACATAAGTCAATATCTGGTAATGACAAGAATGATACAAATTATAAAGCTATAGCCTCCACCATTCAAACTATTCCCTCACTTTTTCTCTCACAATAAACAATTTAAAAAAATAGTACTTAACTGAACACAGTTATGAGGGTTATTCCAAGAAGAAATATAGTGAATGTCCAACATCTGAACTTTGCTTTGATTTCTCACCATAACATTTTAAAATTGGTTTGTGATGACTATTACTGATAAAGCATATCTTTTTACCAACTTAATCAGGACAATGTTTTTATTTCAGCATGTACCTGTACAAAGGGATGGAATGTACACATTCAAACAATCCTAAAAGTCTAACTATTTTTGATAATTAAATTTTTTTTAAATAATCTTAAAACTAGATTCACACAAGACTTAGAAACTAGAAAAACAAACTATACTTCATATAGATACAATATATCATCTACTTGTAACAAAATTGAAATGACATATGACATATAGGAATTCTTTTCTTTATAATTCTTGGGATTATACCCTACAAAGCTTGTCTAATCAGTATTCTATATGGGACGTACTTAACTGGTCTTTTATCTAAGGTGGTCTCTGTGCAATAAAATGGTTAAAAAATAGGAAAATAAAGGCAATTGACTGTTCAAAGTTGCTGCAACAAATATGACCTTGAAATGGATGTTTTTACAGAGTTTATTGCCGACCAGTAGCTGGTAGTTACTCCACTGAACATCATGTAAGAGGCCTGCCATCTAAATTCACGGGGGTAAAGCATCTCGCTCAAGGAGACAACTAAGATAGCTCTGGCCATTCCTAATCTCTGCATACTGAGAACACAAACTGTCCTGCGAAGGAATTCAACCACAAAAAATCTTCAGCTGAGGATGCAAAGACCAATGCAGTACTGACTGAGAAATTGTGTCTCTATATGAAAGCAGTCTGGCAAACAGGTCAGAATTATCTTAACTACAGCTATTATCAGGCATGTACTTCCCAGTCTGCCTGTGGTTATAGTGTACTGCAGGTTTAATTATATTCATCTGATATTAAAACATATTTAACAGATAATGCTATATATATGTCCAATATTGAACCACACAAAGTACAATATCAAGTCACCAAACAGAAAAAAGAGTGAAAGACAAACTTACTGTACAAAAAGTCAGAGACAACCTTATTCAGTCAGAATATATGTACTTATATATATCCACACTTACAATAAATATATACAAACAATAAACAACTGCAGTATATATCATATTCCTGGAAATCCAAACATACATATCACATGACCACAGGAACATATTCAGTCTGCTATCAATATACAGTATATGTAACAGATGTTAAGTTCTCCACCAACCCATGAGTCAGGTAAATAAATCCGGTAAGCCAGTAAATTTATCTTTTTTACTGTAGAAATATCTATGTGATCAGGTATTATTCATTACAGATGTGAAATTAAAATCAAAATTTCATTGAAAAATCTACTGCACAAGCAAAATAATCTATCAAAAATGTGAAATTTCAAAAATTTTTGTAAGAGTGATTAAAATTTTAGAAGTAATTGAAAAAATATATACATATATGCATCTCAATCCCATCATATTCACATGTTATTTTGTCAGCCAGGAGTCTGTAGTGTAATTATTGGAGAAGTGTGTAGAAGTAAATTTGTGACCGTTAAGATCATTCGAAAGAATTTAACAGTTTCTGTGTATATGCAAGAGTCAGTCAGATTTTAAAACACAATGTGTTTTTGTGTTCATGTAATTAGACGTAAACACAGAATGCTGTAGCACAGTGATGTAAGGAGAGACAAATAATTCAATTAATGTTCAATGTCAACAAAACAATAAAAACATGTACACAAACACTGTTTGTCAAAACAAAGTCACAACACAAAAGCAAAGCGTGAGAGCAAAGAGTAGAACTTAAACATCAAATTAAACATTAAAATAAAGCACCATTAGGATTTTAGACATACTACAACAAAAAAAAAAAAAAAAAGAAAAAAGAATAATCAGGAAGAAAAATGCCTTCTACAGTAACAAGAATAAAAGACATTTATAGGATTTTTTTTTTCATTTCTCCCTAATTTTCCAGTCTGGATCCCTAAAATATTTGAATGAACAAAGAATTCAACACATTGTCTTGTCATTGAAAACAATCAGCTATTTATGTCAAGACTATCTTCAATTTCTTCAGATATTTCAGAAATTCAATCTTAAGTAAGTCATATTCAAGGTCTCTGCAAGATCCAACACAGATTTATAGGAATTCGAAGTTGTATGTTTTACATATTATTTCAAATTTGTTTCAGTTATAAGGATCATGACTGACTTATCAAAATATGTTCCAATCTTTATATACACATAGCTGTATCACAGTTTTAATTTCTCTTAAACAAAACACATCTAAGGACTATACAAGATGGCAACAGGAACTCTCATAAGATATAGTCATTGGATAGAACTAGACACAATCTACATTCACACTGCAATTAAAAAGTTTCCCTCTGAGCAACAAGAAGTGGAAAAGTAGTTTTTCATTATCACCGTCTCACAATATATAAGGTGGATCAACGCTTGTATTTTTTTAAGTGTAGCTATGTATAAAAATTACCAATAACAACTTAATTTATATCAATAAAATTTCTAGAGATGAAAATTATGTTAAAGTATAACATATTCTAACAAAAATTTATCTACCTAAGAAAATACTGTAATCAAAATTTACATATTTCAACAATTTGAATTCCATGGATTTCAAATCCTTGTTCATTATTGTAATCATATCAACATTACAATAACATAAGCTACATTATGCAGAATTTGTATTGCATTTCTAGATCACATTGAACAAACAGCAATTAACACTATATCACATGCCCACCAATTAAGCTTGCATATCTCTGTTATTGCAAGCAATAAATTTATCAATCTTCGTTAAAAACTTTAAAAAGCGCTGGATTATCAAATATTACTGTCATCTTGTATAAAATGCCCTTATTAATACAATTTGTTTCAAAAATAAACACTATTCCTGGTGTATGTTGTCTTGAAATGAAATATTCTCAGATTTGTTTCAGATATTGAAGAAATTTCATTCTGTGAACTTAATTAGAATATTATATAGTTCCCTATGTTGTTATCATTTACAGTCTCTGTATTATAACACTTACTACACAATCATTTATACACGTCATTCAGAGATAAACAGTACTATCGTCGACTCGTTTTCATCTTCACTATACAACATACAGCACTTAATAAATTAATAGGCTCACTGTATTTTTATATCCAAAGAAAAATCTGGTTCAAAAACTGTGTTTAAAGGTGATTATTTTGGTGGTTTTTCTGACTGAAATTTCGAACACAAATTAATTTCAATTTTTTTTCATGAAAAAATCATGACAATAAGCAAAAACAGTGACCAAATATATATATATGATTACACAATTCCTGTCATCCACATCTATTTTATGATATAAAAAGCATTAATGTTTTTTGACATTTGAAAAAAAAAAAAATGCTAGAAACTCGGCAAAGTCATCAAAATCATACAACAATATTTAGTTATATGTTAGAGACAAATGGTTTTGTAAATACTGAACAGGGACATGCACCTTATAAAGCAGCAATTCAGATCTTTGGTTAGGACCAATAGGTCACATGACATATCATCAAAACTTCAAGCTCTCTCACCACTTTCCTTTGTTTATCTATTCTCAATTTTTTTCTGATGTTCTCCCAGAAATATTCAATCAAGGAACTCAATATTGATTTTTTTTCTGATGTTCTCCCAGAAATATTCAATCAAGGAACTCAATATTGATTTTTTTTGTGATTTTGTCTTTCGTATATTTTCAGTTTTTCCATGATAACGTGTATCACAAATCCACCGAGAAGGATAATTTCATGTTTTGTTTATGCGTTGTCCTCGTCTTCCACCTCATCCACACCACAGGCCACGCCTTCTGTTACATAAGCCACCTCACGATGTTTGGCGAGAATCCTAAGCAATGGACGTAGTTTCAGCCACCATTGGTTCTTTGGAAGTCTTTGTCTAGAATATAAAAGGCAAAACAATTGAAAAAAAAGCAAGTGCCCATCATTGTATAATATTGGTTTCTTTATCAGTTCCATCCCTCCAAAATAAATTTTTTAAAAACTACCGACCATAGGGAACCTGTATGTCAAATTTGAAAATTAACGACTAAAAGTGTCCCAATCCAAGGTGGCTGCCTGTTCTGACCCCAAAGTATTCAACACACTGTCTTACCCAAACTTTAAGTATTCACTACTCCGTCTAAGCTGATACCCCAGTATCCAACATTCTGTTTTATCTAAACCCAGAGTATTCTATACTGTCTTTTTATCTGACACCAGAGTATCCATCATTCTGTTTTATCTGACCCTGGAGTATTCAGCATACTGTATAACTGAACCCACAGTATTGAACACACTGTCACACAAAAGTATTCAACATCCTGTCTTATCTGACTTATGAGTATTCAAACCCCTACCCTAGAGCATTCAATATCTTGTCTTATCTGATATTCATGTATGCTATACCTTAGCCAATCTGACCCCAGTATTCAACACCCTGTCTGACCTGACCTGTGAGCAATTTTGTAAAGACATTAAATGACAAAATTCTAGAATTCAATATATTGGTGTAAAAGATTTTTATGATTAAGAATTTGATTTCACGCACTCAAAGTTAGTTTCTGCCCGCAGTTCCTGAACAGGTGTAAATGTTAGATGGCGCTTAGTCATGCCAAGCAACACCGCAGAGTCTGGACTATTGCTCAACATTGTCCCTGTAACACAACAAAGTAAGAAATCAGTTTTAAAGATACTTCTCTCCTACTATTATGGGAAATGAAACTATTAACAAACAATATGTATCAAAAGGCAGTGAGGAAAAAATAAATAAAATTTCCAAAGTATTTCCAATTCAGATGAATAATTACATGGACAGGTAATGGGATACAAGATAGAACTTTAATTTTTGCCTCTGCTCTTAAAGTCAAATCAAAATTTTTCTTTCCACAAAATATCTAATCAGTCATTATAATACAAATCATGGCTCCAAGTCAAGCTTTTACAGACATGTTCACCACATCATTCACACAGTATTCTATGTGAAGTATGACACTATTTTATACCGAAATCTGGACCAGAGAATTTTGTGAATGCCACGGAACCTCAGATATTATATCCTGCTGACCATAATATATTTCCACTAACTGAATATTCCTTATATCAAGTAAGCAAGTTAAAACAAATACATTTATTATAAATGATACTATCTGACATGAAGTATCTGTTTTATAATAATACTATCTGACATAAAATATCTGTTATCATTTTCTGCTCACAATTGATTTCGTAAGCTCCAACCCCAGTCAAGTGTCTATATCTGATTGTGATGAAATGAAGGTTTATGAAGATAGCTCCAAACACTTACACAATATTAAACAATTTTCCTCTTCTTCATTCAGTTGAAGAGGAACTTTTATGGTCAAAACAGCTAAAAGAATAACTAATGTAGCACCAACATATTAAGCTGGAATTTGTCATGCTAAATCAAGAAGTCTCCAAATGGGAAAAAGTTGAGTCTTCAAAACACAATTCCGATTTAGATATTAAGTATTTCAGTACAATACAGGGATTATGCCATATTTCAATAAAACCGCCTTTATTTGCAAGTAAATGTACAACCTAGTATCTAGTATTGTTTATAATTACATACCATCTTCTTTAGTATTTTCTTCTATTTTTCCGATGATGTAGTCAAGAGCTTTGCTAGCCATCTTTGTTCCGTAGTTCCTGTCAAACGGTGTAGGTACTCCACCCTGCTGCATGTGACCTAACACATTCTTACGACAGGTAAAGGTGCCCTTACCCTCCTCAGAGAACAAATTATATACAAAGTCTGTCGAATAGTTGGCATTAGCGTTTTCATTCCTAAAAAAAATAAAATGAAGACAAAATAAAGTCAGGATGAGAGATCTCATTGAATTTATACATTGATAAGCAGTGTCTTATTTCAACAAAATCAGGAATAATCACTTTAAAAACATCTACTTTACCCAAAGACTCCTTAGGTCTTTCCAACCATGGTCTGTTTCCGCCTATTACTAATTTACTACTAATCAATTCTAAGGCTGGACCTGGAGTTCTAGGGTGGAATGGATGCTTTAATAGAATAGCCCTAAGCAAAACCTTGGACCAAGAGGTGGGATTGATGTTTTAATGGTCTTTGTGTGGGATAGATGTTTTACTGGAATAACCCTAAACAAAACCTTTGACCTTGAGGTGGAATGGATGTTTTACTGGAATAGCCCTAAGCAAAACCTGGAGGTGGGATAGATGTTTTACTGGAATAGCCCTAAGCAAAACCTTGGACCTTGAGGTGGGATAGATGTTTTACTGGAATAGCCCTAAACAAAACCTTGGACCTTGAGGTGGGATAGATGTTTTACTGGTATAGCCCTAAACAAAACCTGAGACCTTGAGGTGGGGCAGAGGTTTTACTGGTATAGCCCTAAATAAAACCTGGGACCTTGAGGTGGGGCAGAGGTTTTACTGGAATAGCCCTAAACAAAACCTGGGACCTTGAGGTGGGGCAGAGGTTTTACTGGTATAGCCCTAAACAAAACCTGGGACCTTGAGGTGGGGCAGAGGTTTTACTGGTATAGCCCTAAACAAAACCTGGGACCTAGAGGTGGGATAGATGTTTTACTGGAATAGCCCTAAACAAAACCTGGGACCTTGAGGTGGGATAGATGTTTTACTGGAATAGCCCTAAACAAAACCTGGGACCTTGAGGTGGGGCAGAGGTTTTACTGGTATAGCCCTAAACAAAACCTGGGACCTTGAGGTGGGGCAGAGGTTTTACTGGTATAGCCCTAAATAAAACCTGGGACCTTGAGGTGGGGCAGAGGTTTTACTGGAATAGCCCTAAACAAAACCTGGGACCTTGAGGTGGGATAGATGTTTTACTGGAATAGCCCTAAACAAAACCTGGGACCTTGAGGTGGGGCAGAGGTTTTACTGGTATAGCCCTAAACAAAACCTGGGACCTAGAGGTGGGATAGATGTTTTACTGGAATAGCCCTAAACAAAACCTGGGACCTTGAGGTGGGATAGATGTTTTACTGGAATAACCCTAAACAAAACCTTGGACCTTGAGGTGGGATAGATGTTTTACTGGAATAGCCCTAAACAAAACCTTGGACCTTGAGGTGGGATAGATGTTTTACTGGAATAGCCCTAAATAAAACCTGGGACCTTGAGGTGGGGCAGAGGTTTTACTGGTATAGCCCTAAACAAAACCTGAGACCTTGAGGTGGGGCAGAGGTTTTACTGGTATAGCCCTAAACAAAACCTGGGACCTTGAGGTGGGGCAGAGGTTTTACTGGTATAGTCCTAAACAAAACCTGGGACCTAGAGGTGGGATAGATGTTTTACTGGAATAGCCCTAAACAAAACCTGGGACCTTGAGGTGGGATAGATGTTTTACTGGAATAGCCCTAAACAAAACCTGGGACCTTGAGGTGGGGCAGAGGTTTTACTGGTATAGCCCTAAACAAAACCTGGGACCTAGAGGTGGGATAGATGTTTTACTGGAATAGCCCTAAACAAAACCCGTAGTCCTGTGTTGATATAGATGTTTTACTGGAATAGTCTTAAACAAAACCCGTAGTCCTGTGGGGATATAGAAGTTTTACTGGAATAGCCCTAAACAAAACCTGGGACCTAGAGGTGGGATAGATGTTTTACTGGTATAGCCCTAAACAAAACCTGGGACCTTGAGGTGGGGCAGAGGTTTTACTGGTATAGCCCTAAATAAAACCTGGGACCTTGAGGTGGGATAGATGTTTTAATGGAATAGCCCTAAGGTAAGATGTGAAAGGCTGATATCAGGATCATACCATCCTCACTTCATGTGTAGCTTAGTACACTGATCAAAACTGTACAAAAAATAATGGGTACAACATGGACTTAAATCTGGCCAAATCTGTGGTAGAGTGAGAGAAAAGTGTTTCTGAAGGAGTTTGATTTGAGCGGGTTGTTTCTATACTGTTGACTGGCTTCATCCAAACAACATTGGTGTTTTTGTTTAAATTACCTTAGAACGAGACCTCGTTGAACACCAGCATTGATTATCTTATCCTTCAAATGGTTTACATCATTCTGCAACAAAAGATAAATCACACTCTGAAATTGTACCGTGGAAAATGATATTCTTTACTATTACTTAAATTATTCAGTAAATATTTTGTTTTGCATCAGATTCTATTCTTTGTATATATTTAAACATTTAATAATGTTAATCATGGATTATACATTTCCTGTCTAGTAACCAATTGAAAACTACATGTCCTCTACCCTAAGAATTAAGATGTGAAGTCCTTCTATACTCTCTATCAGATCTGTCATGGTGAGGATACTCTTGACCTACCCTCAGATCTGTGGTGTGGAACCCATCTAGATTTACCATCCTAACTGTTTCCCTGACCTTAGATCTGTGATGTTGAGAGCCTCTCTAGACTTACTAATCAATCTGTTAGATCTAGCCTCAGATCTGTGGTGTGGAACCCATCTAGATTTACCATCAGGTCTGTCATAGTACTGCTTCCCTTGACCTAACCTTAGATCTGTGATGTTGAGAGCCTCTCTAGACTTACTATTCGATCTGTTAGATCTACCCTCAGATCTGTGGTGTGGAACCCCTCTAGATTTACCACCAGATCTGCCTTGGTGGAGTTCCCCTTGACCTACCCTCAGATCTGTGGTGTGGAGCCCCTCTAGATTTACCATCAGGTCTGTGGTGTGGAGCCCCTCTAGATATACCCTCAGATCTGTCCATTTGTGGAGCTTCACTTTACTAGACAGTAATGGAGCCCCTACAGACTTACCCTTAGGTCTGTTATATTAAATTTTTCCTCATAAATGTATGCAGCATCGGCACCTCCAGCCATGCCACTCATGGTTGCTAGGTAACCACAGTAGCCACCCATAGTTTCAACGACGAACAGACGTCTCTTCGTTCCAGTGGCGGACTGCTTAATTCTATCACATATCTGGAAAAGATTAAAACAAGGGTTCCATTTATAAGACATACAGCCTGACCTCTCTGATGGCTTTTGAAAACACCACAGGACAAACAAAGAAATCTTTTTAAATGAGACAAAGCTAACTTACATCAGCAATTTCATTTAAAGCTGTGTCTGCACCAAGACTGAAGTCTGTCCCTGGGACATTGTTACTGATCGTACAGGGGATTACTACAATAGGTATACAATACGCATCAAACTTGTCACGAGCCTCGGCCATCTGTAGAGCACTGTGGTAAGCCTGAAAAAGGAGCAGAAGGTTAGAAGTCATCGACCTTCATTGCTTGAAGGAAGGATATTTTGGGTCGAAATAAAGTCACCCAAAACATTGTATTGATGGTTATCATTTTCCATGTAATTATCAAGTTAGGATCAAATTATTTATCTCAACTAGGAAACTTGTCACAGGAGTAGTGTGTGAAAGGCAACAAATACATGTGGTAATTCATTACCATGAATCCAATGAAACTGTCGGGTATGTTTACTGCAGTACTGTAATCATTGTTTATCATCCTTGTGCTAATTCATGCAAATTAGCTTTTGCAAATATGTATCAGAGGATAAATTGCAGAAATAATTACATACAAAAGAAAGTTGGTTTACAAACTGCTTATAATGGTTTAGCCAATACATCTGTAGAGCCAAATGGTTCAATGTACATAGTTGAATTAACAGGGCTCTCGATCTGCCAGATTTGGTGCCAATATTCGGCCCCATTCCCAATGCAAAATAGTATCTTTTTTTCCCAATTTAGACCCGACATTTTCCCAATTCTAAGGAAAACACCATTATTTTTCCCAATTCTAAGGGCCCTGGGCCCCAATCCCAAAATGGGGTGTGAGAGCCCTGATTAATAACCTACCTCAAAGCCGCCGACAATCAGCAGTCCACTGATGTCATATTCCTTCAGTTTGGCTGCTATCTTATCCATCCCATACTTGCTAGCTACAATCCTGTAGTGGAAAAGCAACTTTATTTATACACTCAGTAATAAACCCATTCAATTTTAGTCTGGTGTCAATCCAAGAACTTAGTTTAAGGGGTGTAAAAGGAATACCATATCTACAAGACACTGATAAAAATAAAATCATTTCAAGTGAGGTGATATGATGCATGTACTTTCATAGCTTTCATGAAGAATGTGGAAGAAAAATGTCAGTCAAAACTCATACTGAATGGCCACATCGGTCTTACAATATACAGGAACTTATAACAAACTTTAAAATATTTCTGCCTTTTTTTTTACATTACACGATAGAATAATTAATTTTGTGTGGTTTTAATTTCCACTGATTTCACATGAACTTTTAATTCACGAATTAATATTTCTTCATACTTCTGGGTTTAGTGAATATTTAATTGATGAAATTAAGTGTAAACAAGATACATGTAGGATCTTGTTTTGAAAAAGCCACTATATTTGATTCCTATGACATTGTAGGGTTTTACAGTACAATTCATTGGAACCTTTAGACCATGCACTGACCACTTTAATGCATTTGATCCTCATATCTGTTCGGAGTTTTCATCATATATCTCAAAAAATGTCAATGGCACAGCAACATGTAACCGTAATAGAAAAAAAATCTCACTTCTTAGTACCCAGCAGTGAACCACCCCGGCCTGTCCAGCTCTGAACATCTGTCCAGGACAATGATTTCACCTGTAATAGGAAAAGTAGGAAAATATCATTTGTAAGAAAAGACTTTAAAATGACAAAATCATATTATTCAGTTTCATTTTTTCTTCATTTATGATCAAAAAGTTACAATATATGGACCGGAACAAAAATTTACCCTCATTTTACAAACTTTATGAAATGATTAAAAAAAATTATGGTTTTTAAAACACTGGATAATGACTTGTTTTGACAAGAACATTCTCATTTTTACTGTATTTACACCGTGATTATTGTAAAGAAATAAGTACCATGCAATACAATTGTTTCGTGATTAATATTTCTGTGTCCCTTCAGCATTAGTAACATGTTTTTATTGAAGTGTTCCCTCACCATACATATATATAGATTATAATAAAAAATATTTTATTAAATGATACAATTAATTTATATCTGTGTAAACCCCATTCAAAATAGACAGGTGTTGGCTTTTGACATTCAAGTTTTCCTATAAATCAAAGCTAATGTTTTTGGGGTTTTTTTTTTCATTATCAGGATGTTGTTACACACATTGTATAAATTTAAACTTCAACCTTTGGCAGTGTTTTTGTGGTATCTGATGGGGAAACCTCGGGTGACTTTTCAAAGAAGGTTTTCAGATGTATGCATATCTCTTCTTGTTAATAATTTTTTTTTATTATTGCAGGGTTTTCCATAAGAGTTGATCGCCGGCCAATTTGACCGGCTACTTTGATCATTTGGCTGCCTACACCAATCCAGTTCCGTAATAATGTTCCGTACACGACTACACGTACACGGCAGGCTAACCTCCTACTTTCACTACACAGCCTACTACTAACAAAATTATGGAAAACCCTGTATTGAATATAGAATATCTAGTTTTTCTTTATCAAGAGGGAAAATGCTTGGATAGAAAGAATGATTGAAATTCTCAACATGTAGTTTGTACCACTGGGCAAAACATTAGAAAAAGTCTCAAAAGATTACAATGTATCAAAAATTAAATCAAATTGCTTCGAGAAAACAAAATTTCCTGTCATTATTGAGTGGATCTCAGAACAAGAATGAAACACCGGGAAATAATCAAAGGGCAATAAATCTTCCAAAATACAAGCATAATTACAAATCATGGAAACATCTAAAGAGTTAAAAAATATTGAGATTATGACATTTTTGAAGGCCTAAAGGTCGGAGTACAAGCACTGACTTATAAGACTCTTCCGTGTATTTTCTCGAAAGAAATCAACGCATATAAATATGGTTCATCACAAAATTAAAGAATCGGTCAGGAAGACTGTAATGAAGCAGGGAGGAAGCTTTGTGTATATAATATGCCTGCAGAACCAGATTTGCAGCACCAGATCATCCACTGTTAAACTTATCTCCCGACATACCATAGCATAGTACTTGTTACTGCTGGCTCCTATTACCCTTGCTCTGACCATAGAGTTAGCCATCATATTTTCATCTGGTGTATTACTTAAAGCTTTATTTTTTTATTTTTCTTGAAAAGAACAATGCTAAACCAATATTCTTCATAGAGAACAAGCATGCAGCGGGACCTGAGAGAAACTGGTCACAATAAAAAACTGTAACAAGGTTTGGGGCATGTGGAAAAACAAAAGGCAACTGCAAAGGCACATCAGCAAAATCTTATCTTAACCATAGTATCATTTTCTGTGACAACTTCATGATGAAAATTTTGAATACTGAATATATATTTTATATCATCAATATTAATTATGTCTATAACCATATGAAATTACCAATTGTAGATTATTTCATACTGGAATTATAACCATAAAAATAAAAAATACTTAGCACTGCAAAAAAAATATTTTCAATGCAATTATCACAAATATCCATGTTGTCATTTCAAACTAGATTTTTTGAAAGCTTTTCATTCGCTCCTTCATGCTGAAATACTGGATTTACAATGGGAAAAGGGCCAGACTGTTCTGCAAGTAGTCTTTCCACAAAACACCACAGCAACAAATCTTTGGACAAGAACTCAGGAACCAGTTTAACGAATCAACACAACTCTGAACCAGGTTGTCTTTATTAGACATCACAGCTTACCCTTCTTTGCTTCTGATCATCCTTTTGAACAGAAAAAAATCCCCAACACAATTTAGTATTAATGATCAATTCAAAAAAATACGTTAACAGCTAAAATTATCAAAATCTTCAACAGATAACCTACAAAAATATATCATTCTATTACTGGTATCAATTACATAATTTCATGCCCTCATTTTCAATTCTTTCTTGGTGAGAATTAGATTGATACTGGTGATGTATAACATTTAGTTTTCAGTATGTTGAACAATAGCATGGAATGATGGAGGGGAAAAAGAGGAATGGAGGAGGGAATTGTGTCTATGTGTACAGGTATGACATATATGTCAGGGTGTGTATGAATGTTTATAAATCAATAAGCTATAATTCTATAATTTTTCTAAGAATCGGACAAATTTAACAAATAGTGTTCTTAATCACAGATTCTTTAAGATAAGAGTAAGTGAACAGAACATCAAACCTCTTTGTTGCAAAAAAAAAATAGAATTAAAACTGGATAATGTAAAGACTGATACACAATAACAGGCATGCTTACTATACTGGTATCTTTTATAATCTTCTACAGGAGAATTGCATGCTGGTAATATACATATGTACCAACTAGCCAAAGATAGAACAAAACTACCTGGTACTCCAAATTAATTTTCTTTCATCCCACTGATGAAACATTGCCACAGATATGTGAAGGGTTTTGTATCCAAACATGAAGAGTACTAACATATAATTTAGAATATTACCAGGCACACACAATTTTATCAACAAGAGCTTCTGCTGCTTCTGAATTTTTGGATAACCTTGGCCCAGTGTTCTGATTCAACAAATCTCTTTTTTAAAACAATGCCCAAAAATAAAACATATCAAAATCTGTTTGCATGTTTACTAAATGATGCTTCCCAGCTTTGAGTTTCAACAATCCATTCACGAACACCATATTAACCAGCAATTCAGAATTTGTCATTTAAATATATAATAATAAATAAAAACATAATCAATATATAAATATATCTAAATATAGAAGACATATTTAACACTCACTGGTAATATTACTTCACTATTACTCCTCCAGACCAGTAATAAGACTGTTTATGTCAAATAAACAGATTACATAATACCTCCTACTATAATTCAGAGGAAGGAATGGTAACTGATATATTGCTTTTAGCAGAAATTTATCTAAGGACAAATCTAAATACCAGAAGGAAGCAGACATTTGGTTGAAGCTCAAAGCATTCTCAATGCCTCAGAAAAAACTGATATAAAATGTTCATAAGAGATTGGACTCCATGTAATGAATATAATTTTTATGTTAATATGTGTACATATTTATTGTAGCTATTTTCTTGTTAATGATCTGTGTAACCTTCCATATTTAAATAAAGCAACATAATAAATTATTTTTTAAAATTATCATCATATCCTGGGTATGTGGTGACATAAAAATGAATCATGTGAATTACAAATGTAAGCAATATTTTGTGATTTAATTAAACCAGTGTGTTGACCAGATATACTTGAAAATGAACCCACAGAAATAACGTCAGTAAATTTTATATACAGAACACTGTGGAACCTTGTCAATCCAGAAACAGGTGGACTTTCAGAACTTTTGATATTCTTGAAAATAGCTTTAGCATTTTTAACATAAGAAATCTAATGCTGTAAGGCTTTTTATTTGCATTTTAAAATGATGAACTATTTGCTATAATTTGTTCTTTACAATGTCATCATCCAACTTCCTTCAAAGTTTGTTTGAGTATTGAGCAATTTTTCATTTATGGATATTTTTCAAAACTAATGCAGTTTATGCTGGCATGAGTACCCTTTCATGCAAAATTGATTTTGATAAAAATTCAGATTCACATTACCGGTATTTGCACAGTAACAGGTTCTGCACAAACAAGTTTCCACAGTAACTGTAATGGTCATGCTTCCCATCAGAACAACTACATAGTATACAGTAAGCTGTAATCTAAAGGAAGGGTCACTATTGTAGTAAAGTCACAACAAACATATCCTTTTATCATCCACAAACAGCATTTCTTGTAAACTTTAACAAGACTACACTAACAGTGTTCAAATTTAACTTTTTCCATCAAAAACAAAGAAAGAAAATGAAAGTATAAAACTGACACGATATAAGCAATCTTAGTTTGACTGTCATGGCTAACATATAATTTCTTTTATAAATAAATAATGTTTGAATGGAAATCCTGATAAACAATAAAGCAAAGGGAAATGGGATTTATTTCATTTTTTTTTTTTTTTTTTTTACTTTTGAATAATTTTCTATGAATCCAACAGCTTCAGACATAGATATGACATCAATATTCCATTTCTTTTTATGGTTTATATCCTGAAAAAATGGATTTCTAAAGTTTGTGAATACAAATGTACCACAGTACAATTTGCTACGATTTATCAATCCATGCTAATATTCACTTACAGAATAATTAGGTCACATTTGTTTGACTTTTTTTAATTGATATTTTTTGCTACAAATATCTGAGATCTCTATACAATTTACTGCGCCTGTTCATAAATAGACTAGATATGAAAATTGAAAATTTCTTCTTTTGTTTAAAAGTTTGACTTCAATGAGAATTTCTACCCAATGACAATATGTATCAGCTCCATGGGAAGTTTTTACCAAATGACAGTATGATTCACAGCTATTTGTGACAGAGGCAAAAGCCATGCCAAAATTCAGTTGAACTCAATTAAGTTATTGTACAGTTCTAAGCTTTCAGAATTCAAGAGAAATAACACTCAATGCTGGTATGGGAATGATAAAATGTTATCACCTACCGGCTCCACCACATGGGTCAACTGTAAAAAGTAAAAGTTTTACTACAAAATACCATCCCAATATTCTGTTGTATAGTAAATTATATCCACAGGGATTAAATTTCACTATATTCATGGTCATTAAATGTAGCACAAAATTCATTATCCAACAAACATTTCTGTATCAAATGAAATCCTAGGAAATATCTGTTATGTCTGTATACCTTGACTCCAGTTCAAACATATTTAATACATATTTAATACCCATGGACTAGCCAAAACGAAGACAACAGTGAAATATAAACCCCGTGAAGTTAAAAAACTATACAATATCTACAAGAAATCTCTGATATTGTGACTAAGTAAGATAGTTCTTTAAGTGTGCTGTCTAAGAAACACAATGTTCTGATTATATTATAGAGATTATATAAAAATGACTCTGACAGAATCTGAAGTTACAATAGGAAGAGTAGATCCTTGTTCTGTAAATTAACAATTTTGTTAATTGGCAATGTAGTTTAAATTATAACAATTTTAAAATCTACATTGTATAAAAAAGATCTAGTATTTGTAATAACTATGTTAATGCGATACAGCAAATTACAATCATTGTAAACAGTTTTTTAATGCTATTACATACACTGTAGTTAAATTATACAAGGGAGATCAAAGCCTTGTCGGAAGTTGTGCTGGGCTATTTCAAACCCTATTGCACAATAGAGGTCATGGGTGAAATATACATGCTTTAAATATAATGTTTAATATTGAATCATGCTGAAAAAGAAATACATTGAGGAAAAGCCTGTCACCATGGTTTACTAGAGGACTACTTGTATAAAAATGTTCCTTTTTGCACAAGGAAAAGCAAAATTGGATTGAGCGAAAAAAGTTCATGTATCATTGTTGTTCAGTTGTGTATATATAACCTTGTGAAAAACTTAACTTTTCCAGTACATCACCAAAATATGTACCTTGCATTTGTATCAGCATATTTGATATTTTGTTTTTAAATTCTGAGTTTAAAAGCTTTCTTTCTTTTTATATAGGAAAGTAAAAAATGGAATTATGGGAAGAACAAAAAAATTATGGTTAAAAAAAAAAAAAAAAAAAAGAAAAGAAAAAAAAATCTATATAAATTATTAAGTACTTTGAGCAATTCTTAATAAACAAAATATCAAAACCAGGATTATCCCACCTAAAAAATAAGAATTAGAAATTATGACTTGTCTTTCTATTTTGATTCCACCAGAAGAAGTGACTTTTATTAAATAGTTTATAAAAGAGATGATATGGATGGAACAAAAATATGTGTGTCTATTTTTGATATAATTTACATGACTGTCATTTTGATGTAGGGCAGTTGCAGAATTCTATTTCAAATGTATTTCTTCTTCTTCAGGACATTCAGGTTGAAAATTCAAAGTCATGTGATACTGATACAATGTAGAAAATTTTCACACTAACTCATAAATATCATTTTTATATTCACTTTTGGACAGGTACATAAAATATGGCTAATAAACTGAAGCAACAGCAGGGGTTTAAAAAGCATTGCATAAAAGTGTGGTACACATTTAAATTATCTTTGAGATCTGAAGCTGTTATAATAAATTGTTTGATTATTTTAGAAATTTATTAATTCAATTTTTTAAATATCTACAATGTTGGTTCAGGTTTTATGATATATCGACATTCTATTATTCATACTAGAAACACATATTTTTGTAGTACAGAACTTCATATTAATATAATAGAGATGTCTGTTTAAATATTATGTAATTTTCTTTAATTGAAAAGAATGAAGAAGTGATAGGTATAATAATGCCAGTTGATGCTGCTAGTAATGTTTAACTTACTCCTTCAGAGAAATCAAAGAAAACCTCATGTGGGTTTTTCTGAAATGATGAAATGACATTGCGGAAACAAGGTACATCTACATAGTGACGACAAAACATAATTGTTAATATCACTTTGTTATATAAAGTTCCTTCATTTATACTAGCATAAATGTCACAATCTCCTCCTGATTATCTCTTCCTCATGGCAAGTCAGTTAAATACCTATAAACTGGAATTTTTCTCCAAACTCTCCACAACAATTTTTCCCGCAGCAGATAATTATTTTAACATATATTGATACTAGACATTGTGTTTGATTCCTCCTACACAACATACCAGAATTTGTTGTTTACTCCTTTTAGGCAGCATATACTAGCATAGCCTTTGATAATGAAGTTTTACTGCATCAGATAAATAAGATACAATTTTTTTATAACATTGTCTAATTTTCACTATAAGAATGCATAGCAGATAAACTTACCAATGTAAAGTGAGAAAGAGTAAGATTGTGTCTTTTTAGCTTGTCTGTTCAGTAGTGAGAATTTAACTACAATGGCTAAAGTCAGATATTCTGGCTTGACACCTAATGACACAATTTGCACTAGGGCAAGAAACCTGACATACAGTATATCTATACATACTAGGACTCCACCCGACCCCACTCCTCCAACACACATACTGTTACACATAACACTGTCACCATGTCAGTATCATTTTTCTCTTGAATTACTTTGTAATCAATTCATGGCTTAAGGTCAATCATTCATTATGTACACATAAATTCTGTCTTGTTAATACAAGCCAATGTAAAAAAAGAAATCAAATTACACAAACACATGAGAAGTATCGAACACTTGTAGGATATTCTAATAGCAGAAATTAAAACTTTCACTAAACCACATAAAGTAACTGTTTATAGGCAATTAATTAAATTAAAAGCAATGCTTATAGGCAATTAATTAAATTAAAAGCAATTTACATGAAATTAACAACATGATTTTCACAGATTTTACCTTCAAAGCAAAACTTAAAGATCAAAATTGGAAATTTTTGCAGTAGCTCAAATTGTTTAGATTAGCAAGTTCTTTTTTCCTTTTTATTCCCTCTTTCATGATTTACCGGAAATGCTTTTTTTTCTGCCTATGAAGTTATGAAGTTTTCTCCTTTCTTTCTTTTTTCTCTCGAATTTTTTACCAATGTAGAGCAATGAACAGATGTTAAAAACAAACCCAAAATAAATATCTAAACTACAACATTTTCAAGTAGCAACACACGACAAACAATAAAGTTGTAGGAAACAAAAAGAAATTAACATGTTTATGGTGACTTACATCTCCATAGAGCAGTCCATCAAATGAGTCATGGATTCCCAGGACCTCGTAACCTTGGGTCAAAGCAAGACGCACAAAAGACCTCACCGCTGCATTAGCACCACATGCTGGAGCACCAATGTTCATTACAGCCAGTTTTTTTCCACTCTGTGATGAAAAATAAAGACTTATAGTTTGTAATTCTTAACTAAATGATATAGAAAAATGGTTAAAAAGGCCTCCTTAAAGGTTAAAAGTATTATGTAACTGAAAAGTACACAGGGTTTGAAATCTGGTATTTCTCAAAAAGTTGCTATGGAAAAGAAAATAGTCGAAACTTGTAAAAAGCTTTTGAAGCAATGTAATTGATTAGCTGCACAGTAGTACATTCATAAGGCATGGATATGTTAACGATAATTTCTACAGTAGTTCTGGAGTATTCAATTAAACTAAAGATATGTTACTGATCTACTAATACTTACAACACAATGTTTACCAGTGCTGTCACATGTACCCTTAGGTGGTCGCAGCTTACTTAGTTTCCTGTATGTTGCTAGATTATTTTGGAAACTCCTTAAATTTCAAGAAAAGTGATCATAGCACACCAGATAAAATTTCCAAATTCTTATAACTAAAACTAAAATACATTGTAAGTAATAATACATCAGTCAAAAAAAAACTATTTAAAATTCTTTATGTTTGTAATAATGTGTGTCAGACAGAGTTAAAAGGGAAAATCATGCAAGCATTTCAAAATATTGTTTTAATAGTAAACAATTATGGCTCATCCCAATTTAAAATCAAAATTTATATGAAATAAGTGGAAAATTTGAAATACAGACTAGCTTCAGAGTGGAACACTTTTGACAGTTATTACACTATTTCAGAGATATAAACTAATGAACGTTTGGACTTACTTTCCTCTTAGACGGACAGCTTCTTCAAAGTTTTTGGCATCCATAGCATTCTGTACTGCCTTGGTCTGAATGGAGAAATACAGTTATTGTTCCTTGTTGTAAATGTTTGGAACAGTATTATTTTAAAATAATAGTTATTCAGGTAAAACGCAAACATAAAATCATGCATATCATTAACTTGCTCAGTTGATGCATTATATTGAAACCTACCCTCTCTACACATTCCATTAGAGGAACTCGAACAGTCTGGTTACCATCCAGTGATACAACACAAGCTGGAGTGTCTGGGGTAGCGTCCATCAAGGCTAACACTGCCTCTGCTCCCATACGTGCACCCTACCAATAAATCATTAATTGTGTCAGTTATACTTACAACAGCAGCAATGTAATTTACGCAACAATGTTAGTACATAGAAATCATAGCCCTTTCACTCCAATTCAAGTGGACAATTTCCCTTTAATAGTGAAAATGACCGAGGTAAGTGTACAATTTTTTATTTCTAATTCCATTCCTCAAATTGTTTTTGCTTTTATTTACTACCCAGTCATGCACCCTTTTTCCTTTTTGTTCATCGAATTGCAACATGTTCCAAGTGCCTTACAAATTGATGAGTTCACATGTTTCAAGTAGAAATGCTACTTACCAGAATCCTGTCAAATGCAGTTGGTTTTCCACCTCTCTGGACATGTCCCAGTACTGTAATCCTTGTGTCATATTTCAGACGCTCTGTGATCAGCTGTAAACGTCAAAGACAATAATCACTTTAGCATTAGCTTAGAACCATTGTGACAGATTGACAATTAATGTACAATGTAACAGTATTTATTTAATTGTCAAAACTGTTGACACATTTTTTTTCCCCTCTCCAAACAAGTACATATATATAAGTATATTTTACTGTTAGCAGAGTCTCTTCCCCCTTCAGTCCAAACTGATGAAAATTACTTACATTTTTTTCCTCTTGTACATATATATAAGTATATTTTACTATACATAAACTTGACCTTGTTAGCAGAGTCTCTTCCCTCTTCAGTCCAAACTGATGAAAATTACTTACATTTTTCACCATGTCTGCTGTGATACTCTTTCCTTCCCGGTCTATGGCTCCTTCTGCCACCAATATGATGTTCAACCTTTGACCTAAAGCTCTCTCCTTTAAGACATAAACAGATTTAACTTTGCTGGTTATTCTATGAATCTAATAATCTTAACACAACATCTGGTAAATCAATATACAAAAGAATGCTACAATCAACAAATTATCCCTTTTTCAGATTGAAAATGTGATTTTCCAAGGAAATGTTGTCCATGCTATGGCTATGGCTGTAATACTTTAACATTGTGTAAGATAACAATATTAAGTAAAATTACAATAAATGAACTTACTGCAGACAGTTTATTACAAAGAGTATCCTCCCAGCCTCCCTCTGGTGGCCACTCCGGGATAAATACCCAGTCAGCTTCCGTGGCAAGGGCAGCCACTAAACCAAGGTATCTGTAATAAAGTCAATTCTTGTACATCTGTGGATCTATAGATAATCAAGGCTTAGAGTTCTATAGGACTGAAATGCTTATTATTATATTTGATTAATTAATCTCATACAAAACAAGCTTTCGACAGACAAGGCATTTCTAGCAATACTAATCCCCTTGTGATTCAACAGTGAGTGATGTGCTTGTGAAAATGGGCAAGTTTGAGAAGATTGGTCACAATCGCTCAAGGAATAATGCTATTATATTCAAGTGCTGACAATATATATTTTTTGTTCCAAAACATTTTTTCAAATTAGTAATAATGGCCTTGATTTAATCCTAGAACCATGAATTCCGAAGCCAACCGAGATAAAATTGTCCTTTATGAATATGTGAAGTTTGATCAGAATCTCTCAAGGAATGTGGCTGCTAGAGTGCCAACAAGGATTTTCTAAAAAAAAAAAAAATAACCATGCTCAAGAAGCCTGCAGTTCGAGGTAAATTGGTCCTCTATATATTTTTGAAGTTTGAATAAAATCATTTAAAGAATGAAGCTACCATAGAGCTAGGCAATGAGAAGTTTTACATAACCTACACACATTACGTACATGTTCATTACTATGATTAATACATTCAATATTAGATAACCATCAGTGTTAGATACTATACTTACCATCATCGTAGTCTACGTAAGATATTCTATCTGACACAATTACCCTTTGCAACATTCCACAACTTCTGATGCAAATATCCTACAATGGCTATAACTTCCCAAAATAAAAAAATCCTGCGATCTAAAACAGACATCCTCTGATGCCTGCACCAATAACATGGTAATGTTCAATGACCTCAGACCCAAACACACACCACTGGCTACACTTACCCACAGTCATTTCATAATCTAAGACCCAAATATATGCAAATGACTTCACTTACCCACAGTGACGTCCCATGACCTCTAATACAAATGCTCTCTGGTGACTGTGACAGAGAAAAAAATCATTTACATATAGTTTGCTTTGAAAAATTATGTAATTTCAAATGTAAGGAGAATTTTTTCTTAATGTAACTAAGGTTAGATATAGGAAATATTTAGTCATCTTTTTCATACAGTTTGGGAAAACATACTGACATTTTTACATCAATTTCTTTGGAAAACTAAAGCAACATGTATTTGACTGTGAAAAACGGCAACAGAATAAAAATTTTAGGGTGTTGTGTTAACACAGAAAATATAATTCTGTAAGGGTTGCTTGATATAACAGATTTAATTGTGTGGGTTTTAGGATCTGACAAAAACTCTATTGTATATATGCTTTGGTATTGAATATATTCTATTATATGGAATTTACTAACAGTTGACAGCTTAAGGTCATAAGCCCTAGCAGTTATATATTTGTACCTGGATGCTGTTGTTGCTATAGCATCTACTGCCTCTATAATCCGGTGGAGAGCAGAGTCTGTGCCGATGGTCATGTCAGTACCACAGAAGTCATTGTCTATAGAACCCACCATCCCTACGATGTTGAGATGGCTGCACTGCCTGTGGTGTTCAGGTGTTATCCTCTCTAAAAACAATGATTTACATCAAACTTATGATACTTGTGTTTCGTCTGAATAAACATAGCTGGCTTTTTATCATTACTAAGATCAAAACAAGAAGTACATGATCATGCACAAAGTATCAGACAGGAACTCAAAGTAAAACAGGAGTACAGGAATACTTAGAATAGACTAAGATAAAAAAGCTTCAGAGGAGATGAACTCTATATAAAATCACAAAAAATGAAAATTATTTGAAAGTACAGAGCGAGCTAAAGGCATGGTAACTGTGATTCAAGTTTCAAAATGTTTGGGTAAAGATATCAAAGTTGTAGAATTTTGAAATTCTTCAATTATATATAACAGTCATTGATCACATTTCACACTGTATTCACCCTATAATAAGTCCCAGAGCCAATACATTACCATATTTCAAACCCATGATCAGTACCTTAATATATCAATGATACTTGGTATTTAAATATCAATCTGATGTTAAAATTTTAGGTGAAATTAACGTATTGACATTATAAATCTCATCAATTTACATTATTTGAGTATGGATTTGAAATGCATAATTCTTTTCAGTCTGAACAACTAATGCATTAAAAATTGAAATAAAAAATAATACCAGCTTTCAACAGTTCATCCAAAAGACTTGACCACTCGATCCTGAAAAGGTTTGCACCAGTAAGGCTTCCATCTCCACCAATCACCACCAAGTTGGTAATGTTACACTTGACAAGATTTTCAGCAGCTTTCAGACGACCATCTCTTGAACGGAAATCTGCACAGCGGGCACTGCCAATCACAGTACCTCCCTGTGATAAGAAGAAAAATGGCCATAGTTACATTTCTACAGGACAACAGTCAAGAATGCTTGCATAAAAATCTTGAAGGGATCACAAACAGAATGAGTCTCTAATCAATAACAGCTACTGTAATTAGAAGAGGAAATTGTCAGTCACAAAAGCATCACAATTAGATTACATGATTTTCTTCTAAATATAATGCCCTTGTAGATCCAATGGTAGATATTTGGTTCTTAGGCCCTTTGCCTGAATACCAAAAGATATGCAAGGCAGTCGAGGGTTTGTTAGTTATAGGTTTTTGTCTCTGTTATGTAGAGTTCAGTCAAAACATGTGAAGAGGCTGGGTTCATCAATTTATTTCTTGCCCCGAAGAAGTCAAGTTGAGGGTAAAATCTGATGACACAAAAGTTAACTGCAGAACCAAGTCTTTTCGCCAGTTACGACTCTTCAATACCCAATTCTCTTTTAGTTTCTGAGTCTTATCAATATTAAAAAAATTGTCTATTCATAAATTGGGCATTGAATCATATCATCTGTTTCCTGCTTTCTAACTTAATCACCATCAACCACTTCAACTTAGCCTATATATACATATATATATCCTACAGTGATTTTAATGTCAGATATGAAACCGGACATATTGTAACATGGTTCTCATCTTTTACTATTCAAAATCAATATGCAGTCATTATCATGCACAAATACTTTCAATTATTACATAAAGAAAGAATTATCCACATACCAATGTGGAAAATAGGGAAAACTATACTCTCAATAATCATAACAAACAATTATATCTTTTACTCAATGTTTCAAATAAGGATTAAAACAGCTTGGGTGGCAAAATAATAAAGTGCTGGATGAACTATCATCAGTCAACATTCCATACATACCAACTGCATTATCCCTGAAGAACTTGCCCAGGTTGCTTCCTGTATATGGTCGCCACCATCCACCATTCCTTGATAACCCTTGAAAAATAAAGTTTACACAACATTTTGACTGGACCAGTAATTATCTATGAAAGCTGGGAATTGACAGTACTGTTAAATTGAAATTGGTTCAAAAACAATTTCATTCATTGTTTTTACATGACATATATACAATTTGTCCTGATTTAATAGCTGCTTAATTACTTCCCTGTGAAAGATGACTTAATAATCTAAGCAACAGTTTCAGAGAAAATTTCAATCAGATTATAAATAACAGGTAATATCTGTCAGCTTTGCATAAACATTGGACTCATACTTTCCCTGTGAGACTCTGTCAAATTTTAAGAATCCACTATAACTCTTCATAACCGGGCTCATCATTTTGAAAATGCACTAACCACAAAAAAAATCCTACAAAAAAAACTTACTTATAAGATGTTTGTCAAAAGCAATTTGGAACATATTTTATCAGAGAAAATGAAATAACAGGTGTACTTTAATTCATGTACATATATCTAATAAAAATATCCATAGTAAAATAACAGGCAGAAATTAAACAGGCCATGGGAAACACTTTTCAACATACTGCAGGGCAATGTCATCTAAAATAAACATCCTGATATATAAATGCCAACATCAATACCAGTCATATAGACACCTGGCAATATCTGAAAATGTCACTTGAGTCATCTGATCCAAGTCTGCTTCATATAACTGCAGGGTTCCTTTTCTGTTTCAACTGACATATACATGATATATGTATTTCATCAAACATATTATCATTAAAAACACAATTTTCAATGTCACATACCTCTCTGATATAGTAGACTTTGCATCCCAGATAAAATCCCATTCGCACTACAGCCCGAACAGCAGAGTTCATACCTATCAATGGAAAAATATTTCATTTTCAAAAGTGACAATTAGATCCTTTGATGAATCTTGAATGTTTATCATGTATGTATGTATATATATAATTAAATTGGTGAATATTCTAACTTTGAAGTTTGTTATATCATGGGAATGTATTTTACGTTAATTTAAAAAAAAAGAAGAATGAATGCATTTAAAACACAGGAAATCAATCAAATACTACTCTAGTCTATTTCATGTCATCTGCAAAAAATACATCTTTTTAGCTTCAAATTTTTGCTAAAAGGGATTTTTCATCTCATTTCGGGAAGAAAATTGATCCAAGATAAATGAAATTTTAAGTTTGACATACACAGGAAAACAATGATTGCGCAATCATGTTACAAAATGGCCTATCTGGCTGTCGTATCGAAGTTTTGACAATGTTGAAAAATAACAACACTTTGTTGGCTACATTCCCTTCATATTCCGATCAATTTTAGCTCAATGGCACCAGTGGAACTAGAGGAGAAGTTTAAAATACGTTTTTTAAGATGGTGGCCATGACGGTCATCTTGGATTTCAATCATACGGGAAAATAACAACACTAGGTCAGGACCATCTCTGGATCATTTCATGGAAGTTTGAGCTCAATCCCACTGGTGGAACTTGAGAAGAAGTTTGAAAAGTCAAAAGTTTACAGATGGACGAAGCACAATGACTATTGGTCATCATGACCCTTCCAGTCAGTTGACCTAATAATTCCAAATGGGATGGGGCTTATTTTCAGTCTAATAGGCCAAATAATAAAATACCCAAAATAATGTTTGACATCATTAACCTTCATTCATGGCTACCGAAATGTAAAGCATAGAGACTGATATTGAAATATAATATAATGTAAATTGTACTTAATATTTATTTCTTTGTCCAGATTTACATAGATCTATTATTACTGTGTTTCAGCAAATGAGAAATGATAGGAAAGTGAAAAGACATCCAAGGTTCTATTATTCTTCAAGCTCCTATATATACATCCTTTCATGCACTTGATATAATCAACAGCACAAAGTCTGTATTAATTGCATGGAACAGTCCATCACCTTTCTCAAGCAAAGCAGCCTTCCTGTTGTTTTAGGGATTTTCCCATTTAGTGAGATGACAGAACGATAGCCAGTATTTATGGTGGGACAATGAATTCAAGCAATATCATGTACACAAGTTTTTTTACTTCAAAACTTGTTAAGTGTCATCTTTTTAACTCATTCAACTGGACAGATAAACCCAAACTCATATGTAGAACTTTGTCTCAAAATATTATCATAATCAATATGGTGTAACCAAATATAGATAATGGACCTCACCTGAGGCCAGTGTCCAGCCTTCAACAGATATTATGTGTTAACTTTGTGCAAATGAAGAGACAAATTGATTAATGAGTTACAGGTCAAATTATTACAAATACTCGTGCAGTATTACTTTCCAAAGGTCAGAAAAAATATATTACATAGAATCCCACATGCCATGGCCTTGCATTGTTAAGATTTATTCAAATTATTGGTTAATGACATTTATGCAACCTCATTACTCATATTGGAGTTATGATTTTATAATAATGACATTTGCAAACATTACATCAATCATACATTTCAATATTTATAAATTGTAGATCTCGTACGTGACACCCTACATGTAAAAAAACATCTTTATTACGTTATGTCCGTGACCTCTTGACCCTCAATGATCACAAGTGACGGGATGTCCTTGGTCTATATATAAATATATATAAGATGAAGGGTAAGAAGGTACCTACAGTACCTGAACGTCGTGCATTTGACCGTTTGTTATGATTTATGACACTTATCACACATGACACGTGCAAATTATAAATAAACAAACCCTGGGAGTCACCACCACTGGTGAAGACACCGATGGCTTTCCCTGCTCCACTTCCGCACGTTAACTCCTGCCCTTCTCTTCCCGGTAACGCCATGACGCTATCTTGTCTGCCTCTACCCTGCTGAAGCGGTGGGGGCTGCTTAGACTCGCTACTAGTTCTACTATCCATTTTTGGAAATTAAGCACCTCCCACAAATATATGCATCGGCTGCTTCGAAAGGTGACCTTCCAATCGACCTTGACAATGTCTCGGGAAATCCCGCTAAGTCTGAGATTTACGAAACCTTAGCGGAAATATGCGGAAATTAACGAAGTAAGCGGAAGCTTTAATGCGTAGGAAAATATTACAGTATTTCTTCTTTTATGTATTTGGAGTTTTATTTCTTCATTAATGTAATTAGACTAATTACAATAAGTATTTAGAGCTATCTGGTGTCAAATATATGATTTTAACTGTGTGTTGAAAAATAAAATTCGATGTTAATTGACAGACTATTTTTAAAGTTCGGAACATCACCCGGGTAAAACAGCCCTCTTCCTTTTTCCAACAACGTGAAACTGCAACCATGAGGTGCGAGATAGGTTCTTAAAATTTGCCCCTTTTATAAGTTTATTAATCACAGTTTTCAATGAAAAGTAGACGACTTAACAATAAATACACATGTTACCCTTCAACGAACGTTTTACTGTGATGTCGCAAGTGTAAATGTGAATAATTCGTTAATTTTGTCATTGATTGAACCAACATGGCTGACTACAACACATGGGAAAGTTCGTTGATAAAGATCCGTGTTCGTTATATTAATAGAAGGCGAACAGTAGCAGTTTTCTTGTTTAGTCGCAGAACTTAATGAAAATAAAAGTGGTGTGCAAGTTTCTAATCGGAATCTGCCAACGACATGCGTGTACCGGCATTGCTAGGGATAAACCAGTGTAGCCTGTAGGTCTATGGCTGTACTGTAGGTTATGCTACAGAAGTCGGACGTTCTGTCAATACGAATATAATCGCTTAAATAGTTCGATTATTGTATATATATATACTAAATATATTTCTGTGTGTGTTAATACTTGTGGATATGTCCACAGGAACGGACGATCTAGATGTGAAATGAAGTTATTATACCAGTAAAATAGCAGGAATCGTATTTAAAAAACATTATTCCTGCTATTTTAGTTGTATAGTAGGTATATTTCGCATATAGAAGGTCTCATTTGCTTGGTATGTCTAAAATGGGAATACAGGTTCAGGCAGCTAACACAGCAACGTCGTAGTATGAAGTACATATGTCCAATTTTATACCCACTCTCACTACTTTCAAAGTAGACCAAAAAATTCTATCTCCAAAAATGATAACTTCATTGTGCTTTTTACATATGTTTTGCTGTTATTACATATTCTCTGATTATGCTCATTTTAATGTTCAGAAAATTGGTAGAAAGTGCACCTAACATAGATGCAACAAATGAAATATTTCTACAACATACCCCATAAATCTCTGGTTTATTTCAAAGTAAAACAAGTTTGTTTGCTTCACTAACCATATCAGACCTTATGGCTTGTTGGACAGCTATTCCAGTGTATTTTTTTTCTCTTTCTGCATCAAGTTAAAAAAAATGCTAAGTTGAAATGGAGACAATGAAATGGCTATTTAACAAGCAATAAGGGCGGATAAAGCTAGCAACTCCGTGTTGCATCTTGCAGTACTTTAAAGCTAAGATTTATATCAAGATCATATTTTCTTTACAGTACCCTCAGGTTGCAGAAAAGGCTGGCCTCAGCCGTACTGAAATGCGGCAAAAATAAAGTTTGGCTCGATCCCAATGAAACTAATGAAATAGCCAACGCAAATTCACGTATGTATTAAAGTGCATCTGTTAAGTGCTTATTTATTTATTCTGACATTCTATTGAATTAATGATATATGTCTGAACTCTGTCCCTGTAAAAATTGAGGGAAATAAGTGACCCATGCTTGGGTCAGTATTTAAATACTAATTGTGGAAAGAAATCATGCATGCAAATTGCACATTATTTGAAATGTCTGGTCTTTATCTACAATATTTTGAAATAGGACCTGTTTTATAATGCCAATATGTTCATTAAACATACAATATCCCCACTGTACTCTGTTTAAGGTTTGTGTTTGTTGTTCAGACAATCATGTACAGTTTTGCTCTCTCTCTTCCACTTTTCTTTTGTACTATTTGTACAAATAATGGAGCCGTATATCGATATTATGACTAGGTGATAGGAAACAAGTCAAATATCCCCATTGCTTTAAAATTGAAATTGTGAAATGTAGATGATTGAAAAGTTGAAAAAATATATCATAAATATCTATTGGCCAATAAGATTCAGAGATATTTGAGTTTCAATGTTGTATACTTACCTCTTATCAGTTTACCAAAGTTATCAAGTGTTATATGTTTGCTAATGATTTTTGTTTGGACTTTATCAATAGGTCAAAACATCAGGAAGCTGATCAAGGATGGTCTAATCATTCGCAAACCTGTGGCTGTTCACTCGCGTGCACGCGTAAGGAAGAATGCCATTGCCCGCAGGAAGGGGCGTCACATGGGGCATGGAAAGAGGAAGGGTACATTGAATGCCCGTATGCCTACCAAAATCTTATGGATCAGGCGAATGAGGGTCCTCAGAAGGCTGTTGAAACGCTACAGAGAAGCTAAGAAAATTGACAAGCATTTGTAAGTTGAATATGAAATGGGTCTATGGTGTTATGCACATAGGAAGAAAAAAGGAATGGTAACGTTTACAATGATTTGAAATTTAAAGAAAGGAAAATGAAATAATTTCTGATATTTTGTACATTTGATACTCAGTTAGATGATGTCTGCTATGGTATTTGAGTTGGAAATAGCAAAACAAAACGCCAGAGTAGACTGCAACAGCATAGGTTTGATATTCAATTTATCACGACAAGCCTCCTGATCAGGAGAGGTCGAAGATATAGCCTTTGCGCAAACAATGGCATAAGTATATTGTAAACATTAAATGATTCTTCATACTTGTCAATGATTGAGACATCAAGAAATCTTAACTAATTTAATTGATCAATATCAGGAATGCATCTTACTTCAGCTTAAGAAATTCCTGAATTATACACAACTTAAATGTGGCATTCTATTATAAGTAATATAACATGTCAAGAAACAATGACTTTAGTAAGTGCTTTAGCATGAATCAAGAAAGATTTCATTTTCAAATTACAAATCAGACGTGCAGAATTGTTCTCTTACACAAATTTTATCGGGGCTTTTAACTAGATCAGATAATAAATCACAAATTTTAATTAGATTCAAGGAGTGGCTATGAAGAAATCAGTTTGAATGCTTTACATTATCTGTTAGGTGATCACAGAAGTAACTTTGCATTTCATTTTCAGGTATCATGAACTTTACATGAAATGCAAAGGAAATGGCTTCAAGAACAAGCGTGTGTTGATGGAGCACATCCACAAGAGGAAAGCAGAGAAGGCTAGGACTAAGTTACTCAGGTAAGGATGATAGAAAGTTGCAACAGTTGAAAAAATATCTATGTACTTGCCAGCAAACTAGTGTTTACAATTTTAAAAGGTGCCCATTTCAAACCAGGAATTTATTTTACCAATTTTCTGTCTCAAGTTACCTGGTGTTTATGCTGAATTCCCAGCATTTGCTTTCTGTGGTCGAAAATTTCATGGCAATTTGGTTAACTTTTGTCATCATTTTTCCTCCTATTCCTCCCATAGTAAAACTCCAAGCTTGTGTTAATATTTCAAAATGAAAAAATAATAAAGTAGAACAAATTTAATTCTCAATATTGTTCCCAAATATAGTATAAGATGAGTTTATTTTTTTCTAAATTTCACTTTTGATAGCCAGTTACAGGTTTTATCAGTACTTGAAACTAAAATATGTTTTGAGATAATTTCTTGCTCATTCAAATCTGTGTAGCAATCGTGAAAAATATAATTTCCTGTTTAACATCTATATTATTTCCAAAAGACTAGCAGTGAGTGAGTTCCTATTTTCATGAAATATTTGGTCATGTTAACATGCTTAAAATATTGCATTATTATTCCAGTGACCAAGCCGAGGCTAGAAGACAGAGAGTCAAGGAGGCCCGTAAACGCCGTGAAGAACGCATCAAGCAGAAGAAGGAAGAGATGCTTAAGTCTTACTCCACAGAGGATGAGACAAAACGATAGACATTTTATCTTTTCCATCTCGTGTCACATTCATTGTTGTTGCATTGATCACAATAAAGGTGGATGTGGAATTTTGTCCGTTGTTGTTTATGTGACTTAATGAAACAAGTTTTTGTAAGGAATTTTTGCACTAAATTTTGCATTAAAATTTGAGAGCAATTGGAATGGAGTTAGTGCTGGATGTTTTGTTGCCTATTAAGCTTGTTCAGCATTTTTGGCGTGTATGTATCAGAGGTCATTATTTATTTCATTGCCTCTGTTTAGATTTGAACCAGGGACCATTGTCTGTCTAGTGAAGTAGTACATCAAGCAGTATATTACGGCTAGTATTTACCATGGTTACATGAAGTTAGAGCAAATTTTTGTTTTCCATTAAATACATGTATACCACTGACAGCAGCAATTTATTTCCGAGTCCTGGAATGAGTAAAAGCTCGACTAGAATAGCCCTTAAAAGTTCATGGAATAGGGGTGCCATCTTCAAGCTCCGGCTACAGACTTGTAAACATCATTGGGAGAACGAAATTATTTTTGAGTTAAGGCGAACAGAAGGCTGGGCCCCGAAATGTTGCTCCTGAAATATTGGGGAAGACTCAGATTTAGGGTACTGTAAAAATATTGGTAACACTTTAATTACAGTTACCTTCTGCTCACCAAAACTATCAACTTCATGGAAAACAGCTTTTAAAACTAACCCTTTTCCCTGCTGAATTTTTTTGTAGTCGGATGACCGTTAAGACCTGTGGGCCTCTCGTTTAAAGAAAACATTTCACTGAAGTCACGTTCGCCCGGGGAGAATGTGATTTCTACTTGATCCGCCAACAGGACCAATTTGATGGTATGCAAACGGTTATCAACTACGTATACACAGGAATCTTGGTTAAGTCTAGACGTTTGTGTTGAGTGTTAGAGATCTACATTTGTAATAGGTCGGAATGTACAGCTAGCAAAATGACGAAAACGACAATGAATAGTTTCTGTTATTCGGCACGGCTCGAAATCTCAAATAGTTTCCACTACATATATTCAGGTACAACAAAATATCTGTGCACTGTATAAGAACATATGCTATCGATTTGTAAACAAACATTTGATGAGGTAACTACATATGATGGGGACACTAGTGCCAATCAAGCTGGAACTTCACTACCTTGACTACGGGAAAATACGTTTGCAATAGGCTGTAAGCACAATTGGATATATTCTTTAAAGAACGAAACACAAGTCTATTCCTTGATCATTATGCCAAATCCATATTTTATTATTTACATGATGGGTAGTTGTTGTACCTGCAGATAAAGCATCCAATCATTTTCTGCAAACATTACATTCCTTGTATCACTGAGGTGATCGTGCGATGGATAGGACTTTTCAAGATGGCGGACCAACGTAACACCGGAAGGTAAGCTCTGTGTACTACAAGATCAAGGCCTGCTTCGTCAGAAGGAAATCGTACCTACACATCCAAGCTTTTCAAATCAGAATCACTGACTATTCCTGCTTCAGTATTATAGTAATTTAGATTGTCGTTTAATGATAAGGATACGGACCTTCCTCGTTTATATTGTGCTTTGAAACATCACAAGAATCCACATAAACTGCGTTTGGTTGCTGGCTCGTCTAGCTGTTCAACCAAATCGATGTCGTCACTTCTTCCTTCCTTCCTTAATACGATCAAATAATGATTACAGTCATAATGTGACACTGGAATAAATCGTAAGTGGATTTTGAAGAATGAAAAAAAAAACTTTCGATCAGTCTCCAACACTCTCGTCCAATACGAAAATCTTCTATAACGTAAAACAAAAAAACTGTTTCTGGTTTCCCTACAGTCCTTTCATTTTGTGATTACCGGTACTATTTTCCCCCTACAATTTGGCAAAAAAGTGGCTCAATAACCTGCGAGATGACACTTAATGTTTTGTTTGCTGGCGATCCCATCCAAGGTTGTGTACATTTATGTATTAGACTAGTCTGACCAGTGATCGAACACTTCCATTTATTTCATATTCTGAAATAATCGAAGAAAAAATATCTTACTTAAAAGAACGATATTGTATTAAAAGTGGATTTGACATATTTTACAAAATTCAGGACAAAACAAATTATTGGTCCACGTTTCTTCTCATCGAAACGCATGCTGTTCCGCGATTTCGATGCAATAATAAATTAATTTTCTCGTTTTTTCACCACGATATCGACCATGAAATTAGTCTTTTGTGTTTTTTAGAAGAGGTCCGAATATCGTTTTATATATATATATAGAACGACACCTCAGCAACAAGGTACATATTTAATAATTCTAATGGGGTGTTTGGGCATAGGTTCGGCGACTTCCTTCGATATCCGCCATTACACCAGTGGCGTTTATCTCTCCTAAGATTATACAACACTAATTTAAGTAATTGACAAATGTTCACATCAAAGCAAGCTATGTTTTGTGACGGAGCACCGGTCACGTGAGCCTACTTGTACTGTATATTACCTCTATCTGTCTGTCTGTCTGTCTGTCTGTCTATCGGCACATGATAGTACAGGGGGAAACGATAATTGAACAGCTGTCATGACAATTTGTGACAGTCATCCTAATAAACATCTCATTATACATACATGTAATACTTCTACACACCTGACGTATGGGAACATGAGTTATTTATACACACCTGACGTATGGGTACCTGGATGCGAAATATACCGAATCATGTTTTATGAAATATGTAGGTTCAAACAAAAGATTACACGGAGAATGAAAAAATCAAAATGATCGAATTCTTGGTTGACAATGCCTTAGCCAAGTTTGTGAAGCGTTAAGGATCAATCCCTCTCATGACTGACTTATTTTTATTTTCACGGTTGACTAAATAGAGGAAGTTAAACCAGGTCACAAAGACCACACGAGATCCTTTTCACTGTCAGATATACTGATGATTATTGGCTATGTCTGTCGTATATACTCACCAGAATTGGATCACGAAAAAACCCTCACAAGACATGGTTTCAAGGGATGCAGGTTGATTAAAATTATTGAGAAGTTTTATTGTCATCATATTGATCTTATTGACAAATATTCTATTTCTTTGTGTGATAACAGGTTGGACGTGTTTGATGATCGGTAGTTTGACTTGGGTTCTGTTGGGATTACTAGGAATAACCAAGACTTACATGACGGGTGTCGCAGAATACGCTCACCCTTCCGGAACACATGGTCGTACTCTTGCACTTGGTTGGTATTCTAGTATTTGTTGGATTGGTATCAGAACTTGTAAACCTACATTGTTTTGGCCGACACTCAAACCAAAACGAGAGAGAGGGGGTGTTAAGAAAAGAAGAAGTTATATTATTAAGTTGTCAATTAAGGTACCATTTTCTTACCTGTTTTCGAGATCTTTCTTCTCTTCATCTTATATCACAGTCTATCCTATAAATAACTTCTATATATTTTACTATTTATTCGATCCATTTGACTAAATATTTGTGGAAATGAAAAAAACAAACAAACAAACAAACAACACAATTTTTCTGCCATTAATGGAAATTAGTGGTTTATATTACATAAATTGTTGGCCAATAACAAAATAAGTCACGAGTTTCTCCTAATTACAACTACAGAATCCACAACAATATTTACATAATTCATTCATGTTCACATATCTTCTTTCAAAGAAACCGTTATATATGATTTTTTACCGATAGGAACTTTTCCATGTTTTTAACTCCAGCAGAATGGCTTACGGTTTCCATTATGAAGTGCCAGACCAGGATGCAGGAGGCTGGATGCTAAGGCCAGTAACACTGTCGACTTCTTGTAAACCTCGAACCCGCGACCTAGAGATGGAGGGCCAATGACGGTCAACAGTCTTAACCTCTCAGCCGCCGCGATCCGCTTTGTTGAAGGTATATATTATGTTTTGTATTGAAAATATTGATAAACACCAGTTTGATATACATAAATTGACCTTTAAATCCAGATAGAACTAATATACATTATAAATCTAATTCCACTCTAATGCGAAGACCACATTTTTCTCTTTTTTGATAATGTTTATCCTCATCTGCAAAAGAAAACCACAACCATATTTTATATTATATAGATGCTATTAAGATATAATACATTCAATTGTGATGGATTTTTTGCTTTCAACATGCAACTGATACGTGAATTCAAGCAAGATTCTGTTGACATTTTGTACCATGTTTCGTATATATGGAAAAGGAAAAGACGGCCTTGACCCTAACAGTCATCTGAGAATAGAAGGACGAGCAGATCACAGAAAAAAAGGATTTATGCTGGATTTTAGTAAAAAATGAAAACAAGATTTGGTCAGGATAGTTTCATGCACGTTTGATATCATTGACACTCCTTAATAATGTTCCTCTATTGGGGATCCGCCCCGAAGTCACTATGGGTCAAATCCACTTTCTGGATGTTATGAATGGAGTCACAACTCCAATGTGTTCCAAACCAAGTTTGTTTGAAAGCTATCCAGGCGTTAAGAAGGAGTAGCGTTTTAAAGCAAAATATTGTCTAATTTCCCCTTTTGGGGCCTCGTCCCTAAGTCCTTAGGAATCAAATCAACTTTCTGAATTTACGAAATGATTCCCCACGCCCTATGTTGTTTCAGACCAAATTTGATTGAAATTCGCCGAGAGGTTAGGCAGAATTAGTGTTTTAAAGGAAAAGTTTACGGACGGCGGACGACGACCTACGAAGCACGATAACAATAGGTCATCTTGACCCATCGGGTTAGATGACATAAAAAAATAACGTATGAAAATGGAAGGTTCCGAATGAATCGGCACGGGATTCTAAATGTCTGATTTGCAGGTGCCATGAATGTTGAGGTAAACATGAAATGAAATTCAAACCATTTGCATAATAAAGAATCTGCTTGTAAAACAACCATGGTCCCGTATAAATGATGAAATTACCTTATTCGTCGTCAAACATTGCATCGCCAACTATTACGATGGTCTTGAACGCGTTGGTAACCACTCTTTGAATAAACTTTCCAGAAAGTCTAGCAAATCTCTTTACAACGTTATCTGATTTCTCGCATTCTCTTAATGAATCACTTATCGCTTGGTAAGGAGCTGCCGCCAGACCCCACATGGCCGCAACTGGTACCCATATTGGAGCCGTAATCAATGTAAACAATTTACGGATGCCACGTTTTACCTTCTTTTCAGACATCCTTGGGTTTCGTGGCGTCGGTATTGACATTCTACCAAGCTACTCCAAGCTAACTAGAAATGATCGCAATACTATACTATTTTTAGTAATACTTCCTGGTAAATCCGTAATGATTGTCAGAAATTCATTTAAATGATATGACGTAATTCCTTGTGTTTGTAATTCCACGGTGTCTATTCTCATGCAGTCTTGATAGAACAAATATAGTTTTATGTCTATTATTACTTAATAAGCGCTGTATATAGACGGACGGACTGACTGAAATATTTAGGATGTAAATTCGTCTTTTGCATTAGATTTAATGATATTATTATTGTGACTGTTCTGATTATTGTTGTCTTTAGAATCCTGCTCTCCTATATTTGTCAGCAGCGCGAAGGTCTTACGTTGGGAGGTGTATCCTTGAAGAACCGTGATCGGGCAGGTAACAAACCACATTGTAACATTTCACATTCATACCGGAAATTGAATCAGGGACGCTTACTTGAAAGGCGAGTGCATTACAACTGCGCCTCCCTACAGTCTCATCTGTGTGATTATAACGATCCCCACAGCCTCATCTGTGTTATTATAACGATCCCCACAGCCTCATCTGTGTGATTATAACGATCCCTACAGTCTCATCTGTGTGATTATAACGATCCCCACAGTCTCATCTGTGTGATTATAACGATCCCCACGGCCTCATCTGTGTGATTATAACGATCCCCACAGCCTCATCTGTGTGATTATAACAATCCCCACAGCCTCATCTGTGTGATTATAACGATCCCCACAGTCTCATCTGTGTGATTATAACGATCCCCACGGCCTCATCTGTGTGATTATATAAATCCCCACAGCCTCATCTGTGTTATTATAACGATCCCCACAGCCTCATCTGTGTGATTATATAAATCCCCACAGCCTCATCTGTGTGATTATAACAATCCCCACAGTCTCATCTGTGTGATTATAACGATCCCTACAGCCTCATCTGTGTGATTATAACGATCCCCACAGCCTCATCTGTGTGATTATAACGATCCCCACGGCCTCATCTGTGTGACTATAACGATCCCTACAGCCTCATCTGTGTGATTATAACGATCCCCACAGCCTCATCTGTGTGATTATAACGATCCCCACAGCCTCATCTGTGTGATTATAACGATCCCCACAGCCTCATCTGTGTGATTATAACGATCCCACAGCCTCATCTGTGTGATTATATAAATCCCCACAGCCTCGTCTGTGTGATTATAACAATCCCCACAGTCTCATCTGTGTGATTATATTAATCCCCACAGCCTCATCTGTGTGATTATAACGATCCCCACAGCCTCATCTGTGTGATTATATAAATCCCCACAGCCTCGTCTGTGTGATTATAACAATCCCCACGGCCTCATCTGTGTGATTATAACAATCCCCACAGCCTCATCTGTGTGATTATAACAATCCCCACAGCCTCATCTGTGTGATTATATAAATCCCCACAGCCTCATCTGTGTGATTATAACGATCCCCACAGTCTCATCTGTGTGATTATAACGATCCCCACAGTCTCATCTGTGTGATTATAACGATCCCCACGGCCTCATCTGTGTGATTATAACGATCCCCACGGCCTCATCTGTGTGATTATAACGATCCCCACGGCCTCATCTGTGTGATTATAACGATCCCCACGGCCTCATCTGTGTGATTATAACGATCCCCACGGCCTCAGCTGTGTGATTATAACGATCCCCACGGCCTCATCTGTGTGATTATAACGATCCCCACGGCCTCATCTGTGTGATTATAACGATCCCCACGGTCTCATCTGTGTGATTATAACGATCCCCACAGTCTCATCTGTGTGATTATAACGATCCCCACAGCCTCATATGTGTGATTATAACGATCCCCACAGCCTCATCTGTGTGATTATAACGATCCCCACAGCCTCATCTTTGTGATTATAACGATCCCCACAGCCTCATCTGTGTGATTATATTAATCCCCACAGCCTCATCTGTGTGATTATAACGATCCCCACAGCCTCATCTGTGTGATTATAACAATCCCCACAGCCTCGTCTGTGTGATTATAACGATCCCCACAGCCTCATCTGTGTGATTATATAAATCCCCACAGCCTCGTCTGTGTGATTATAACGATCCCCACAGCCTCATCTGTGTGATTATATAAATCCCCACAGCCTCATCTGTGTGATTATAACGATCCCCACAGCCTCATCTGTGTGATTATATAAATCCCCACGGCCTCATCTGTGTGATTATAACAATCCCCACAGCCTCATCTGTGTGATTATAACAATCCCCACGGCCTCATCTGTGTGATTATAACAATCCCCACAGCCTCATCTGTGTGATTATAACAATCCCCACAGCCTCATCTGTGTGATTAGAACAATCCCCACAGCCTCATCTGTGTGATTATAACAATCCCCACGGCCTCATCTGTGTGATTATAACGATCCCCACGGCCTCATCTGTGTGATTATAACAATCCCCACGGCCTCATCTGTGTGATTATAACGATCCCCACAGCCTCATCTGTGTGATTATAACAATCGATCTGGTGATCATTTTACGATGGTTTGGTGAAGTTGACATCATTATATGGCTAAACTATATCAGTTGTAAAATCACTAATTTTCGTGAGGGATTTGTTTTCGTTGATTTCGAGGGTACCGTTAATCCAAGAATCCACGAACTGTTAAAAGAAGTAGGTTTATAGAGTTATATTGATCCACGAAAAAGGAACTGAAAAAAGGAGAAAAAATGGGCCCGTGAAAATTTAGCAGTTTATAAAATGTATAGAAAGTTGCTATGCTATTTTGTGTACAATCCTTTGACATTGCATGTAGTAGGTACTTCTGATGGACGGTTTTCCATAAAGTGCATAACAATAATCCAATATTGAAAGTAATGAACTTTATTGAATTATGAAGTTTGTGAACTTGACCTTTATTCTGACGAATTCAATTTTTTTTCAATCATCTCTTAGATTTCAACATTGAAGTTCCCACCATCACTGTCGAGTCCTTTTAAGCAGTCACTATTAACTGACTTAACCAAAAGTGTTGTCTTGATAATCACATTGATGTTGGATAAGACATTAATTTATGTCATATATGAATCATGTTTTGTCCATTGTCTTGGAAGTATGTTCTCTTCGCATAATTGAAATATTCATATGACAGAATGAACATATGTTACATTCAGAATCATCTCAGTTTTCAAATAGACTGAAAACTCAACTGAAAACGTGATTAACAATGGCTGCTACGAGGGTTTATAAGTTTCAGCTGGGACGTATCCAAATTGGTTTCATTCATTGCACATATGATACAATAAAATGTCGCCTTGCTCCCAAACCTTTGTCCCCAGACTTCTAGCAGATACATTGCCAAAGCCTTCTCACTCTGACGTCGATGGAGTTCCATTGCTTTCTGAATGTCGAGATAATCAACCTCGAGATCCAGGAAAAACACGAGAAAACTGGATCCTACTATTCCAGCGATCACCGCCAGATCATCACTTGTAGGGGAGCTGGACAGATCGATACCAGGAACGACAGTTGTATCTGTAGATGGGAGAATGATATAAATGATAAATTTTTAATTCATTGAGTATTGATATCTTGATAAAGAAGTGATGATGCGGCTATCAGTTAGATTGTAATGAGTGATGTGTTTCTTATCTATATTTGTTTATTTTCGTTTTGTGGGTTTGTGATTTCAGAACAGAATAAAGATTGAAAAAGAAACCGTTCCTCTCAATCAGTGGCAGTGATCAAAAGAATATTTTGTTAATAATGGATTCCATGTGTGGTATGTTAGATCAATATGTTGCTGACGGGAATGATAAACTTGATACTAGCAATCCCATGTTCTTCGGTTCTTAAAAGGATTTTGCAACGAGATGCGTGCTAGACAAATTGTTTTTTCAAAACTCTAAAGCTTCATGAAGTTGCTTGTTTATAAAGACACTTAAGTGAAGTATGAGTTTCAAATTAGTCGTTGTATTGATAGTGCTCAATGTTCTAAGAAAAATGATAAATAAAATAAATATTTTCGTGAACACTTGATTTCGTTGTTAAAGCTCAATAAATATCATTTTAACATCTTAAACTGTAAATAAATATTTTACAGCTTTTTCGACATATGAATTCGTGGATTTTATCATATTGTAAAGGAAGTTTCAACGTCTTAATGGGTCCTTTTTAAATATGAAAACGTGAGGAAGCAAAAGGCCATATAAATACCGATATCTTTCACCGTTGTATCACCAGTCCAGACCGGATCTAGAAGCATCTCCTCGTATGGAATGCAATTCATTTTCATCGCTTCCACAATTTTCTTAAGGGAAGCAGCATCTTTCTGCATAGCTCTCCAACGTAGAAGTACTTTCGTTAGCTGTGAGCGGAGGTCAAGATTTTTGTGCTGGTATCGTTCCTGTGTTTAAAGTATAATTGATTAATAATCCTTATTAAGTCGAAATATTACTTTAGATTATAACAGTAATAATCTATCCTGTATTATTGCATAAATTAATTCCTTATAGTGTCAGGGGAGGAGAGATTGAGGACGGCGAGAGGAGGGGTTGGCAAACATACGTCAATAACAACCATGTTATAAATCAATATTGACTTAAAAGATTTAAGAAAAGAAATTAATAAAATTAAAAAAACCTGATCATTCTTTATCAGCTCCATTGTATTGTTATCACACTTCTTACACACAGATTCGCTAAAATGTTAAGTTTACCATATCATTTCGTTCCGATATATGCCTTTTAATTATTTCTTTAACTGTATTCCAAACATGATGAAAATTTTCTTTCTCCCAATCATTAATTAAATAGATAAGCAAACCCGGGGTCCTTACCTTCTCCACGACCGTGGCTTCTAATCCAAGGGAGGCAAACACAACAGCATAGCTATTTCCAATATGTTTCGCTACATGACTCAGCCGCCTTGGACTAAGTTCGAAATCTTGTCGCTGTTTCAACACTGCATGAAGTGTTTAACAAGATATATGCCTGAGTATAATGGTTATTTCCGTTTTTATTTGAATGATTTATGATCGTCATCAGTCCTTATAAGGACATTACATATTATTTGTGATCGTTTAGCGCACGATCCAGCATAATACCCGATCCAGATTGAAAATGTATGGCATGATTTGTATCAAAGCACAGTTGTCGAAATTAATGTAAAACCATAAATTTCCGTGTGCCGTGTGTTTTTGTTGGTTTCGTGGGTATAAGTCTATGAAGTCAATTGCCAGCGGTTTCAAGTTTGCAAATTGACATGAATTTTTAATTGTAGCGAATAATCCACGAAATCAAGTATCAAGAAACAACACGTTTTTGGGAAAAAAGCCATGAAATTTCACCGCTACGGAAAGATATATTTATACAATATGCATTTACATTTTATTTGTTCATGCTGGTTTTACATTTCCCCCCGCATAAGCGAGACATTGGAAATACACTATGCAGTAAAGATTGTTTTGTTACAACGGTTTGTCTACAAACCTTATTCAACTTACCATCCATGTTGACGTCCGACTTCTGAAAAGACATTAAGTTAACGCGAATTGAATATACAAACAAACCATTCTACAGATCTATGTACTAGAATGTATAGGATATTTTCAATTTAGATCAATTTTTCTTCTCCATTTCTTTTCGAAATCTTGTTAAACTTAATAGAATTAGATAGGAAGTATAGAAAGAAAATATTTATTAATACTAAACTCTTCCTCATGCTACGCCACTGTTTTTCCGCGTATTGATTACACTTGATTCAAATTGGGAAATAAAATGTTACAAATATATCCCCGAACGTTCTGATTACTGACAACTTTTCTCTATAATGTTTATCACTATCTTCGGATATGGAACTTTGAATTATATTCACGTGTAAACAAATAAGTGAACAATGATCATGAGGTAAAGTAAGCATCATAAATTTTATGTTTTTCTTCTTTAACATGAGTTTGACAATGGAACAAATACGTACTGAAAATACGAAACATTGTTGTATGTTATAGGATTATATTTGTCTTTCATCATTTACCTGTTGGATTTTCCCAAACCAAATGGCCACGTCCTGAGATGGATCTTGATGAGGAGAAACTGTCTTCGGATTCATTAATCCTTCATCACTGACTTGCAAGAAGATTTCCCGTGAACCATCCTCATAAAGAAGGTGACATTCATATTTCGATCGATCATCTAAAAGGTCTTCCAACGCTTCCCGAATGATGCCCCCGATCCCGGCATATATTACGGAATCTTGACATGAAAACAGAGCCACTTTGACTGTCGAATTGTTGGACTGCAAGGCAAATGTGACTCCAGGATTCACAATAAAACCGCCAATATATCTATACAGCAATCTCTTCTGAGAAACAGGGTCAGAAAGTACCTCAAACCTATTAATGCACATCGTCAAAAGTTTGTCACGAACCGCAGATGGGATGAAGTGTTCCTTTGAAATAAAGCACAAGGTTGAAATCTTATTCATCTCGTTCAGACCTGATACCATAAGCTGATCATTCACAGGTGGAAGCATGGAAGTCAGAACGTAGCAGCTTGTCTTGTTCTTCGTCTTTTCCGGAAGAGGTTCAGCTATCAAGAACAGGCGAGATATAGCTGTCATGAAACTCCTTTTCGTTTTTGTTGTTTCTCCTTTCGTTTCACATTCCATAAAGCTTTCTACAAACTCTGGAGATACGTATGGCTGTTGGACCTTTAAGAGTTCGACTACTCGATTCACCAGCCACTTTGTATCCACCACAATGGGATCGTGTGATGTGATGGACGACAGCTTATTGCATATCAGGATAGATTTCTTCTGACACATAAATCTTCAAGTGAATAAATATTCAATTATTAACAATAACTGAAGCCAATTTAAATAAATAAATAAATAACATCCAGAAGCAAACCACGTTTAAAGAACAGACCTAAAGGAGATTGCAAAATAATAGTAAATGAAATATATAATATATATTAGAGCCAAACCTGAGAAAGTCCTTCACTTGGTCATCATTATGTATGGGGACTGCCATTTCTTTTGCAACTGTACATAGGTCTCCAAATGTCATCACTCTGTGACCACTGGCATTATAGCGGAAGACCTCTCGCTCAAGAGCTAACCATCTAGCAAGGATATCCTGTTGGCATTTTTGTTCGCGCATGGCTGCATTCACAATTGTTTGCCATATCCTGTCTCTTACTCCTTGCAATAAATCAAGGTTGTTCACAAGGAACATCCCATGCACGTGTTCACGCACAAATTTCCCAAGTTCAGAATGTTCTCTGAGATGTTCCCAAATTTCTGTCTGCATTGATTTGTATTTCGTTGACTGGGACGGAAAAACAACAACAAAAGAAACTTAAACGAGGTTCATCTTTCAATACAAAGTTAGAATTCGAACTTTATTGTACAGCGGTTTTGCCCTTCTAGGACTCGTCAGTGAGGCAAAGGCCTAAATTTTACAACCTAGGAGGCGACTTAGAATAAAGATGGGGAGGTGCACTAATCCCATACTTCAGTCAATGTCATGATTTTCATATAAACATTATGACTGTCGTTGTCACCCATAAGTCTGCTATACAATGTCATACTTTTCCTTACATACATTTGACAATGTCATAAGAACTGTACGTCCGCCCTACAATGTCATACATTTAAATGTAGACACCCAACAATGTCATACTTACCTTGCTTCCGCCCGACAATGTCAACCTACGGCAATGTTGAAATTCGTAAACTCACCAAACAGTTTCATATCACCCAGCACGGCAATGTCATAACAATAAGTGAACTAACCAGGCAATGTTTGCCCCTCACATCATCCCAACAATATTCTTGTGCACCTGTCTAACCGTTCAACCTTTAAATCTCCCTAAACAAATAAATTTGTCCAGAAAAGTAGATTAACCTTTAACATACTCAACGATGGCTGAAAGTGATATCCTCTTACCGAATCCGGAACACGGTCAAGGTTAGTTCCCACTAATATAATAGCCGGTTGAGATTTGCTCTTGTCGTAAAGGGAAATGTACCGTAGTCGAGTGTAAACATCGTCTGAAATAAAGAAACTAAAATAAAAAATCTAAAATAAAGGATCGATTAGTTATAAAGACTTAGTGATACTGAAAACTGAAAGATGTATCGATAACTGAATCCATATGTATCTTTCTGTGATGATGATGATGATGGTGGTTGGATGGCACAATGGTAGGTTGCATCTAGCCGTCGGGGTTCGATTCCTAAACGAGCGCGCTTCCTTCCGTGCCAACAATCGTGATTAATATAAGACTGAAAAACTTGTTTCGCAATTGCTTTGGAAACAAATGAAATGTCATTTTTTGTTGTTGTTGTTTGTGTGAAATAATATAACGTTTAATATATCGTTGTAATAGTTGAAAATATATGCAATTGCACACGTGGAACAACCTTCATTTACTGTGTGGAGTTGTTTCGAATAAAATATTCCAACATTCAACAATAATTTAACAGGCAGGCAGGTAGATACATGTAAATGAAAAGATGGGAATATACCATAGAAACACTGAAGTGGTTTGTAGATCAATATTGCTATGGTGCTTACCCAGCATCTGGACCAGCTGTGGGTAGGATTGTAATGAAAACACTAGGATATAAACACCGTGACTTGTCATAAACAAGTGCTGAATATTCTCGTACACCTCATCGCCAGAAAAGTCCAATATTGACAAAATCGCTTTCTCGCTTGAGCTTGATCCTGAAGGAAAGAAAGTGTAGCATTTTTAGACGACTGTTTTCTTTAAAACAATTGCTAAAATTTTGCTCAAAGTGTTAAAAGGATCAATTATGCAGGAAGATTATGGAAACGCCGTGTTTTTTTTTCTATTGGTTTTATTTTCTATATATGTATACTTTTGCGATTTCATTCTTTATTCGAAAAAAGGTTAATTGGTCGAAATTGTGAATCGTTACTTTATATGAAGTGATTATAAATAAACTGCTTAGAATATTACAAATACCTCGTTTCGACATAACACCTTCCTTCCTAGTTCCAGCCGACGTAGACAGGTGTCGCTTTAGCCAGGTGCTCTCACTTCTTGAAGGTTCTGAAACTTTACATTACATGTTTAAGATGCAAACACGATATCAGGAAAACAATCTAATGTAATAAATATGAAAAGATAAGGTGATACAAATACATATGTAAGATGTTTTCAACACGACAATACCGGCATGTGAACAAAATCTTGATTAACTCAATAAATATTCTTTTGTTTTCTTGTGATTGAACCGCTTTGTTAATTGATGAATACAGTATAAGTATCTATTAGGTTCCTAGTGGTTGTATAAAATAATTAGGTTCATAAATAGGTTAAGTAAAACATAGTTTGTTCCATGTTTGCCAATAAAATTTATTGAAATTTAATTTTCGATGTGGATGGAAATCAACTGCGAGCTCGTAAAAGTTCCCAGGTAAACAACTATTTCATTTACTCTGTATGACTAAAATCTGGACTCTCAAACATTTTTGTTTTTATTACAGCTTACCTTGCATCTTCTTGAGTACACTGTCCACAAACTGCTGCAAGCCTATGGCATATTCTGATTCCTCTCCATTGTCAGTTTTACTGTCATCCATTAAGTCGATCGTGAATCTCCTGTGAAACATCTGAATGCCTTTAGTTGGAATTTGACCATTTTTCTTGACTTTCAATTCCATCATAGACTGTAACAGGGAGGTTTTCCCTACACCCTTGGTACCTGTTACGATTATCTGGATGTTGATGAGAGTGACTTGCCCTTCCTCTAGGATTCTGTCATACGTAACTGTGAAATCATCACCAAGGTGGCCAAATTTTCTCATGTAGTTAACAATGTATTCGTTTGGGAGGATCTTGATATCTCTCGGCAATCCTTCAAATGATAATAAAATGTAAGGCTAAACTAATCTTATTTGATCTAGTGTACAGTATCCGAGGAAACATTAACAGAAAGGTATCTTTTGCCCTCATGTTGAACCTCATTTTCACCCAATATTTAAACAGTATTACCCAAACTGAAAACGAATTGATTGATAATTACGTGAGAGTTTATAATTGAGCATGACTTCTATAACATGTACTTATCATGACATTCTAAATAGTTATGGTAGTGTATGTATTTAATGAATAAATTATGTTTAGTGGATTATGGCAGCAACGACCTGCACGGTAATGCACATGGAGGTTTGGTCCAAGTCTGTCAATATCTGTCTCTGATGGTATACATGTGTATATATGCTGTGTTTAATGTACTAGTACATGTTATTGTATGTGTGTAAATGTTAATGAGGTGTGTGATTATTTTCATCCTGAGTTGCTTCCCCTTAACCTTTTCTAATCTCACCTTTTTGTATCAATATTGTCTAAAACATGTCATACAATTGGTTATTGCTCTCTCATTGTTTATTTCACATTGATGGCGATCATTTATAAAGGCTTTGCCGATTATTTAAACAAAATTTGTCGATAAAAGTTCAAGAAATAAAAAAAAAACACTTTTAAATACAATAAATACATATTTCAGCTTAATAAATCTTCCAAATTTATTTTCACCCAATCGGCAGAAGTACAGAAAAATGGGTAAACAGCAATATTTCTTCGTATCTAACTAACTATTTAAAGTATGTATACAACGTCATATTAGTCTTACTACGTCATTAATACCGTTCTGATGACGTTTCCTCCAATGCAGAAATTCTTTGGCATCATTGTCCACGAGATCCTTACAGGTACCGCATTTATTTTCCATGTTAGGATTTCCGCCTATGGTCAGCAATGATTCAAGTGTTCGAAGTTCAACAGGATGTTGTATACAACACAGGTGAAGCGGTGACCATCCTTTATTGTCGACCTTGTTGACCAAATGATGCACTTCCGGTCGACTGATAAGTATTTGTTGTAACGTTGGAAACTTGCCCTGTTTGACAAGGAAGTGTAGAGCGTTCTGTCCTTTCTTGTCTGTACCCGCAATATCAGCTCCTCGACTAACCCATTTGTTATAGTCCTCTAAGTTCCCATCGTATGTCGCTTTCAGCATATGTCTTGTAGCTCTTGAAGATTCAGACATGTTGGCCTCCTGTGTAGATATAAGTTCAAGACGACATCTATGTGTTATTTTAAACTGCCATGTGTTCTTCAGCCAAACATTGTTGGTTGTGCAATGATTTCATCAAACACTTAAAAAAACTACCTGTAAAGACAGAATTACTGACGATAACACCTACAGGCTACTCATCATATAGTGAAGAGGTAGTAAACTAGTCAGGATAAAAATCAGTCTTATTCGAACAGAAACGTTATGGCATGACGTGTCCAAAATTGCTCCACCTGTGTTACTTATTCAGTTAAGAACTCGTTAGTGTTACTTAGTTGAAACCTTGGAGACGACTGCTGCAAGTCCAAATCAATCGAAAAATATTAAAAACCAGACAAGGAGATGCATTTGCTTCAAGTAATTTCTTAATATTTAATATTGATAGAATGAATGGTAGCAGCTATTTGCCGGGTCGTGCTGTACGTGGTTTACAGTACAGTAGACACATACATCAATAAAACACATACGGGTCTCCACAGAAAAGTTAGATATACATTGTAGTATTAAATCACACCTGTCTGTAGGTCTTGTAAGGGATAAATGGGTGGGACAAACCGGAAGTAGACTATTGATTTTCTTTAAGAATATCTTTACCTGTCAAAGGTTATCGATCGCACAACTTATCAAACTAAGGTACATTTTTTCACAATCCTGCTGATATTATTGCACCGTGACGATAACCAATTACTATCGATAAAATTGATTCTGCCTTTTTAATTCTGTTGCCAGAAATTACAACAATGTTTTTATTCAGAAAATTATCTTATTAAACATAACACTATGATAATAAAAAGCTACATTTTGAGACTGTAAACTCCAGACCTGTGAAACTTTTTAAGGTCGATGGATGTGACAAACTGTGTGGTATCATTTTTCCAGACTTTTTGTGAAGTGACATTTGTTTAGCAGATAACCAAGAAATATGTGTCTGTTACGTTCTATAAACTTCACTGACAATGAAATATTTTGAATCATTTGAGCGTTTTCCCTCTTATGCAGAAACAAATTCACTGAAAAAATGGAATATTTTCGTTTAACTAAATACCGAACAGTGCCTTAGAAAGTCAAGTAAATATATTTCTGTGATAATTTTATCTAGATATCTCAAATATCTACGGTTTTGTTTTTAGTTTATTATTTACATTGTTGGTTTCCCTTACCTTGTTTGTCTACTTCATTCTATACAGTATAGCTTTCCTGGTACCACCGACATGTACACATGAGTTCTCCATTGCTTGGTAGCTTGTTGTGTTACGTTTCTTTGTTACCTGAGAGTATGACCCTTCGCTAACATTGATTTATAGGTACATGTACCATATACAAATTTGTTATCTCGAGGAGCTCAACGTTTTATCGTTAAATCTAAACGACTGATTTACATACGGTGTTTTATTCTTTGTGTGTACATTAATATCTAGATGTTGATATTAGAGATGGATATATGTAAATTCTTTCCTTATCAGGAAATAAGGAAAGATGTTTTTAATGGCACGAAATAACTAGAAGGGATGAAAAGTACTTATTTAAGAGATGTCATTATAATAGTAAGAATATTTGTTCTATTTTTGTTGATCAATAGTCGACTTTATAGATTCTATGGTATTTTCTCAGACAACTGTCACTTCTGACACAAGATGGCATGATGCATAGGAGAAAAAATAAAAATGTGTTTATAAACATATAAAATATTTACACAAATAGAAAAGATCAGGAAGAATAAGACTAGTTGTTCTTGAAGGGTAAACGTATGCTGGTTCGCCGACGAAACACGCCACGTAAATGACAAATGGAAACAATGTCAGGTTCTCAAAATGCGAACAATTAAACCACGAGGAAAACTACATCACACAAATGTTTATAATTCAATGTCGTGAAAAGAAATAGAATATGTTCCAATAAGATCATGATCATCATAAAAAAATGTTGTCATTCACAAGACTAAAAAGCCTCAAAGAGATAGAGGTAGATAAAGAAAACCCACCCCCAAAACACACATACACACACACACACACGCACGCACGCACGCACGCACGCACACACACACACACACACACACACACGATACTCTCTGTACAATTCTATTTAGTTTTGGTTCCTTAAAATGACATTCTTCATGCAAACGGTAGCCATATGTTACACTGTTATTTGTAATTTGTTTCCTTAAAGAGTATCATAATTATTGATGTGCCTACCGGTTGTGAATTTATCATTGATAAATATATCATACATATTATGTGTAGAATTTACACATTTTGTAATTTCAAAAACTTCTTGGTACTTTGACAGTCATCATGCTTTTTTTTTCTTATATATTTTTTATTTTTTTTTATATATATCTTTATTTTCAACTGCTCTATTGGTTTGTTCAATAACATTTGATTTTTGCATTCTCAATGCCTGTCATTTCTTTTATTACACATTTCAAATTGCTACAAAAGATAGTTGTGCACAACATTTTCAACTTTATGTCAAACATTGTTGCGTTTCATCCATACTAAGCATGTGGAATAAGAAATATTGTCTCAGTCCCGAACACTGTCTAATTTTGTGAATTTTGGTGAGTTTTATCCCTGTTATGATAGATATATCTTGTTTTGTTTTCTGGAGTTGGATTTTTCTTTTACCATTTTCACTCTCTTTAGCTCTGGCGCTAATGGGTAATCGGAATGCGCTTCGTGGAATTCAAGCGGAAACTCCAGATACTATAAATCTACCTCTAGCACGTAACCGAGGTATCTACTTTTGAAAAAAACTGTCAGATTCCTCTACATTTTTTTGCGAAAATCTTCCAAGGGTAACGATTCTATCACCGATGTTAATACAGATTATTACAATATGTATATATAATGAGCGGGTTTGGTTTTGGCGTTTTAAGTATTTATGAAATGTTAGCTTATCCTGCTGCGAACATCGCCCAAAAGATACATGTCATGATTTTAAGTGATGCGCGTTAGTTTGTCTTTTGGTTTTGTTGATATATACCTTGTTCTCGTTTGTAAACGTGCCATTACTTACTTGGATCGGCTAGGGTTTATAAAACGGTTATCGTCGATGAAGCAAAAGACGCTTACACTTTCGGAGAACCTGGTTCTATTCTGCTTGTACTTTTTAGGAGTCTTCATGAAGATCTTTCTGTTTTGCATACGTTGCCCTATTTTTATTGAATTTGATTTTGCTTATTTCCTTTTATTTTTTTTTATAGATATAGTCATTTTCAACATAAGAACCTGATATGTGAGACTGTAAAATCATTCTTTAAATGAGAGTTGTTTTTCACTTTTCTTTTACTTACAAATGCATTAATCACAAATGTAATGCCCCTTTTATATTTCGACCGGACCATCCCTATATTTTATCTATTGAACTGAAACCCTCTGTTGAAAAACAAAAATACAAATTATTATTTAATGTGTATTTGTCTAAATATGATGACTCTAACAGGTCTTGATATTTTATTCATTCTCTGGGTAGTGAAGGTGTCCTTGGACAAGACACTTGACTATACTTACCATTCAGCTATGCGACAGGCTTTCCGTATGTTGTTTAATGAGGCAGTCACCAACTACTAAAGGAAGACCATGCCTTGAAATAGACAAATGATGCTGGATAAAGTATGATGTTGCTGGTTGCGATATAAGTACAACACGGATATATTTTTCACGGTTAAGTAACTGATGAACCCATAGGTTTTTAAAAATGTACAAGCTGTTTTAAAAAAATATGTTTGAGGTATATCTGTTCCAGTTTTTGTTCATTTTCAACAAATAGCCTGTGTGACAATCATAATCTGTGTGTGATATTTATCATTCATAACAAATGTGTGTATGACAATAGTATAGAAAAATACCTAATATTAGCATTTTGATATTTATTTAATAGGTAGTAAACTATTACACACATATCAACCAAATAACTCAACTCCTGTTTACCACTGTAAGGAGCGCTAGCTGTCCATCATTGTCATATGTTTGTAAACGTGACATCACTTACTTGAATTGCCACAGATTTTTCATGGCAGGCTCGAAGAAGACGCTACCCTCTACGAAACACCTGGTCTTTTTCTCTGTGTACGTTGCGATCTGTGTAAATCTTTCTTTTCTTTATATTTTGTCCTTGTTTTATCAAATAAGGATTCCGTTCACAGTGTTTCCTTTATATTCTGTTTTTATTATTCTTATCCATATTATATGTTTCCTTTATCAGCAAAGATGAAATTCACAATCGTAAAGGTTTTCGTTTAAAAAGTAAAGATAGGCTTGTCTTTGGAATAAATATATTGTATAAGGATATAAAGTCTAACTTAATGACGTCGAAAAAAACATGTTAAGGAAAATACCGACAAAACATATTATAATCTATAAATAGATAAGTATATAATAAAAAATGCGCAATTGAAACACAAAGCAAGACGTTTTCTTTCCCATGAATAAATTGTACATTCAGCTCCGCTTCGTACACCTGTACTGTCCATTGATAGCCTAATCGATTCACTCTTTTCATCTTTAACCAATGCTTTATTCTCCTATGTTAAAAACATTACCACACGATCTGTTCTAAATATAGAACTTGGGTAAATTTCACAGTAATTGCTGTTTATTTCAAGAGGAACCACTTAAATAATTGAACTCGAGAAGCTATACGGCATGTGGACAAACGAATAATAAATAATATAAGTTATGTAACAGCTACAAGGTTACGACCAAAGGCAGAGACTGGTGGTCCACTAAGGAATAAAACAACTGCGAGGTTAGGGTGTATGATACAGTATAAAATACACTCTTGGACGGACATCATATCAGTCACAAGGTTATGGCCAAATTTTGATTACTCATATTCGAAACTATATATATTTTTTTGCCTTTAGCTGTTGAATTATCTCTCAACAGTTTTCTAAGTTCCTTTTATCTTTATAAAACGAATTTCTTCGAAAAACAAAGCTAATTATATTGTTCAAAACATCGTTATAACATTTCTGGTCATAAAGCTAATTTACATTTGGGATTTATTTTCGTTGAATTCGTGATATCTCTGGAACCGCAAAATTATATGTCCAGAAATAAGACAAATGTTGACATGAAATATAATTGTTTTGTGAGCGAGATTTATTCATGAAATCAAGTGCCAACAATAACGGGGTGCTTTTTTTTCTTTGAAAACCATGAAATTTGAGCCCGATGAAAACATATGAATAAACAGTTCGTAAAACATGTTATAATCATGGTTGTTTCTGATCCAATGCCCATGTTTGACCAGTATTTTGTTATTTACCATGGGACTCTGATATATAAGGGATTAGGACTTTAATCATTTTTTTCCAATCATAAAAAGCACCTGCACTATATCAATGAAGTATATTCAGGTTTAAACCTGGTTTTAAATGTTAAGTCAATTTCTGATGTTGGATATACAAACAAATACAATATCTATATTCATTCATAAATAAACATCAATGGTAGTCTCCACACTCAATATAATCAATATTGACCTTTGACCCTGGATGTGGCCTCATTTGCCTGCTATTTCTTTGCTATCTACATCTTTAGGACTCACTAACATGAAATATGAAAGCTGTTTTAGTTTAGTATTTAAGAAGAGTTTTACAAATCTACGTTAACCATATAAATCTATGTTGACCTTTGACCCCCTTAGCACTGCCAAGGCCCTGGGATCAAATTTTAACAGATCTTTCTGGAACTAATTTAAAGAAAAAGGAGATGCCAGACAGCTGATGGACAACAGATGTTACACTACAGCATAAACTTACCATAGGTCTCCAGATTGGGTGGGCTATAAACAAACAACTGTCCTTATTTTAAAATGTATTTTTAATGACAACATAATACAAATCATGTAGCTTCCAAACGTAATGTACATACTTTTGCATAATAACAGAATGTATACGGTGATTCTGATGAGTATTTCATATAACAATACATAAATATGTAGCCATGCCACTTCATCATCAAAATCAAGATTACATTGAATCAACCGAGCTGTATCCAGTTATACTAGTTAAACACTATGGAAAGAACATTTGCAAAAATACAAGCAAAGCAGTTATCAGGGACTACTCCAGCAAGGGAAATAACTCTCTTCACTTTAAAGAAACAAAAGCAAAATTGGATTTTTTTTTCTCCATTTTAGGTAAGCAATATGGCACTGAATTTTTTTTTAAAATAAAGTGTCGTGGCAAGTTGCCTGCAATTTTTCCGAGAGTAAATTGGGTTCACATTCATGCTTTCGTTTTTCATACTGCTATGTGTATTCAGATAAATTCTGAGTCAGGAAGGTTCCGCGAATCCGAACTCAATCAACACATCCTCAATACAAATATCTATGTTCTCATCAGAAGTGTCCACAAGTGAAAGGGAGACAACTCTCTTGTCATCAATCCCTCTTACTAGTCCAACCAAGTTTCTGCCCTCTGTCAGCTCCTTCATTTTGAAGATTGCTCCCTCGGTCCAGAACCCAGTATGTTTGGCTGGACGAATTGCTACAATACACCATCAATTGTCAATTGTACAACAATATATCAACAGATTCTTATATTCAATAATTTTTTTTTGCAGGAAGAGATACAATTTAAGATGGGTAATTACATTAGTTCAAAACATGCTATGGTGCCTTAAAGACAGCTGTTCCTTGAAGAATACCATTAAAAGGCAAAGGAGGGTAATTGCACCTTCCATCGTCCTTGATGAAAAAGTCCTAATCCTTTTTTTTTGTCCTGTGAGATCTTTCAATCCGCTATAGTACAACATCCATGGAGATAGTTTCAAAGATCAAAATTGAAAATTAGCCTCAAATTTAAATACAACTACCATAATAACCAAAGGAATTTTACATCTGACAGTGAGTTGATAAAATATTGTATACGCAAGAATTTATTTTGGAGCTAAATTGTGCAAATTAAAAGCAGATAATGGATAACCTACTATCAAGTTTAGCTTTGAATGCCTGGAAGGGTAGTGACCAGAACTTCAGAGGAAGGGGTAGTAGTTCACTGGTATCCACAACATTGAACTCTCCCAGGTCTGGGAAGTACACCGAAAACAGTTCTGGCCCCACAGCTTGACGAACCATTGTGCGATACCAACATTCTTCCTGCTGGCCAGCATATAGATGTCCAAGCTTCACTTCCTCCTCAGACAGCCTCTATAACATACCATGATAGCCAAAATTGTACATAAACTTTAAATGCTGCATCTCTCTGTGATATGCATTGACCGAAAAGTGTCATTTAAAATATTTGAGAAATCAAATTCCAGAACTTTCTGACATTAAATTCAAGGACTTTTCAGGAACAGCAATTTGTTCAGTTCATGGCTTAAGATATATAAATTCAATCTATGGCAAATCTTAAGAGATTTCAGTTTTGTTTTTGTTATTTTTATTTCTGAATATGATTTCAGTAAGAGCAATGCAACATGAGTTTTATTACTAAAGTAACAATATGATCAAATGTCAGTATACTAATCTTAATAGTTCTAAAAAAAATTATTGCATGGTGCATTCAGTTAATATGAAGAATTTGTAGAAAGTAATGTGATGAAATGTTAATGAAAAAAAAAAAATAAACAACTTGTTTCACCTTTGACTTTACTCAAACAGAATTCAGAAAGCCTCCTAAAGTGAAAATTTTATCAATTTTTACCTGCTGTGATTGTGTTTCTGACATGTAGTCGTTCAACTCCTGATGAAGTCTCTGTATGTCAGACATAGTGTCAAAAGGCGTTATCTGAAAATAAAAAAATGAAAGGTGTCACAAAACAGTCACTGTAATGTATCCTGTCACTGGATAATGTCTTTGACACACAGGATATGTCTCTAATGAAATGCGTTTATGTATCATATACCTGACTTTCTGAATAATGGGATACCAATTGGGTTATGCTTGGCACTATATCATGTGGATTATTTATATTTAGTCATTAAAGACCACAAAAAACTTAAATATGTTTACAGTGAATCAAAATCATGGAAAATGAATGTTATTGCTGTATTGGTAACAATGAAATTAAAATTTGTGGACATCCCAGGGCTCTCGATCTGCCAGATTTGGGGCCGAACCCCAATGCAAAATACTATCTTTTTTTCCCTATTTAGACCCCAAGTTTTCCCAATTCTAAGGAAAACACCATTATTTTTCCCAATTCTAAGGGCCCCGGGCCCCAGTCCCAAAATGGGGTGTGAGAGCCCTGCATCCACAAAACATAAACTCCATGAAATCAACCAATGTACAGTATCTCATATATAATTGTGTAACAATTCCATGTTTTGTTTAGAAAAGATATTAAGTAAAGGTCAAGAAAATATAAATGAATTCAACAAAAACCACTTTGTTAATTTTTTGTTGGAATTGTTAATACTAAACTCAAGCATTAGTGGGAAATTGTGTAAACAATTAAAACATAACAAAAAAACTAAAAAAAAAAATCTCGTTTTATCTGCTCCAGTTGTAGATGTGTTCCTGTGGCAAAGGAATAAGCAGCTGAAACTTTTAAGGCCAAAGAAAAAAATATCTGTTTCATGTTTCCTTAATATTCTTTGTAAGTAAACAGAGTACCAATATTACAGTTTTATGATCATGATAGCCTAAACTGTTGACTCTTTTGTCCCATCTATGTCACATAGTGCAGCTAAGGGAATAAGTTACATCTTTCTGGCTTAAGGTATTCATGACTCACTTTGGTAGTTGAGCATTGATGTGTGAAGATCAAAATTTCAATCCCATATAGGAAGCAGCCTTTTTCATATTTTTTATTGTTAATTTTTCTTTCCAATTTCATGTGCTCATTTCCAAATACAATGTATTTGATAACAATATGTAAAACTAATCCATAGATGTGATTTACATGGACAAATCTTTAGAAAAAACCTTACAAATGCTCCAGGATAGTGACACAGCTTATAATAGATATGGTACTGTTCCTTTAAACTATGTTTGTTAAATTTTCCAGGTATCAACAGAAGACACAGTAGAAACCTATAGATAAAAGACTGGAGTAGCAAGAAACACATTTCATTTTCAAGTTGGCCTTGTTTTTTAAATAAGTACACATCAAAACAGAACAAAATTCAACACAAGAACTGAACAGAATGAATCCATCTCCATACATCTTATATCCTGGAATCGACTGAATGAATGTATAAATTCTGAAATGTTGTCATGCATCTCCGGTGCCTTCACACACTTCTCATGTTCTATTGTGTATACTGCCATTCTGGAGTGATTACTTTATCAGTATTAACAAGATGGTTTCCAGGAAATCTGAACAACTTAATGCAATGTTTAGATTATTTCCTAATAACTAGTGATGGGAAAATAATTTGATATAATCAATTATTAGATGGTTAAACCTCATTTGATGTGATGAATAATTGTATTTATTAACAATCGATCATTGGTACCTCAATATTTTCTTCCCTTTTAACGAAAACAAAATTCATATTGATATGCACAATAAAGACGCCAATTGTCAATGATATACATTCTTATGCAAATTCTAGGTGAGTGAGGTATTTATGGTTTAAGTTATCAGAAAAGAAAACATCACTGCAACAGTGAATTCATTCACTTTTTATGAATATTGAACACACAGCCAATTAATTATGTAATCAATTAACAACACTGAATAATCTATCCAACTTTAACTGATAATTGATTATGGATCTTAACTAATTTCCCATCACTACTAATAATCAATTTCCAGTGTTTCAAAGCCTGTTATCTGACATTATAATCCTGTAGATGTGAAGACAGATGTATGGAGATGTTGATACTGTCCCAGCTGTTACTCACACACGAGTCTGACAGGGGCGGTTGATAAGTAAACACCACCTGGACACAACCAATCAACTTTGAATTTTCTCATTACACCTTGATTTAGCAATGTACCATCCATACATGCCTATAACCCTAATATGCAAATTCTAAAATTATTTTTCAAAATCTAAAATTATTTTTCAAAATCTAAAAAACTCCCATGAAAACCCTAATATCCATCTTTTCTTTCCATGAAATAAGGTTTTTCTAAACTAAAGACATTAAAAAATATTAATATGTCAGATATTACACAGAAAATCTCATCTGTCTCAATCAACCACATCATTATAAACATCAACATCTGAATAAAACATGGGGTTGATCAAACATAAAACATGCATCAAATCCAGTCAACAAATTAACCTTCTTTAGTTAGAATCTGTAGTATCATCAGTATCTTCATTTTTGAAGTTTGGTTGATGTGGGACTTCGTGTAACTAGAATGCTGTAATTTTCATTGACGTTCCCCTTAATCATTCATGGGAAAAATGTTTTACTAGAATACCATGAGACAAAACCTAGAGTCCTGGGGTGGGATAGATGTTTTACTGGAATACCACGAGACAAAACCTAGAGTCCTGGGGTGGGATAGATGTTTTACTGGCCTGGGGTGGGATAAATGTTTTACTGGAATACCATGAGACAAAACCTAGAGTCCTGGGGTGGGATAGATGTTTTACTGGCCTGGGGTGGGATAGATGTTTTACTGGCCTGGGGTGGGATAGATGTTTTACTGGCCTGGGGTGGGATAAATGTTTTACTGGAATACCACGAGACAAAACCTAGAGTCCTGGGGTGGGATAGATGTTTTACTGGCCTGGGGTGGGATAGATGTTTTACTGGAATACCATGAGAAAAAACCTAGAGTCCTGGGGTGGGATAGATGTTTTACTGGCCTGGGGTGGGATAGATGTTTTACTGGAATACTATGAGACAAAACCTAGAGTCCTGGGGTGGGATAGATGTTTTACTGGAATACCATGAGACAAAACCTAGAGTCCTGGGGTGGGATAGATGTTTTACTGGAATACTATGAGACAAAACCTAGAGTCCTGGGGTGGGATAGATGTTTTACTGGAATACCATGAGACAAAACCTAGAGTCCTGGGGTGGGATAGATGTTTTACTGGCCTGGGGTGGGATAGATGTTTTACTGGAATACCATGAGACAAAACCTAGAGTCCTGGGGTGGGATAGATGTTTTACTGGCCTGGGATGGGATAGATGTTTTACTGGAATACTATGAGACAAAACCTAGAGTCCTGGGGTGGGATAGATGTTTTACTGGAATACCATGAGACAAAACCTAGAGTCCTGGGGTGGGATAGATGTTTTACTGGAATACTATGAGACAAAACCTAGAGTCCTGGGGTGGGATAGATGTTTTACTGGAATACCATGAGACAAAACCTAGAGTCCTGGGGTGGGATAGATGTTTTACTGGAATACCATGAGACAAAACCTAGAGTCCTGGGGTGGGATAGATGTTTTACTGGCCTGGGGTGGGATAGATGTTTTACTGGCCTGGGGTGGGATAGATGTTTTACTGGCCTGGGGTGGGATAGATGTTTTACTGGAATACCACGAGACAAAACCTAGAGTCCTGGGGTGGGATAGATGTTTTACTGGAATACCATGAGACAAAACCTAGAGTCCTGGGGTGGGATAGATGTTTTACTGGCCTGGGGTGGGATAGATGTTTTACTGGAATACCATGAGACAAAACCTAGAGTCCTGGGGTGGGATAGATGTTTTACTGGCCTGGGGTGGGATAGATGTTTTACTGGAATACCATGAGACAAAACCTAGAGTCCTGGGGTGGGATAAATGTTTAACTGGCCTGGGGTGGGATAGATGTTTTACTGGAATCTATACAAACCTGGAGTCCTGGGGTGGGATAGATGTTTTACTGGAATACCATGAGACAAAACCTAGAGTCCTGGGGTGGGATAGATGTTTTACTGGCCTGGGATGGGATAGATGTTTTACTGGAATACTATGAGACAAAACCTAGAGTCCTGGGGTGGGATAGATGTTTTACTGGAATACCATGAGACAAAACCTAGAGTCCTGGGGTGGGATAGATGTTTTACTGGAATACTATGGGACAAAACCTAGAGTCCTGGGGTTAGATGTTTTACTGGAATACCATGAGACAAAACCTAGAGTCCTGGGGTGGGATAGATGTTTTACTGGAATACCATGAGACAAAACCTAGAGTCCTGGGGTGGGATAGATGTTTTACTGGAATACCTGAGACAAAACCTAGAGTCCTGGGGTGGGATAGATGTTTTGAGACAAAACCTAGAGTCCTGGGGTGGGATAGATGTTTTACTGGAATACCATGAGACAAAACCTAGTGTCCTGGGGTGGGATAGATGTTTTACTGGAATACCTATGAGACAAAACCTAGAGTCCTGGGGTGGGACTGGCCTGGGGTGGGATAGATGTTTTACTGGCCTGGGGTGGGATAGATGTTTTACTGGAATACCACGAGACAAAACCTAGAGTCCTGGGGTGGGATAGATGTTTTACTGGCCTGGGATGGGATAGATGTTTTACTGGCCTGGGGTGGGATAGATGTTTTACTGGCCTGGGGTGGGGACTGGCCTGGGGTGGGATAGATGTTTACTGGCCTGGGGTGGGACAAAACTGGCCTGGGGTGGGATAGATGTTTTGGCCTGGGGTGGGATAGATGTTTTACTGGAATACTATGAGACAAAACCTACCACTGAGACAAAACCTAGAGTCCTGGGGTGGGATGTTTTACTGGATGTTTTAGTCCTGGCCTGGGGTGGGATAGATGTTTTACTGGCCTGGGGTGATGTTTTACTGGAATACCTGACAAAACCTAGGAGTTTTACTGGCCTGGATAGATGTTTTACTGGGATAGATGTTTTACTGGCCTGGTTTTACTGGCCTGGGATAGATGTTACTGGCCTGGGGTGGGAATGTTTACTGGCCTGGGGTGGGATAGAAACTGGCCTGGGGTGGGATAGATGTTTTACTGGCCTGGGGTGGGATAGATGTTTTACTGGCCTGGGGTGGGATAGATGTTTTACTGGAATACCACGAGACAAAACCTAGAGCCCTGGGGTGGGATAGATGTTTTACTGGCCTGGGGTGGGATAGATGTTTTACTGGCCTGGGGTGGGATAGATGTTTTACTGGCCTGGGGTGGGATAGATGTTTAACTGGCCTGGGGTGGGATAGATGTTTTACTGGCCTGGGGTGGGATAGATGTTTTACTGGCCTGGGGTGGGATAGATGTTTTACTGGCCTGGGGTGGGATAGATGTTTTACTGGAATACCATGAGACAAAAAATCCTGGGGTGGGATAAATGTTTAACTGGCCTGGGGTGGGATAGATGTTTTACTGGAATACCATGAGACAAAACCTAGAGTCCTGGGGTGGGATAAATGTTTAACTGGAATACCACGAGAGGTGGGATAAATGTTTTACTGGAATACCATGAGACAAAATCTAGAGTCCTGGGGTGGGATAAATGTTTTACTGGAATACCATGAGACAAAATCTAGAGTCCTGGGGTGGGATAGATGTTTTACAGGGATAGCCCTAATGAATACCACTTATCACAAGTACAAGCATCTAAAATCAAACATTGATGATAAAGAACATCATTATTCAAAAAGAAGATTTTCACACACTAGCTGTTTACAGAAGAAAAACACTTACAACAAAGTTTGCTGGATCAAACACTAATCCGACATGAATATCACAGAACTGTCCATTTTGAGGAAGAGTGTGACGCGGTGGTACTTTTCGACGATGGTAGGCCTCTTTGTCCCAAAGGTCTTCATCTGAGCCCTTAGCTGCTTGTTTTCCTGTCCCCCATGTGTACAAACTGCTAGGCTGTGCCTTTTCTACTAAGATGTCTCCACCTGACATACTGGTAACGTCATCAGTAACCACAATCTCCTCACCCATTACATTCCCACCCCCTGAAGCATTAGCATCGTCAGAAACAACTATCACAGACTTTTCATCAGCTGTTTTCTCAGTCACAGAAACACATTCAAAATCTTTGATTTCCACAGAATTCTGGTTTATATCTTCTGATTTTTCATCACTGATTTCTTCTCCTATCTCCTCCTCACTCTCTTCTGTCTCCCAAGAATCTGAAGATTTCTGCCTAACAAGGAGCTTGTCTTTGACTGATGCAGGGGTTTCAGATCGCACATTTGTAGAAGCGTATTGTTGGGCAGGTGTGAGCTTTTGTCCAACATACTCATTACCAGCTTTTTGTCCAGTTTCAAGTTTAGTGGCTAGGGTTGCATGATAACTAGACTCCGGTGACAGATGATGAGAATCTGGTTTCTCCTCTGGTCTGTTAGGAGAAGTCACACCATCAGAGGCGTCCGATAGAGAAGAAACACTACTACTCTTAGTGTCTACAGATTTATTTGAGAGTGAAGAATCAAGTGGGCGGTCTGCTGTGTCTGAGGGGCGGTCAAGCAGATTGGCTACACTACCCAAGGGGGAAGAATGACTCGTCAACAGTGAAGTCGCTGATGCTTCTTTGTAAGTCTTGGCGATCAGTTCATTGATGTTAACATCTTCCTGGCCGAAGGTGTCGAACAGTATCACAGATAGACATTCTTCCCTGAAAGGAAGAAAAGTTTGTTACAGAAACATAATACAGATTATCAAACAACCAGTTTACATATTAAGAGGGGGAAAAACCAGTGTGTTTTGAGGCAAATTATGGCTATATAATTGCAAATATCTGTTTTTCTGTGTTTCACTGTCTTAGCTACGACCAGTTATAGAAGTATTTGTATGAATAATGATACATTATTACATTATTTCAAAACACAGTAGTGTTAGAACCATTCCAACTCATACAGACTCACACAAGCAAACATATCTTAATCAAATGCTGATTCGTCTTCTGGAGTTAGGCAAAGCCAATTAAGGTCTTATCATTTTTGTGAAGGTGTTTGTTTTCAGCATTGGAGACTTGTAAGTTTACATCAAGATGGAAAAGGAAGTGAAAGACTTGATGAAGGCCATACTGCATAAGTTCAGCAACCTCCTGCACTAAGCAACAAACAACTCACCAGTCAGCTGGTTGATTCGACTAAAATTTACTTGTTTACTTTTCTTAAGCTTGTACTCGTACTGAATTTTTGATAGAAGTTGCAAACTTGTATCTAAAATGTTCCTATATTTTAAATCAATGCTATGATTTTTTTAATCTTGGTAAATGCATGTTTCCATTGTTTTAAATTTATCTTATGACGTTCACTCTAAGTATGTTTGCTTCTCTTATGTTGCGTTGTACATAATAATTGATTTCAAACAAAATGTACAATGCAATTAAAGTTAATTATACCTTATACAGTCTTAAGCAGTCTTCAATGAAACAGTGATGAATCAATAAGATACCGACTAACATATATGACCTTTACTCACCCCTCCTTTGAAAGGTTAGAACAAAATGACTATAATCACTATTCAAAATTCCCTTTTTATCAGGTTCTTACCTTTGTTAGTTAGTTTGTTTCATTTCTTCCTTACCTACTAACGACCTCTGCCACACAGGTTTTTCCAAGTGCAAAGTCAAACAGTGATTCCAACACAGTGATGTTTTCCGATACTTCTTCCAGGCCATACAGGGACACTTCTATAGCCTGGAACAAAGCCACGTACATGTCTTATCATGTCATTTTTTCTGCTTTGTTGAGTTACCGGGTGTGGTGAAGATTTTTTTTGTGGAGTTATTGGGTGTGATGAAGATTTGATTTGTGGAGTTACCGGGTGTGGTAAAGATTTGATTTGTGGAGTTACCGGGTGTGCTGAAGATTTGATTTGTGGAGTTACCGGGTGTGATGAAGATTTGATTTGTGGAGTTACCGGGTGTGGTAAAGATTTGATTTGTGGAGTTACCGGGTGTGCTGAAGATTTGATTTGTGGAGTTACCGGGTGTGGTGAAGATTTGATTTGTGGAGTTACCGGGTGTGGTGAAGATTTGATTTGTGGAGTTACCGGGTGTGGTAAAGATTTGATTTGTGGAGTTACCGGGTGTGGTAAAGATTTGATTTGTGGAGTTACCGGGTGTGCTGAAGATTTGATTTGTGGAGTTACCGGGTGTGGTGAGGATTTGATTTGTGGAGTTACCGGGTTGATTTGTGGAGTTACCGGGTGTGGTAAAGATTTGATTTGTGGAGTTACCGGGTGTGGTAAAGATTTGATTTTTGGAGTTACCGGGTGTGGTAAAGATTTGATTTGTGGAGTTACCTGGTGTGGTAAAGATTTGATTTGTGGAGTTACCGGGTGTGGTGAAGATTTGATTTGTGGAGTTACCGGGTGTGGTGAAGATTTGATTTGTGGAGTTACCGGGTGTGGTGAAGATTTGATTTGTGGAGTTACCGGGTGTGGTGAAGATTTGATTTGTGGAGTTACTGGGTGTGGTGAAGATTTGATTTGTGGAGTTACTGGGTGTGGTGAAGATTTGTGGAGTTACCGGGTGTGGTAAAGATTTGATTTGTGGAGTTACTGGGTGTGGTGAAGATTTGATTTGTGGAGTTACCGGGTGTGGTGAAGATTTGATTTGTGGAGTTACTGGGTGTGAAGATTTGATTTGTGGAGTTACCTGGTGTGGTGAAGATTTGATTTGTGGAGTTACCGGGTGTGGTGAAGATTTGATTTGTGGAGTTACCGGGTGTGGTAAAGATTTGATTTGTGGAGTTACTGGGTGTGGTAAAGATTTGATTTGTGGAGTTACTGGGTGTGGTGAAGATTTGATTTGTGGAGTTACTGGGTGTGGTGAAGATTTGATTTGTGGAGTTACTGGGTGTGGTGAAGATTTGATTTGTGGAGTTACTGGGTGTGGTGAAGATTTGATTTGTGGAGTTACCGGGTGTGGTGAAGATTTGATTTGTGGAGTTACCTGGTAGAGTAAAGATTTGTTTTGTGTAGTTACCTGGTAGGGTAAAGACTTATTGAGTTCAGGGTCCAGGAGTCGCAGTTGATCTGGAATCAACATATCAGTATCTCCATGGTCCAGGAAATGGCACTTGATCTACAAGATAAACTTACGTTAGTAAGGTGTATCCCCTTACTTGAGTGAAAACCATTTTTCTGTGAATTCATGCAAAGTAAAGTGTTAGAGCTGAAAGGACTATTTATAGTTACGTAAATGATTGTTAGTATCACATATTGATAAACCAAAATTTGATATGGATACAATAATAAACAAGAGTACTGCAAAGCGGAACAAAATACGCCCGTGAATATCCAAAACAGCAAAGGGGCATAACTCTTATTCAAATCATCTAATCAAAACCCCGTTCAGGAAAACACAATTTCATATCATGGTGATTAAGCCTACCAAGTTTCATAAAGATCGGCTGAAAAATGTAGGAGGAGATCTCCGGACAAATAAAAGTTCATGACGGATGCCAAACGCCGGACAGCGCCATACCATAATACGTCCGTCTTTCGACGGGCATATAAAAATTCAATGATATCTTTTTCTTCCCCCCCACCCCCCAACTGACACAATTTTTTTTTAAATTTCTTTTCTATGGTCATGTTTGGTGGTAAAAAGTGTTAACACAAAACAACTTTGGAGACATGACTAAGCATCATTTAATAACTATATTGTAATCATAAAAGACTGCAATATATTTATCATTTTTCCAAGACGCTGCTGAGTTACTACATGCAGGTTTCTTTCTTATATACTCAATTTTTCTTAAACTTCCTCTTTCTAATAACAGCAAAGACATGAAAATATTACTTTTTGAAAGATATTTCCATGCCATTTTTATTTATCACTGTAAAAAGTTCATAAAATTGGGAATTTTTCAATGCTACAAAAAGAATCAACAAGATTCATTAATTTTTGTTCAGGATTAATTTTCTTTGATTTCCTGGGTACTATTAAACCGCAAAGTGTTAAAATTAGAAGTGCATTTACCGAGCTATATGAATTCATCAAATAAAGTTTTAAAGGAAAACGTAACAGTTTTGGAAAAGTATGATCAAATTTTATCTTTTATTATTTTTGTGTTTTGTGTAGTTTGTTATTGTTAAATTTGAAAAAAAAACTTTGCTTCAGATTCTAGGAAAATCCATGTAGTCCTAGACCACAGAAAACCTTCATTAATCTAAAACAACAGAAAGAATGTTGGGACAAGATCTTTTAAGGGGAAGATTGTGTCCATTCTAAATACAAAAAAAAAAAAGATGATACTGTGTTCATTCTAAACGTGAAAACTATAACATGTATATCTCACAATTATCTACTATTCACATGTGGCAGATTCTGCTGTTACCTTACTCACCTTTCTACCCTCATTCTCAAGAACACGAACACGATGGAAAAGACCATCTACATAGGCAACAAAAACACACCCCTCTTCAATGGAACCATCCTCTGGTGCAGCATGGAAAGCTACTTCCAGTTTGGTTTCTAGTTCATCCAACTTCTCCTGTTTAATTAACAAAAAATTAAGTTCTCAAATTCTCTTCTCAGAATAAAACAAAAAATCATGGTTATCAGTGCATAAAATATTGGACAATCTTGTGAAAATCTATCCATGCCAAAAACATTTTTAAAATGGAAAATATTGTTTAACAAACATGTTTCCTTACCCTTGTAAAATGAATGCTACTTTTGCAGTAGATTTCCTGTTTATGGCCAAGTTCTGGTTTTAACAAAAACATGTACTTACGCTGAAATTGTCTCCCACAAGTCGCAATATTACAGAGTCTGTACTGGAGTTGACAAAAGATACATAAACATCCAACTGGCTGGTTTCTGGGATCATAATATCATCTGAAATAATCATCATCAAAAATACTAAAATTTGACCTTGAATTATCAAAATAGGCCATTGCTTCAAAAGTTGACACATTTATTGCTAACATGAAGTTATCAAGCATATTGCTGTTGTAATTTTCCAAAAATCCCTTAAAGAAAAATCGTTCACCAAATAGCTCTATGAAGATATATACACATTCACTGAAAAACAAAGATATATGAGTGATGACCAAGATTTCTTTCAACAGTATATTTTTATGGACCTCTCTAATTGGTCTTGAGGTGAAAGGTCACTTCAGATGGACCAATCAGTGAGCCAGTAATGTATTATCCCACACAATACAGGACACGGGCTTCCAACATTTTAAGTTGAATGTAATAAACATCCAAATGCGAACACTACAGGACTGCAATACTTAAGAAACTGTACATTAACATCCTGTGGCAGTTAAATTTCTTTGAAGATACCACAAGTTTCAGTCAGCTACTGCCATACAAGGCGTTTTCAAATTTCAGGTATGACCTAAGGTCTCTTCCTACTTAGCAAAATCAGGCAGGGTCGAAAGGTAAAATGTACAAAAAATCATCAATCAATCTCCCCTAAAAAAGCCATTACTAAAGCTCAGTTTCCAAAAGAAACATTTCTGTTTACCTTAGCATACGGATGTCTGAAGAACACTCTTAGAAACATTTGATGATAAACAAAACTAGTTACTAATGTTCTATACAAGGTTCAGCCTGGTCAGTGGTAACTCATCTGTGTCCTTGGTTCAGCCTGGTGAGTGTCTGAGACTGGTAACTCAACTGTGTCCTTGGTTCAGCCTGGTCAGTGTCTGAGACTGGTAACTCAACTGTGTCCTTGGTTCAGCCTGGTCAGTGTCTGAGACTGGTAACTCAACTGTGTCCTTGGTTCAGCCTGGTGAGTGTCCGAGACTGGTAACTCAACTGTGTCCTTGGTTCAGCCTGGTGAGTGTCTGAGACTGGTAACTCAACTGTGTCCTTGGTTCAGCCTGGTCAGTGTCTGAGACTGGTAACTCAACTGTGTCCTTGGTTCAGCCTGGTCAGTGTCTGAGACTGGTAACTCACCTGTGTGCAGCATTAAGTTAGAGCCTGGTCAAAGTAGGTAGGGGCCCAGACACTTACCTGGTTCCTTGCTAGTTTAAGCCAAGTAGGTGTAAGGGCCCGGACACTTACCTGGTTCCTTGCTAGTTTCAGCCTAGTAAGTGTAGGGGCCCGGACACTTACCTGGTTCCATGCTAGTTTAAGCCTAGTTAGTGTAGGGAACTGAAAACTTACCTGGTTCCATGCTAGGTTCAGCCTGGTCAATGCTGGCCAACACTCCTGACTCTATCATCATCTGATTAATGCTGACTGTCTTGTCTGGATCAGAGTAGAACAATTCCACTTCACAAACTCCATCCTCTGCAAAACCATAGTCACCAGAATAAGGCAAGTACTGATAACAGATTTTTTTTATATAACATCATGATTTTTTTGTTTTAGAAACAAATTTTGCTACTAAGCTTGGACTGAAGGCAACAAAACTTCCATCTACTACATGTATATAACATTATAGGTGGTTGTGTGGTGAGTGGTAACAAACTCAATTGTCAATTAGGGTGATCAAAGTTTGGTTTCCTCAGCAGATGTGAAGAAGTATGAAGACTTCTGGCCCACCATGAGGGTTTTTTGTGTGGGAACTCCAATAATTTGACTCCTCCCTAACTTCCACCCAGTCCAAAAGAGTGATTAATAAAAGTCAGAAAAAGAGGCCAAAGCACCTTACCAGCCATCTGATTATAAAAACCTGTATATATGATATAACAACAGGAACAGTCACCAAATGCTTAAAACAGTTCAATATATCTAAGCAGTAAAGGCAAAAATCATTCCTCATTCATTTCGGTTTCAGCTCACTGGTGCCAGTGGAATCGAGAAGTAGTTTTAAAAGTGTGTTTTTCAAGTTTGCAGCCATGATGGTCATATTGGATTTTGGACCAACCTCAAAACTTCTTTCATAAATGTTGTTGAATAAATCAAGTTTATTGTTTAAAGAGAACAAACCCTTGGCTGGTAGACAAGAGAATTTACAGTAAACAAGGAAATAGCGATATCAGTCATCTGCCAAATTCATTATATGTTCCCTAGTGTGCAAGATACTTTTCCATACTTCCTCTGAATGGCTTGTGACAACAAGGCATTTTTCCTACCCTCTGATTAAACAGAAAGTAAATACAGGTCAGTAAATGAAATGGAAAGAACAAATTCTGAAGAGAATGCTTTCAAGTTTTGGACTCTCTATCGTTGGTCTGATGTGTAAGCTGAACATTCGGAGATCATTTTTTTAACTCTCGGAGATCGCTTTTGACTGAATTTTGGATGAGCACATTATGCAAGTAGAAGCAATTTTTACCATTTTCAGCTCCAAAAAGTAGCAGCACACATTACGTATATGCGCACATTACATGGATTGTTTTGGTATTTACCTTTGAATCCATGTGTCACGGCAACAAGAGCCTCTTCCCGAGTTAGCTCAAGGAACTTCTGCTGAGACTCTGCAGACCAGTCTTCACCCTGTGATAATACATCATTACAGAGAGATATAAAGGAATGTTAAAAGACGGACAACAAGCAGATTACAGTCAACATTCTGTATTGTACTTGTAAGGGTGTGACACCAGGTACACTACAACATACAGCCTGCATTGTACTTGTAAGGGTGTGACACCAGGTACACAACATTCTACAGCCTGTATTGTACATGTAAGGGTGTGACAACAGGTACACTATAGTATACAGCCTGTATTTAACTTGTATGGGTGAGACACCAGGTACACTACAACATACAGCCTGTATTGTACTTGTAAGAGTGTGACACCAGGTACACTACAATATACAGCCTGTATTGTACTTGTAAGGGTGTGACACTAGGTACACTACAACATACAGCCTGTATTGTACTTGTAAGGGTGTGACACCAGTTACACAACATTCTACAGCCTGTATTGTACATGTAAGAGTGTGACAACAGGTACACTATAGTATACATCCTGTATTTTACTTGTATGGGTGAGACACCAGGTATACTACAGTACACAGCCTGTATTTTACTTGTAAGGGTGTGACACCAGGTACACTACAACATACAGCCTGTATTGTACTTGTAAGGGTGTGACACCAATTAGACTACAGTATACAGACTGTATTGTACTTGTAAGGGTGTGACACCAATTAGACTACAGTACACAGCCTGTATTGTACTTGTAAGGGTGTGACACCGGGTACACTACAACATACAGCCTGTATTGTACTTGTAAGGGCGTGACACCAATTAGACTACAGTATACAGCCTGTATTTTTCTTGTAAGGGTGTGACACCAGGTACACTACAACATACAGCCTGTATTGTACTTGTAAGGGTGTGACACCAGGTACACTACAATATACAACCTGTATTGTACTTGTAAGGGTGTGACACCAGGTACACTACAGCATACAGCCTGTATTGTACTTATAAGGGTGTGACACCAGGTACACTACAACATAGAGCCTGTATTGTACTTGTAAGGGTGTGACACCAGGTACACTACAACATACAGCCTGTATTGTACTTGTAAGGGTGTGACACCAATTAGACTACAGTATACAGCCTGTATTGTACTTGTAAGGGTGTGACACCAGGTACACTACAACATACAGCCTGTATTTTACTTGTAAGGGTGTGACACCAGGTACACTACAACATACAGCCTGTATTGTACTTGTAAGGGCGTGACACCAATTAGACTACAGTATACAGCCTGTATTGTACTTGTAAGGGTGTGACACCAGGTACACTACAACATACAGCCTGTATTGTACTTGTAAGGGTGTGACACCAATTAGACTACAGTACACAGCCTGTATTGTACTTGTAAGGGTGTGACACCAGGTACACTACAACATACAGCCTGCATTGTACTTGTATGGGTGTGACACCAGGTATACTACAGTACACAGCCTGTATTGTACTTGTAAGGGTGTGACACCAATTAGACTACAGTATACCCCCTGTATTGTACTTGTAAGGGTGTGACACCAGGTACACTACAGTATACAGCCTGCATTGTACCTTTAAGGGTTTGACTCCATGTAGACAACAGTATACAGCTTGGACTGGGAAGGAGGCTGACTTCTCACAGAGCCACTGCATTGAGCTGGGGAAACATTCTTCAGTGTTACCAAAATCAACATACAGCACTTCAACACCACACTGGAACATACAATTAGGAATCATCAGGTAACATATATATACTCTCAAATATCAACATTTAAATTCTTGGTTGTAATTCTGTATGCATAAAATTTCCATTTAACTTAATGTAACAAGTGCCCATAATTAAGATCTCTTCTCAACATTTTTGATCCAATGTGAAAGTGTGAAAGTGAAAGTTAATCTGTTGCTGGTAAACTGAAAGATAAACAGTTACACTCACTCCAATTTCATCCTTGGCAAGAACCTCTGCCCTGCTCCAGCTTCCATCAGTACTGTACATGGATGCACAGAATTGACCTGGGGACAGCTCTTGCCTTGTAGGTTTTGCCTTCTACAACAATCAGGTGTTCATCTGTTGATTTGATCAAGCTAGAATACATTCAAACTATTCCTTATAAATGTTCAACAATGTTATACTATATAAAAAAAACCTTTTGGTTTAACAACCAGACCAATAACGTAGAACTTGTCAATGGCATATTCTACTCTGGCAAGGATATTATGTCTGCACTTTACCTGGTCAGGGACCAAGACAGTCAAACATATTTAAACTTATCTTAAAATTGACATGGAAAGCTAGAAGATGGCCTTTCAGAGACGCAATATTAATATTGTTGGAGACCTAGGGGGTTTTAAGACTTAAGTTATTAAAATGTTGGAGACTTAGAGAGTTGAAAGACTCATTTTGTTAGAGGCCTTGGGAATTGTAAGACTTACCTTGTTAGAGGCCTGGGGAGTTGTAATAAGTTACCTTGATAGAGACCTGGGGAGTTGTAAGACTTATCTTGTTAGAGGCCTGGGGAGTTGTAAGACTTAGCTTGTTAGAGGCCTGGGGAGTTGTAAAACTATATTTGTAAGAGACCTGGGGAGTTGTAAGACTTACCTTGTTAGAGACCTGGGGAGTTGTAAGACTTACCTTGTTAGAGATCTGGGGAGTTGTAAGACTTACCTTGTTAGAGACCTGTGGAGTTGTAAGACTTACCTTGTTAGAGACCTGGGGTGTTGTAAAACTTACCTTGTTAGAGACCTGGAGAGTTGTAAGACTTAGCTTGTTACAGACCTGGGAAGTTGTCAGACTTACCTTGTTAGAGGCCTGGGGAGTTGTAAGACTTAGCTTGTTAGAGACCTGGGGAGTTGTAAGACTTAGCTTGTTAGAGGCCTTGGGAGTTGTAAGACTTACCTTGTTAGAGGCCTGGGGAGTTGTAAGACTTAGCTTGTTAGAGGCCTTGGGAGTTGTAAGACTTACCTTGTTAGAGGCCTGGGGAGTTGTAATAAGTTACCTTGATAGAGACCTGGGGAGTTGTAAGACTTACCTTGTTAGAGGCCTGGGGAGTTGTAAGACTTAGCTTGATAGAGGCCTGGGGAGTTGTAAAACTATATTTGTAAGAGACCTGGGGAGTTGTAAGACTTACCTTGTTAGAGACCTGGGGAGTTGTAAGACTTACCTTGATAGAGACCTGGGGAGTTGTAAAACTATATTTGTTAGAGGCCTGGAGTTGTAAGACCTACCTTGTTAAGAGACCAGGGGAGTTGTAAGACTTACCTTGTTAGAGACCTAGGGAGTTGTAAGACTTACCTTGTTAGAGGCCTGGAGTTGTAAGACCTACCTTGTTAAGAGACCTGGGGAGTTGTAAGACTTACCTTGTTAGAGACCTAGGGAGTTGTAAGACTAACCTTGTTAGAGACCTTGGGAGTTGAAAACTAACCTTGTCGGAGGCCTGAAGAGAGAGAAGTGTGGATATCTCATCTATAGGCGAATCCTCTCTCTGTACACAGAAGTAGCCGCAGTTGTGGAAAAATGTCACATACACAGTCACCTTCTCCCTACAATGAGCAACATCAGTATTAGTACCCAGCCACACCACATGGACAATATATTCCTGCTGTACACAACCACACAACATGGTCAATATATTCCTGATGTACACAACCACACAACATGGACAGTACATTCCTGATGTACACAACCACACAACATGGACAATATATTCCTGATGCACACAACCACACAACATGGTCAATATATTCCTGATGTACACAACATGGACAATATATTCCTGATATACCCAACTGCACAACATGGACAATATATTCCTGATGCACACAACCACACAACATGGACAATATATTCCTGATGTACCCAACCACACAACATGGTCAATATATTCCTGATGTACACAACATGGTCAGTATATTCCTGATGTACACAACCACACAACATGGTCAGTATATTCCTGATGTACACAACCACACAACGTGGTCAGTATATTCCTGATGTACACAACCACACAACGTGGTCAGTATATTCCTGATGTACACAACCACACAACATGGTCAGTATATTCCTGATGTACACAACCACACAACATGGTCAATATATTCCTGATGTACACAACATGGTCAGTATATTCCTGATGTACACAACCACACAACATGGTCAGTATATTCCTGATGTACACAACCACACAACATGGTCAATATATTCCTGATGTACACAACCATACAACATGGACAATATATTCCTGATGTACACAACATGGTCAATATATTCCTGATGTACACAACCACACAACATGGTCAATATATTCCTGATGTACACAACCACACAACATGGACAATATATTCCTGATGTACACAACATGGTCAATATATTCCTGATGCACACAACCACACAACATGGTCAATATATTCCTGATGCACACAACCACACAACATGGACAATATATTCCTGATGTACACAACCACACAACATGGACAATATATTCCTGATGTACACAACCACACAACATGGTCAATATATTCCTGATGTACACAACCACACAACATGGTCAATATATTCCTGATGTACACAACCACACAACATGGTCAGTATATTCCTGATGTTCACAACCACACAACATGGACAATATATTCCTGATGTACACAACATGGTCAATATATTCCTGATGTACACAACCACACAACATGGTCAATATATTCCTGATGTACACAACCACACAACATGGTCAATACATTCCTGATGTACACAACCACACAACATGGTCAATACATTCCTGATGTACACAACCACACAACATGGACAATATATTCCTGATGTACACAACCACACAACATGGTCAATATATTCCTGATGTACACAACCACACAACATGGTCAATACATTCCTGATGTACACAACCACACAACATGGTCAATACATTCCTGATGTACACAACCACACAACATGGTCAATATATTCCTGATGTACACAACCACACAACATGGACAATATATTCCTGATGTACACAACCACACAACATGGTCAATATATTCCTGATGTACACAACCACACAACATGGTCAATATATTCCTGATGTACACAACCACACAACATGGTCAATATATTCCTGATATACACAACCACACAACATGGTCAATATATTCCTGATGTACACAACCACACAACATGGTCAATACATTCCTGATGTACACAACCACACAACATGGACAATATATTCCTGAAACACCCAACCACACAACATGGACAATATATTCCTGATGTACACAACCACACAACATGGTCAATATATCCTGATGTACACAACCACACAACATGGTCAATTTATTCCTGATGTACACAACATGTTCAATATATTCCTGTTGTACACAACCACACAACATGGTCAATATATTCCAGATGCACATAACCACACAACATGGTCAATATATTCCTGAAGTATGCCATCATTCTTATCTCCAAAGCCAATGTTTTATATATCTACAATGTCACATGAACAGATCCATGTAAAATGGCTACCCGACAAGATATACAATCACACTGAGAATTCCTAATGCAATACATGTCCCCTACCAGTCCCTTAAAGCTAATACACTGTAATAATTTATAAAGATGGAACTGTTTGGTGTTAATTTGGCAAAAAAGGAAAGACCACAATTAGTTTGTAACTGATTTTAATGTAAGAATGCATATAAGTAAGTATGACAAACTGAGGAACTGCCAAAAAGTTACATCACCAATATCTAATACTATGCTACAGTAAGTGTGAGAGGTCAAAATCCTGCAAATAATGAAACCACTTGCACATTGAAAATTATTTTCTAAGAAAACATCTTGACCTTGACCTAATAACTCAGACTTTTAATGCTTAAAAATTGTTTAAAGTTTGATTAAAATCCCATTAATAAGTGTGGCCATAAGAACTCTACCAATTACTAATAAAAAGTCACAATGATCTTGACTCCACAATCCTGTTTTTAATCCTGTGCGGTTTGATCCTAATCCCATAAGGAAGGAAGCCACCAGACCATAGACACCAATTTTCTTAGAATAATAATTGTGACCTTGACCTTGACCAACAATCCTGAATCTCAAACTTGTTTTTAATAGTGTGAGGTTTTATCCTAATCCCATAAGGAAGGAAGCCATCAGACCATAGACAACAAATTTTCTTAAAATAATAATTGTGACCTTGACCTTGACCCAACAAAACTGAAACTTAAACTTGTCGAAGATGTTTTGATGTGTGTGGAAGTTTGTTGAGAATCCTACAACACAATAAATAAAAACATAACACAACCCTACATGATACTCTATAATTAGATATTTCCTTGGGGATCATATTTATTATCTATTCATGGGATAATTATGAAATGGTCAACTTCCTCATCATACACTGAGAGAAACCTTTTCTTGAAAAAAATCAGTTCTAGGAATTTGAGTGGAAACCATAAAACAATTTCAGACCCAATAAATAGCAGCTATACAGTAATCATGAAAGACACATTAATAAGCTGTATACTTACTCTAGTGGTAGAGGTTCTCCCTTTGGAATTTTGAGATCCTACAATGAGAAAAGTAATGAATTCTTATCTATGATTAAATTGACAGAAAAAAGTAATACCCTTTACAAAAGTATACATAATACATTGTGTAAAAAGTGTACAGCATTTTCCTTGAAAATAATTCTATCTAAAACGACATTATTCTGGTGAGTTTTATCAAGCAGCAATAGCAGAGTTATATGTTCTCAACCATTACTTTGATATGTCTTAACTTTAGATCAGAAGTTATCTGCCCTTTTCCCTAACAATGAGATACCAGGTGTTCCTGACCAAATTCAATGATATAAGCTGGTCTTTATCTTAACAACAGAAGAGTTATCTGCCCTCATTTAGTGATAATTATTGTTGTTTACCTTAACGGATGAGTTCTCTGCCTTTTGCCGTGACTCTGTAATAGTAGCTGGTGTGGGAGGTAATGGGCTTTGGTAGGTTTTGCGTGGGACTACCGGAGAAGTTTGAGTCGTTTCTCTGGGAATTGACTTGTGGGTTTGGCTGACGGGTTTGGTACCTCCTTGACTTGTCCCTGACACAGGTGTGATGATTTCATTGTCAGGGACAGCACTCCTTTAAGATATAATACCACAATCAAACATTTTCATTTCAAAGCTGACATTTAGAACTTTCAGACAACAGCTCCAGTATATCATAAATACAGGAAAAATTAATGATTCACATGGATATCAACTTCACTGATACCTCTGCTGAAACGATGGGATTACAACAAAGTGTTATAAACATGGAGAAGTACTTTCTAATAGAATTACAATAATCTGCCCCGAGTCTTATCAGTTATGTAATTTATCTCACCACTTGGGTTCTGTGTTAGCTTTGTTGAACTAGTTCAATAATATGACAGGAAATTTACAAACAACAGACAGAAAATATCACCTTAAACATATAATATGAGATCAGGAAATTCATTGACAATGTGTGGGGTCCCATTCTGGTAGTGGATTTATCTTTGCCTGTGTTTCATATTTCCTTTTTGTATACATAAATGTCAGTTAATTCAAATGATGCCTGGAAACAGAGACATGAAGTATTTTCCAGTACAATACTTTAAAAGAGTTTCAGAACTTACTCCTGTATGGTGGCTATATCATTCCACTGTTTGATAAGGCTGAAGAGGTGATCGGGTGGATCCTCCTTAAACTGCTCCTTGTAGAGCTCCATCAGGCGTTTCTTCCACAGACCATTTGCTTTGTTGCACAGCAACTACAACAGAGTTACAATTTCATAGATAGATATCAGGATTACATGGGATATACAAGGATGAAGTCTATTATCAGTAGAATCCTTGTCAAGGACAATGTCTCTTGTTAAAAGTCCTCCTGCTGCCCAGAACACCATCTTTTACTTAAGAATCAACTCTTCAGGACACAGTCATTTATCAACAGATCCCCTGCCCAGGACAAAATCTTTACTAGTGAATCCCCTGACCAAGACATAGTCTTTACTCGTGAATCCCCTGACCAGGACACAGTCTTTACTAGTGAATCCCCTGACCAGGACACAGTCTTTACTAGTGAATCCCCTGACCAGGACATTAACTAGTGAATCCCCTGACCAGGACACAGTCTTTACTAGTAAATCCCCTGACCAGGACACAGTCTTTACTAGTGAATCCCCTGACCAGGACACAGTCTTTACTAGTGAATCCCCTGACCAGGACAAAGTGTTTACTAGTGAATCCCCTGACCAGGACATAGTCTTTACTAGTGAATCCCCTGACCAGGACATTGTCTTTACTCATGAATACCCTGCCCAGAACATAGTCTTTACTAGTGAATCCCGTGACCAGGACACAGTCTTTACTAGTGAATCCCGTGACCAGGACACAGTCTTTACTAGTGAATCCCCTGACCAGGACACAGTCTTTACTAGTGAATCCCCTGACCAGGACACAGTCTTTACTAGTGAATCCCCTGACCAGGACACAGTCTTTACTAGTGAATCCCCTGACCAGGACACAGTCTTTACTAGTGAATCCACTGACCAGGGCATAATCTTTACTAGTGAATCCCCTGACCAGGACATAGTCTTTACTAGTGAATCCCCTGACCAGGACACAGTCTTTACTAGTGAATCCACTGACCAGGGCATAATCTTTACTAGTGAATCCCCTGACCAGGGCATAATCTTTACTAGTGAATCCCCTGACCAGGACATAGTCTTTACTAGTGAATCCCCTGACCAGGACACAGTCTTTACTAGTGAATCCCCTGACCAGGACACAGTCTTTACTAGTGAATCCCCTGACCAGGACACAGTCTTTACTAGTGAATCCCCTGACCAGGACACAGTCTTTACTAGTGAATCCCCTGACCAGGGCACAGTCTTTACTAGTGAATCCCCTGACCAGGACACAGTCTTTACTAGTGAATCCCCTGACCAGGACATAGTTTTTGCAAAAATATTAGCTTGGAGAATTAAGAGTAGTATTGGATGAAAGGTACTGCAGTAGTGTGTTCTACAAAGGGAAAACAACAGGAATATAACTGGGAGTTTTTTTTAATAGAGAAAGGCAATGTTTTCTACATGAAAAGGTTGGAAGAATGTCTGTAGGGAAAGAGGCAATGTTTTTTACATGCAAAGGTTGGAAGAATGTTTGTAGGGAAAGAGGCAATGTTTTTTACATGAAAAGGTTGGAAGAATGTCTGTAGGGAAATAGGCAATGTTTTTTTACATGCAAAGGTTGGAAGAATGTTTGTAGGGAAAGAGGCAATGCTTTTTACATGCAAAGGTTGGAAGAATGTTTGTAGGGAAAGAGGCAATGTTTTTTACATTGAAAGGTGGGGATAGAGCTTATAAGGATTGAGGCAATAATTTCTGGTGTGGAAAGGTCTGGAGAAATGCAATGTGTTTTATATAGAAAGGATACGGGAGTGAGATAGTGTGTTCTATAGGGAAAGGTCTGGAGAAATGCAATGTGTTTTATATAGAAAGGATACGGGAGTGAGATAGTGTGTTCTATAGGGAAAGGTCTGGAGAAATGCAATGTGTTTTATATAGAAAGGATACGGGAGTGAGATAGTGTGTTCTATAGGGAAAGGTCTGGAGAAATGCAATGTGTTTTATATAGAAAGGATACCGGAGTGAGATAGTGTGTTCTATAGGGAAAGGTCTGGAGAAATGCAATGTGTTTTATATAGAAAGGATACGGGAGTGAGATAGTGTGTTCTATAGGGAAAGGTCTGGAGAAATGCAATGTGTTTTATATAGAAAGGATACGGGAGTGAGACAGTATGTTCTATAGGGAAAGGTCTGGAGAAATGCAATGCGTTTTATATAGAAAGGATACGGGAGTGAGACAGTGTGTTCTATAGGGAAAGGTCTGGAGAAATGCAATGCGTTTTATATAGAAAGGATACGGGAGTGAGATAGTGTGTTCTATAGGGAAAGGTCTGGAGAAATGCAATGCGTTTTATATAGAAAGGATACGGGAGTGAGATAGTGTGTTCTATAGGGAAAGGTCTGGAGAAATGCAATGTGTTTTATATAGAAAGGATACCGGAGTGAGATAGTGTGTTCTATAGGGAAAGGTCTGGAGAAATGCAATGTGTTTTATATAGAAAGGATACGGGAGTGAGATAGTGTGTTCTATAGGGAAAGGTCTGGAGAAATGCAATGTGTTTTATATAGAAAGGATACGGGAGTGAGACAGTATGTTCTATAGGGAAAGGTCTGGAGAAATGCAATGCGTTTTATATAGAAAGGATACGGGAGTGAGATAGTGTGTTCTATAGGGAAAGGTCTGGAGAAATGCAATGCGTTTTATATAGAAAGGATACGGGAGTGAGATAGTGTGTTCTATAGGGAAAGGTCTGGAGAAATGCAATGCGTTTTATATAGAAAGGATACGGGAGTGAGATAGTGTGTTCTATAGGGAAAGGTCTGGAGAAATGCAATGTGTTTTATATAGAAAGGATACCGGAGTGAGATAGTGTGTTCTATAGGGAAAGGTCTGGAGAAATGCAATGTGTTTTATATAGAAAGGATACCGGAGTGAGACAGTGTGTTCTATAGGGAAAGGTCTGGAGAAATGCAATGCGTTTTATATAGAAAGGATACGGGAGTGAGACAGTGTGTTCTATAGGGAAAGGTCTGGAGAAATGCAATGCGTTTTATATAGAAAGGATACGGGAGTGAGATAGTGTGTTCTATAGGGAAAGGTCTGGAGAAATGCAATGTGTTTTATATAGAAAGGATACGGGAGTGAGATAGTGTGTTCTATAGGGAAAGGTCTGGAGAAATGCAATGTGTTTTATATAGAAAGGATACGGGAGTGAGATAGTGTGTTCTATAGGGAAAGGTCTGGAGAAATGCAATGTGTTTTATATAGAAAGGATACGGGAGTGAGACAGTATGTTCTATAGGGAAAGGTCTGGAGAAATGCAATGTGTTTTATATAGAAAGGATACGGGAGTGAGATAGTGTGTTCTATAGGGAAAGGTCTGGAGAAATGCAATGTGTTTTATATAGAAAGGATACGGGAGTGAGATAGTGTGTTCTATAGGGAAAGGTCTGGAGAAATGCAATGTGTTTTATATAGAAAGGATACGGGAGTGAGACAGTGTGTTCTATAGGGAAAGGTCTGGAGAAATGCAATGCGTTTTATATAGAAAGGATACGGGAGTGAGACAATGTGTTCTATAGGGAAAGGTCTGGAGAAATGCAATGCGTTTTATATAGAAAGGATACGGGAGTGAGACAGTGTGTTCTATAGGGAAAGGTCTGGAGAAATGCAATGTGTTTTATACAGAAAGGATACGGGAGTGAGACAGTGTATTCTATAGGGAAAGGTCTGGAGAAATGCAATGCGTTTTATATAGAAAGGATACTGGAGTGAGATAGTGTGTTCTATAGGGAAAGGTTGCACCAGTATTTGTTCAAGGAAAAGCAAATAAACATAATAGTAATTCTATTTCTCAACAACAGTAATTAGCATTTAACAAAGGAAAACGCTTTCTTCAATTAATTTCGGTTTTATAAAGCTGGTAACAGATTTAATTTCTGTACAGCATGTCAAACCTTGAGTATAGATCAAGCTAGTGAACCAATATTCTTGTGGTGTATGTATGTTTTTCTATTTGTGAGCTTTCTTTGTCAATATGCAATGAAACAGGTAATTCATATATTCAATACATTCAAGTTACTGTGAATAAATACAACAATATTTATAGTAAGTGAAACCAAGCCATTCTCATAGTGAAGGTGATCTACAATTCAAATATTTAAATGTCCTTATCTTGGCCAGCTATAACACACCAGCTTAAGAACACAGTTTGGAAAAATATTCTATTTCAAATAAACCTTACCTAACTGTTTCCTACAAGGGGAAAAACAAAACAAAAAAGAAAGAAAATTTGAATTTCAAATTCTAAAATCATTTTATTTTTGACAAATGCATTAATATTTATACCTCCACACACTTTACATCAGATGTCATTTTTAAATGACATTAAGCTGGTAAAGCTAGACATTTTGCTGACATGGCAGTGAAAATGTCAGTGATCAATACATAACATAAAGGACTATTCTTTTCAAAAGTTTTGTCAACTTAAAAAAATTGAAAAATTCAGATATATTATATCTTAAACCTCAGGAAATATTAGAAATTTTGATATTTGGACAATCTTAAACTGATATTTTTTAAAACAATGTTTGAATTCTAACATTTGATCCTAGCACCAAATTGTAATTTCATCTAAAATTTATTAAGAGGAAATTTATCACAATGTTGGTGAATAGCCATTCTCTATGGATTACAGCAGCCATTGTGTTCACATAGAAAGCAAAATTAATATTGATAAAAGAATCAAAGGGAGGTCATAAATGAGTACCTGTGTACAGGTAGACTATGTCTGTAGTACTGTTGGCAGTACACACTCTAGATGTGTGTACACTATGTCTGTAGTACTGTTGGCAGTACACACTCTAGATGTGTGTACACTATGTCTGTAGTACTGTTGGCAGTACACACTCTAGATGTGTGTACACTCTAACACCACTGTGTACAGGTAGACTATGTCTATAGTACTGTTGGCAGTACACACTCTAGATGTGTGTACACTCTAACACCACTGTGTACAGGTAGACTATGTCTGTAGTACTGTTGGCAGTACACACTCTAGATGTGTGTACACTCTAACACCACTGTGTACAGGTAGACTATGTCTGTAGTACTGTTGGCAGTACACACTCTAGATGTGTGT